CACTACGACAGGCAGCCACCCCACCCTATACAGGAAGCATTTAATCTCTCTTTAATACCCCTATCCTTGTCAAAGTGGGCGTCGCCCCCACCCCTGTATGGACAACCAAAAATATTCGCGTGGAATGCTTCCTGCCCCGTAATTAATAGACTCCAGTCGTGTCAGCCCTTGTACATTTCACTCATTCCTGCCCTGGTAAATTGCAGTGATATTTGCTGTGGTGCTTTTCAGGGGCAATACTGATGGATGATGGAATTATTAATGACATGGAGGAAGGATGGAAGCAATATATATCACAGTTTATTACTTCAAGGGCCCCCACATCTACCGAGAAAGTTTTAAAGTTCAACCATTTCATAAATTCAATCCACTCACAATTATAATGATCATTGCAAATTTTGCAACTTAATGGATGTCTTCCTTACTTTATACCAGGTGCTTGTTTATCCAATTTGGTTGCAGGAGATCAAACCTGACAGCATGTTTCTTTATTGATTTCCAATTTAATCAGCATTTAGGCCACTTTCACCACACAACATACGAAAAGTAGAAGCTCAATGATTAAGAAGATCTACATGTATATAAAGATTTTTTTAATTTTTTTTTTAAAGCTGTATTTTCTTATAACAAAAATATAAACGTTGGTCCTTATCATTTACACATCAATTCCATGTACAGTGTATAATCTACTAGACTAGTATCTGCATGGCTCTTTCAATATCACATCCCGCTAACTAACATCTCTATGGCACTGCGTAACAAAACATATGTGATTTTGCCTTTTATCACAATGCTCCATCTCAAAATAGTTCCCCTACTACCAGTCAGCTGATCACTATAATTTCCACTCATTTCTGATTGTGAATTCAAGTGTCGAAGTTTGAAATAGCATTATCTACGATTGTACATGTGAATAAATTGCTCTTAAAAAATAACAATTTCAGCAAGTCCTTGCATAGGGATGGTACTAGTTTGGCACGTCCGGCAATGGATACCTGTAATTTGATACACTTAAATTATAACCTTTCTTGCTTCCAAATCTAACACTATTCTATGTCCAAGCAGGTGGAAATAACATCTAATTTTTAATTAACCCATACTTACAAATGTACATGTATATAAAGAGTAAAACCTGTATACTGTGCTCGACACTAAGTCTAAGTCTGGACCCCCCCCCCCCCCCCCCAAAAAAAGGCTTACTCAAGGGAGGTAAAAAAAAATTGGTCTTATAAAGCAAGTGGTCTTTATGAACAGATTCCTTTATTACAGGTTTCAATGAGAATTGATTTTGGAGGGAAACAAATAATGTAGACACGTGGTCTTTCTATACAGGAGGTCACTTAAAGAAGGTTTAAATACCAGTACATCATTACAACATATGGCAAATTTGCTACATCATAATTTGCAAATCATGCCTTACGTTTGAACCTGTATAAACTCGATCAAAACTGGATGTTGTTTTTATGAGGTAGCGCTACTTTTGCAGAAGCCCTCAAGAAATGACCCCCCCCCCCCCCCCCCCCCCCCCTCCTGAAGAAAAGAAGAATGAATGAATGGTTCTAGATAAAACAGTCTGTCAATTACAGGCAACAATTAAAACTTCCATGTCTAGACAATCAATGGGGCGCGATTCAGTTTCTCTGAGACTGGAACGAACACAAAATGACTCATTCCAATTTAGGCAATGAAATGTAATCTTTCCTTAGGTACTGTGCAATGTTTTAGGGTCAAATAGAAAGCAGTTAAATTTGGCACCTTAGTATAAACATCATAAAACTGCTGTACGAAACATATTTCAAGATTTAAGTCAGAGTATTGAGTTTATCAAAGTAAACATCTGCCCCTCCTATAATTCTTCAATTACGGTTTCTCTTAAAAATGCAGTTCTATCGCGATTAAAAAATCAAGATACGATATCAAAAATAAGATTAAACGTACATTTACAAAATGTACACTTACAAAATGTAACTTTCTTGTTCGTTACAATTTGCAAATACCATTGATTCATATGGTCTTTTAGCCAGTGACTATCATGCTTGAAGTATTTTAACAGACCCTTTTTTTTAAGTCATAAAATTGTCTGTTCTAGAGCCAGAAGGGCCTGAACTCTGCGTTTAAAGGCCCACTGCACTACTTGTAGCTACTTGCGCCCTCTATACAACAAACGATGCCTAATCGGTGACCATTGGTCCCCCATGATCCTCTTTTTCTTATGTTAACTGAGAGCCGAGTTGATGAGATAACCACCTGTTCAGTGACCTTGCAGGGTGGTCTAATCCCTCCTGTAAACTATGGCAGATAAGCTTTAAAGCATACATGTTTACGCCCTTCTGGCCCTAAACAGACGAAATATGAGTATGTTTCTGTAAATAAACTACATTTGTTACCGATTCTCCACACCCTGCCTTCTCACAAAACCTGTATACACCCCCAACTGACAAGCCATGTTTAGGAAATGTCAAATTTAAGATGCATTACGCACAAGACACGATAAGACAGTCAGTGTCACCGTCTCGGGCACATCTGGTAGCTAGAGCCCCCATCCCGTTCAAATGCGTTTCCTTCGTTCTCTAATGCACCATGTGTGTTGTGTTTTATTAAGGGGGTGATCTTCCCTTTTTTTCGTGGGATTTCGGGAAGAAAAGGGGGAAAACGGTGGAAGTTTGAGAAAAATCTGCAGCTAAGTCCCGGTTTCCTGCTCGTAATCTGCCCCAGGAAATAAGGAACGAGGTGGGGATGCTACTCACCATGACACTTGGGCCATGTTCACATCGAGTGTGAATCTATGTGCGTTCATTGTATGTGGTCTTGCAGTGTGTCCATTATTATCATTACCAGGGCTCCAAACTAACGTTTTTTTGAAGGGTATCTAGATTACGGTAAACTTTTTAGAGTCTTTATGTATGTATGAGCCCTATGTGTAAAATTTAAAAGTTAGGGGGTCTAGAGTCCAGATTTTGGGCGCCCATGTGCCCCGGGCGCCTGTTAGTGTTGAACCGTGTTATTATACTGTGAAACCTTTATATAAAGATCTTGGGCATGTTCGCATCTATGTGGGAATCATTGTACATTCATTGTGTGAACAGGCTTATTGTGTCTCCATCATTATTATACATTAAGATATAAAGACCTTTACACATGAATAATTCTTTTGTATGAATCTTTGAACGTTCATTTCAAAAAGGCCTATTATAAATATAAATTGTGTTCACTATTATTATCTATGTAGTGAAACCGTTATATAAAGACAATAAGCATGTTCACATCGTCTTGATGTACAATGAAACCTGTATACAAAGACTCCTCGAAGGAGACAAAATGTGAATGTTACATGTACAAGCAGGTGATCTTTACTAGACGTTATTATAGTACACTGTTGCAGGGAAACAAAACATCATGTGATCTCTATACACATGCCAGGAAACCAGCAACAATCGTAAACGCAGTTGAGTTTCATGACAATATCATGCTGAAGAATTTTGAAAGTACTTGTAAATTTCGTCAGTGTGAAATATTTGCAATTTACCCAAGCTTATTGCCACAAAAACAGTCATCACAAACAATTAGTGAAAATTTCTGATTTTACAGAGATAACCTACATTGTAAAGGTTCATAAAGGAATGAATTGAATCAGTAAAATAATTTTATATCAACATTGTTAAAACAATGCATTATCTGTTGAAGCCTTGCAACGATATTAATAAATTAATAATTGTTTCATTGCCATTGGCCACAAGATGAAAACTGCCAAGAAATCATTGTTCCTAATCTAATTCATGTGCGGCACAGATTCTATTGTTCTGTCAATCTCTAAACGAATCATTATTGAATTTGCAGTGTTATTTATACTTTAAGAAGGGCACACTAATACCAATATCATTATGAGTAAACTATTCTGACGGTTTTGAGATAAAAGAGCTTGAATGATTCATGCCAACAACTTGGGTACGTCTATGACCCCAAAGAAATTCCCCACATTCACTGTATGCTACTTGCCTAAGAGATCAGTTCTGTTTTAAAAAACTAATCAATTTTTGATAGAAAAGAAGGTGAAGGCTATTTCATTGAAATCGAATAAACCTACAGTGTGTACCCGTAGTTAAAAGAGGATACCACAAGCCAACTCACAAAAGCATGAACTCTTAATAAAGTAGTGTTTAATGCCCTACAGACTGCAATATTTATAATGTTGGCTACACTCCAAGTTCTCCAACTGAAGTCCTACCTTTTTTGTTACAAATATATCTCTTCTTTAATTTAATTTGTTTCAAGCTATATTTATTGCAAAACGGCTCTCTTACCGGTGTATCATCTGTATTATCTAAGCCCCCCCCCCCCACACCCCTCCCCCCTCCCCCCTCCTGACATAATATCTTTCCATTTTGAATAGATTTCTTATCAATCAAGTTATATACTGTACATGTGCCTTTAATACAAAGAGTTAATTGCAAGCTTGCGATTGATTTGGATCAATCACGTCTCTTTGTAAGACGGGGCCCAGGAAAAACAATTATTTTTCATACATCGTTTGAAGTAGGGCTTGACACAAACAGGTGCCCAGAACACATGGTACATACCCCTACATTTTAAGAATTTTAATAAAGGGCTCATGCATAAAGGCACTATAACTGCTGATCTGGACCTCCATTTTTTTAAAAAGGGTAGCATAGAGCCCTTATTCTGAAGTAAAATTTCTTGAATGAACTAGAATTTAAGCCTTTACATTTTCCCAGTAAAAACTTTGAAATCAATAATATCACAACCGAATTACATTATAGTGTATGTTTAGAAAATCACATCTTATATATTTCCCTTGGGGAAATTTGACAAATAATGCCTCTCGAGAAAAAGACTCTGAATAGAGAGATATTATCATTTCAAACATAAGAGCTTCATTTCCTATTGATGATCCCTAAATAAAGATCAAAATGTCAGAAAGTCTTGATTTGGAGTCTTTTTCTTTGTACTTATTTTTATTTTAAAAAAGATCAAAGCCAAACCTTCATTATCTCCTTTCTCTTCACTTTCCGACCAACGGACAGAATCCGAGTTCATTCCACTGGAAGCTGCTGAATCCATACTTCCCGAGCTACAATCCATTATACTTCACAGATAAACGAAAGAGTCATGACGTTCCCAACAGAAAGTTTTCCTTTTAAACCCCAAAGGAAGGCTAATCACTGAATATTATTAAGAAAAGTTGAGCAAAATCAAGGAAAATCAATGAAGACGAGCAGATCGCACGAGTATTATAGTCCGAGTAACATAAAAAGTTTCCAAAGCACAAGCGGTTGAGAATAACTTTCAACGATGTGAATAACCAACAGATGATGATTCTCTGTTTACACTGTGCCGAGTCGTCCTACTGCGATAGGAAAAAAACGAAAGCCCCACGTAAGAACAAACACTGTAGAAGTCAAACTGATCGTATCGGCAGCCAAACGCTAAGCTCGCTCGACCTCCGTGTGCCTACCCAGCATGCACTTCACTTGCGTGTCCTGTGATTGAAGAAGAGGCAGAAGGGAAATCAGACATTACGCGCAGCGATGTAGTCTAGCGCCTTGAAGCACTGCTCCCAGTAGCTGCATAGTCTTTCAAATCAGACCCTATAACAGGGTTTTTTAAAAGCTCAGAGGAATTTGACAACTAGATACACAGCAGAAATGGCAACATACAATGAGACCCAGAGTTCATTAATTTATTTTTCACTCTTTTTTGTAGCATCAGTACAATCACAGCACTCTTTTTTTTACAATGAAATCCTTATGTATGAAAATTACAATGCATAGTCAACAGCATATCATTGTTATGTCTGTACTTCATTTCTTAAATTTTTATAGAACAGGGTTGAAGAAAAGAAAGAAGATGACAACAATTTTAGTACATAAAAAGTGAAAGATCCCTAGGTGCTGTTACATGTAGGTAAGAAATAGTTAAAACACTTCACTTTTCCCCTAAAGTGAGACAATTAATTTACATACTGGACATGTTAACAGGTATGAGTTTTGAGTCACTACCTCATACATGTACAGCAGTTATGTTATAAGTTATCAAACAGCACTATTTGTGTATATTTCACACAATATGTTGTCAATTTTTCTTTAAACATGTTTGCAAGCCCAAGAGGTAAGAACGTTGAATTGTATCATCGTAATTCATATCGACAGAGGAGCACTACAAATAGTACAATGTTACCGGAAATCCCAATAAAGACATCAACATTTCTAGTAAAAGCTCAACAGTGTACATTCTGCAAAGTTCTATGCTTACAAGGTCTTTGAAGACAGACTAGCTAGACCTTAGGAAGTTCTTACTCACTGCTACTTCTCCTCTCATAGGAACTGGCAAATTTTGATGAATCTTTGGCAAGGATTACTTTTCATTTCCCCCAATTTAATTACCCTTCTTGGGTACACACGTACACGTGAACACCAGTACTTGGCTATTGTATGAACCTGGAAGGGTGGGTTGTGTACTTGTGAGTCGTTTTAACTTTGCATGCGCAGTGTCTGCACTATGAGACTACATTAGGCTCAATACTTTAGCCGCTACTGACCAAACGACCAGAAACAAGTTTGCAGGCACAAACCTTGGTCAGTCGTAAAAGAGATTCTGCACTATAAGATTACCGTATGCCATGTACTATAAATGTAGCTGCTCCTGACACAACCAGTAGGTAGCTGGGCTAGGCTTCTCTCAAGGCACAATGATTTTTTTGATAAAGTGTCAAATTAGGGTCTGTGCTTGCAGACTAGCCAGAAGCTGACAGATCTAGGCTCTGCTAAAGGCTTTAGAAGTTTAGGAATTGAGGTAAATTGTCAATTAGAGTCTGTGCTTGCAGATTAGATGGTGAGTTGTGTAATAGAGCATCAGAAAAAAATGGTGGAAGCGAATATGAAGGGGAAAGGTAGCCAACAAATGGATACAGGGTATACATGGACTTGATCAACTTCCTTGTGCATTGAATTTTGATACTGCACCAAAGATCCTCAGGTTCATGGCATCCACTTAAATTTGCATGATTTTCTGTTCTTGCTATAGAATAGTTTTCAAAATAATCATGTCTAGATGCTACCACATGTTGTAACAGCAGCAGATTATCAACAGCTCCCTCTTTTGTCTATCTTCAGAACAGTTTTTGGAATTATTCCCCATTCAAAAACATACATCTGCCAATTTATAGCATGAGTAAATCATTTCATTTTTATTCGTTATAAATCGAATACACCTCAATTATATTTCCTATTTTAGTTTATTAACGGTTTAAGGAGCAATGTTGTAAAAGTTGTAGACATTGATATATAAAAGAGGTTAAAGGTCAAGACCAGTTATGGTCATGCGATTGCATTGTGAAAGAAACATTGTGGAATCGATCAGAAAAGGTTGATCATCTAGCATCTAGCATCTGCAAGGTTCTGGAATCATCAAAATGATAAGAAATTTGGCCCATTCTTCGTAAAGTTACAAGCACTATACACAGAAAGATGTATATAGGACTACCCTATATCTCTCACAGACCATGAGAGAAACAAATTTACCAAATATATGAATTAGTAGGCGGTTTCCCGGCAAATTTTTTATCATCATGTATTAGTCAAAACATATTCTTTCACATGATTGGTAATGAGAGCTTCCATTTCATTTTTTGAAATTGGGGCGTTTCCAATACTGGTCTTTACCTTTAAACCCATTTTATTTTATCCTAACGTACCATTTTGTTTAATTTTTAAAAAATTCAGAATACCATCCAAGGCGAGATTTGACTTTTTGCATCATTGAATATACATGTACATGCCTAATATGTCTGCCTATTCACAAACCCCATCAGTTTCAACACAATCCTTTTTTTTAATGAGAGATGACATGTTGAGGCTTGAAACTAAGCTTAGAATAGATCTAGTCTACTCAAACGTGACCATTTTTTTTTTTTTTTTTTTTTTTTTTTTTTTTTGCTGCTGCTTTTATTTTTATTTTTTTTGGGGGTGGTTCTATTTCAAAAGGTAATTGCTTTGTTAAAACTTCACAAACTTTTTACCTTTCTTTGCAGCAGATCCTCTTCACAGACATGATGAAGCAAGCCATAGATAGATGATAGATAATGCTAGCCTTATTGTGAGGACAGGAGTTCACAAATTTAACGCACATCTCTGAAAACTTAGAGATTACAATAAATTAGCCAACATGTTTTTCTAATCTGGTACTGGTAGTGGTACAACCGGTCAAAGATAGCACAAACAACCAAGCCCAGGCAAGGCCCAGACTCAGAGACAAGTGCATATGTGCTTCAGTTTTGGCTGGGTCCTGATGATATTTTCTCCAGTTCTTCCAAATTCATAAACTGTGTTCAGTCATTGACTCATTGTTGTCTATCTTCTTCTTCTTTGTATTTTTATTCTGCCTCCTTCACTCCTCAAGATTCTTGCAGCTAGATGAAAGGGGTATGTCAGTGTATGTGTCACAAAGGACATGAAGTTTTGAGTGTCCTATGAAAGTCTTAAAGACCAAAGCAACAGCCATAACTTTGCATTTCAATGACTGACATTGCATTGTACGCCTCGCAGTGCAGAGCGCCATGCGCGCCAGGCCAGGCGCAGGCCTCGTCTACTCCATGACCGTACATGAGCAACGGACTGCCATGAGCTTTGCCACCGGTATTTCGGCAGAAGACGGGGTCAGCAACCGCTGATGCCCGACGACTCCCTCCCTATATTTGACACAGCAGATTTCCAGTTGCATACACTCAATAAATACACAAAATACCTACATAGACAACCAATTCATGCTAATCAATATACACAGGCTATTTTTCAGCATCTACATTCCATGACCAACACTCATATTATTTAGTTCAAGTCTTTCTTACCCTTTCCTTTCGGCTGAGACGAAGTCGCCATTTTGAAAAGCGCGCTAAAATCGATAGCAATAATAACAAGATATCGCCACAGCCCATGCAGCGCACACACACAATTTTCGAGTACCCCTAAATTGCCTCTTTTTACATAGGAAAATTGTCTCTTTTATTTCAGATAAGTGCCCTCAGAACCCGACCTCAGCACCATAAATAAGTGCCCAATTTCAAATATGAGAGGTGCCCATATTACTTTAATTAAAAAGTGCCATTTTCCTTTGTAATAATAGTGCCCCTTCTCCTTCTTATATTTAAATGGCCCTTTTCATCTCTGATAAGTGCCCCCTTTTATTTTAACAAGTGCCCCTTTTGCTTTCTAACAAGTGCCCTTTTTCCTTCTGATAAATTCCCCTTTTCTTTTTAATAAGAGCCCTTCCCCTTCTCATTTTTGTCCCTTCTCACAATTGCCCCCTTCTCACACCTCTGATTAATGCCTCTATCAGAATCTAATAGGTGTCCCTTTTCCTTTGACAAGGGCCACTTTTTCAATGACAAGAATTGCCCCTTCACCTGTCATAATTGCCTCTTTTCAAATCTAAGAGGTTTTCCTTATATTTTGACATGTGCCTCTTTTCTTTCGTTACCCCCCCCCCCTTTTTTTTTCATTCTTATAAAGTGCCCCTTTTCACCTCCGGTGAGTGCTCTTGTAAGAGGTTTTCCCGTTCAATTTGTAATAAGTGCCCCTTTCATCTCTGATAATTCCCCCTTTTTCCCCCCTTTTTTTCTCCAATAAGTGTCCTTTTCCCGTTCGATAAGTGCCCCTATTCCTTTTACCATAAAAATGTCCATGCTCCTAACTTAAACCGACGAAGAGCAAAATTTTCTTTCACCCAAAGCTTAGAGTTGATATGATCATGTTTCCCATTAAAGGTCGTTTTAGTCTTTCATGATTAGATTGTGCTTAAAACCACATCAGGATTTTTTTTTTCTCCATCATATATAAGATGAAATTTTTCGAACTGCAACCTCACATATCTTTAAATTCTCTCGCTCGCAAATGAATATTTAGATCATCACACCTAACTGCAAAGTATGATGCTCAAGCAGTATCTTGGATCATGAAAAGAGAGAAACAAATATTGAATTCATCCCTCATAATGCAATCAAAATATAGGGGTATATACCAATGTCTAAAAATTGTATATTTTCGCTTAGAGATTTCCCTTTGTATAATTATGCACCCCTTTTTTCTCCAGAAATTATCCTTTTTTTGTTGGTACCCCCCCCCCCCCCCCCATTTGAAATTCCCAGGCGCGTACACAGGATTTATTCAAGGGGGGGGGGGGTTAACATTTTTAAATCGGGTCGAAAAATTCGCAACGACTCAGCCAGCCACTGAATAAGCGGGGGGGGGGGGGGGTAATCGCAACGGCTCAGGCAGCCAGCCGCTGAATAAGCGGGGGGGGGGGGTTCTTTTGGTCCCCAAAAAATCGCAACGACTCAGCCAGCCGCTGAATAAGCGGGGGGAGGGGTCAACTTTTTAGGTCAGCCATTGGTATAATTTTTTTCATTTTTTATTTGTTTTTATTAAAAAAAAAGAAAAAAAAAAGGGGGGGGGGTTTCCTCCAAAATACACACATAAACAAATACCAAAGGGGGTTCAACCCCCCCCCCCCCCCCCCCACTGCGTACGCGCCTGGAAATACCCTCCACCGCCCCTGTCCATGGCAATACGGTAGCAAAGTTTACTTTCTAAAAAATCAACCTAAAATCCAGTTCAATAGCGCGTCAATTACTGTAATGTGCGAAAATCACAATGATGCATGTATTACGTAATCCAAACATGATTTTTATGGGATAAACGATATAGGGTATTGAATTAACAATTGAGTTGAATTTACGAAAATAGTTGCGAATGTGATATGCTTCATTGCGGGATAAATAAGCCCCCTTTCCAGTCGCGACTGTCGTATAGGGCCTAATAATATGGAGGAATGTTGGCGTGAAGGCTTTATTTTTTGTGTGCATAATTATGTCCGTCTTCAAATTCCTCGCTTAAATTGATTTATAATCATGGGGAAAGAGACCATGCACGTAGTCCCCTCTAGAACTGATGTCGCCTTTTTGTTTACATTAAAAAGGTAAAGTAATAGGACATGCCCTTTATTACTGATAAAAAGGGCACCTTTAACAATTATCATCATTTTAGCATCCTTTACTAATGAACCCCAATATGCAATTTTATACGAGATCAGAAAACTGCAATTCCATTATTTTAATACTCAAAAGTCCAACTTTTGCAGGTATATAATTTTGATACAATTTCAATGATTAAATTTAAATGCGAAACACATTAATACTGTCAGCTGAACAATTTGCAACATCGTTTTCCATGTTCATTGCTTTATTTAATTTTGTTTTATAATAAATCAAAAGTGCCCTTTACAAAAGTGTGTAATTCAGTGCTTCGAAGTTGCAAAGTAGATCTCGGGTCTCCTCTCGTAAATTTCCAACCAAGAAAGAAACGGTAATAAATTAACGAGCTGTAAAATCCACTAAGGAAATTACAAACTGGCCATTTCTCAAATATTTCATACTCGGTCGTAATATGACCTTGTACAACGGAAAAGCAAAAGAAAGAAAATAAAGATAACTTTCGTTGAATTACTCTCTTTTAGTTTTATAGCAATACAATATTAGAACTTTCAGTATTCGAATTATGGATTCCGTTGTGCATTCCAGGGGGCTCACCTTCCAGGGGCAGTGGCGTAAAGAGCAAAAACTTCTTTTTTTTGGGGGGGGGGCAAAAGAAAAGTCTGCATCACCACCACTCTTACATGTTACATGCAGGACCAACGGAACGCCGCTTTTTAAAGTGGAGTATTAACAATGAGGCAGAGCGTAGCGAGCGTAAATTGGCGTAAGGTCCAGGGGCTGAGCCCCTAGAAGCTCAGGGTTTTTTAGTTATTAAATTACGGTCAGATAAGCATATTTAGATACCTTATTTGTGACACTGGCGGGTCACTAATTGGCGGGGGTCCAGAGGCAGAGCCCCCGGAAGCTCAAGGGTTTTAGGCATTTAATTAAGGTCAGATGAGCATCCAGCGGCCCGTCTTATAGCCCTTAGTGGGGTCCAGAGGGCAGAGCCCCCGGGAGCTCATAGGTTTTAGGTATTTCATTGTACGGCCACTCATTTTTATTCTCTCTCTCTCTTTCTTTCTTTTTCTCTTTATATAATTTTTTCTTAAGTGAGGGGGGGGGGGGTCGAGCCCCCTAGCCCCGACGTTCTGCAGGCCCTGAGATGAAGGCTTCTAAATAAGCATTATATTTTGTCGCCCGACTGTAAATTTGGGAATTTGTTATTTTCCAACAGACGCATAAAAAGGTACGATTTACAACAACTACCAAAAACCACTTCCGGCGCCTATGTGCCCCTGAGTGATATAAGACGGAGTGATGAAAGAATGAACGCATTTTTTAATTTTCAACATTTTGATAGAAAAGCCATCCATAGTCGGATTGGGATTTCTAGATGGACGAACGAGAATTAATGGGGGAGGGGGGGGGGGGGGGGGGGGGGGTGAGAATGAAGAGAAAAAAGAAGACACAGAAGGCCGAAGGAGAAAAATATGTACCGCTAAATGATGTTGGTCCTCACCATAAATTATCAAAATTTACTTAAAATCCCTTAATTATTACACCACAGTTCTTTTTTCTTAATTCAAAGCGTTTGTTGCTGTTGTTTTTATCACTATCATAATTATTCGTTAAACTGGTTAGTTTTGAGCGGGGTAAAGGCGAGCCATTTTATGTTCGCCACTGGGTGCTAGATGAAAGCGACCTCTGTCATGAAGAAGCCACCGTGCAGAAATGAAGAGAAGGGGAAAAACTTGGCCTATAGGCTTGTATAATTATCTCCGAATAAATTAAGACTGTTACTATTGCATGCTGATAAAACACTACAATACAGTGCAAATAACTAGGCCAATCATCGAAACGTAATAATGGGCAAATCAGATAAAGAGATTGAATAAAGAAACGTCTGTCGCTATGCCCCTATACATCTTAGTATGCAATTTGTTTTGACCGTGGTCCGAAAAATGATTTTCTTCCTGAATTGCTTGGACCCCCCAATGCCCCTTATATCTTTGAAAAATTAATTTGAGATATTTTCAAATCACCGATATGATCTTGGAAGCTCATCTTAACATAACTCAATCCCTCTAAATAGGAATTACTGTCTACATAATTTGAATAGCCCCTCTCTAAAATGTTTACGAAGTGCCCTTTTTTATTTAATAATATACGTGTTAATAGACCTTTTAGGCATTAAATAAAGGTCATATGAGCATCCGTGCAGGGGCCTGCCTTAGGGCTCCTGATGGGGTGGGGGCGAAGCCCCCGCAAGCTCAGGGGTTTTAGACATTTAATTACGGTCAGATGAGCATATTTTGATACCTACTTTTGTGACACTGGCAGGTCACCTTTCTTTCTTTCTATTTTTTTTTCAAGTTGGGGGGGGGGGGGGGGGGGGCTCGAGCCCTGACATGTAAGCTTCTAAATAAGCATATTTGTTTGCCTGACTGTAAATTTGGTAATTTTCTCTTTCCAACAAACGCCTACAAAAGTATAATTTACAAAAAAAGTGAGAAAAATCGCGGGAAATCATGTCATTTCAGCCACGTTTAAATCACTGGTATCGAATTATTTGAACCACGTTTAAATTTTATTCGGGTGCGAAACTGCCCCCGGCCCCCAAGCCCTCCCCCATCATTGCGCTAGTGTGCAGTTGGGTTGTTTTATTCGTAATTGCGTTTTGTTCTTTTGTTGAGCTCACTTGCAAGTTGGCATGCATTGATAATCCAAAACTTTTATTTTCTCCCGAAATTGACCAATAGCAAGAATATTTGCACATCAAGAATTAGTAAGATTGTTCTATTTGCGCTCAAACAAAGGGGTGTTTTGTTACTGCCTAGCGAAAACACGTAATGAAAACCCATTTTGATCTGAGTATTCTAGCCTTTGGAATCATTTCTGATATTGTATTCATATTAAAGTATGAAAGAAAATCACAAGGAAGCTGAGACTTTGTACTTTAGGAAATTTGTTGAGCACAAGCAAGTTCACGTGGTAATTTATCATCCTGTTTTGTGGGAGTGGATAGAATGAGCCATTGATGATTGACAATGATTGATTGGAAAAGTTAGTCTATTTTCAGTCAAATTTTACGATTAATAAGGTTAATTTTTCTTATTTCAATTAATATCAATAAAAAAATAATAACATATAATTTTTATAAATGATTTAGTTATTAGTTATTTCTATTTTACATCTGACATTGAGGTATATTCTAGATAATTCAGTAGCTGTATGAACATTTCTTAATAAACACTTTCTACCAAGTCTAACAAGTTTAGCACTTTAGGTATTTGATAAATGTCAATTCAATGGCCGACTACCGACCGGTTCCGTGTTTGTCATGAATTTAGCATCTGCAGCAGTTTCACAGCTAGTTGAGCTGAGCTGAAGTGAGATCCGCACGTTCTTCATAAATCTTTGGATTTACCAAGCCATAATTCTGTCAGAATTTTGTTTCCTCAGAACCTTTCATCATGATGGAGATAACAGCGGGAGTGAGAACGATGTTTAGAACGAGTCGAGTTATCGCAGGCTCCTGCCGCCGCTACGCTGCCTCCACATCGGGAGGTGACCAAGCCAGGCTTCAGGGGTTGAAGGCTCTCCGGCTCCCGCAAATGAACAAGGTACGTATCGGGTGAAGCAGCATCACGCAATTTTGAAAGTGAACAGGGAACAGGATGTCTGAACTCTAAGGCCATTGCAATGTTTTAAGGATGGTACCGACTGAATTGTTAATAGTCTAGTTCCATCAATCCATGAAAGTTTTGTGAAATGATCAACAGCCAGTGGAAGTTGAACTCGAACCACTCAATTAGATCTAGATTTAGATCTAGGTCTTTTCTAGATCTACTCAGTAGTCAGCAGACTTTTCTACCACATGTACTACTAGTACTACTAGATCTACTGCTTAAATATATAAATGAATGAACAAATAAGTAAGTAAATAATTAAATGAATGAAAGAATGAATAAATAAATAAATCATTGAATGAGTAAACAAACAAAAATGAATAAATGAATGAATGACGACATAAATTAATGAATAGATAATATAAATAAAGATTCTATTTTCACTAATCTTGGGCATTTCTTTCTGATATTCTGATAAATCAATTGTGCTGAAAGTCTAACTAATTTTTGTCTCGACTCTTTTTTATCGAGTTAAACAGTTTTTTTTTTTTTTTTTGCTGATATTGGAATGGACAAACAAATTGACTGACATTATTTGATGTACAAAATGTTGTTTTTGTTATTGTTCACATCATCATCACAGAAAAAACAAAGTTGATTTAGATCTAGGGTGACTTCTTATTTTTTTTCATTTTGCCAGTTTTTGTGGTTTGAGTTGCTGTCAGCTGCCATACAATATTTTGTATATGCACAGAGTCATCATTGCCATCTGGAGAATTATAATAATAATAATAATAATAATAATAATAATAATAATAATAATATTGGTTACCCAAGGAAGCCTCCTCAGCTTCAATGCTAATCTTCCTAAAGGCCCTGCAATTAGTATTACCTCAGCGACTGCCAGGTACCGGTACCCATTTACACCTGGGTGGAGAGTGGCAAATGTGGATTAATGTCTTGCCAAAGGACGTTAGTGTCGGGCTGAGATTCAAGCTTTCAACCCTTGGATTAAGACGTCCCTATTTTCACGAAGTGACGGTAGTGAGGAAAATCGTCACGCAAAGTGAATGCAATTTGTTTTCACTACCGTCACTTCGTGAAAACAGCAACGAAGAGTCAAGTGAATGAATCACTACACCACAGGACATGTATCGTATGTTTCTATGAAACAGAACATTAAATATTCCCATTTTCTCTCAGTACCAGGTAGTACATGTAACAACCAGTTTTACGACCAGTTTAGTCTGTTTTACATCATTAAAAAATCCATGTAATGCAAGACTTTGATTCTGAATCTGGTTTCAAGATTATATTGGCGTTGTGCTTTCTTTTGTATCACCACAGATAATAACAATGTATCCTTTTTCTCTAGTCAACTTGTGAGAGGATTGTGTATGCTGGGGGCATGAATACATTGTTGAAGAGTCCATGATTTATTATTTTTCGATTGCATGTGCATGTTTGAAAAATAAAGGAAAACAAAATTGGGCATGCATAACACAACAAAAATACCTCAATAAAATGTATATTAAATTTAAATGAAGACAAATTACTGAGAAACTCAAGTATACCCAAATGTTGTGTGTTATGTAGCTGGACGATTGATTAAAATCAGCAATGTGATGATAAATTACATGCAAAAGTTCATAAATCTTTAAAAACTTATGATAGAAAATATTATAAAGGAGAAATATGTATGATTGTATGTGCTATTGATGCATACCTTTTCTTCAAATCCAAAGGAGAAAGTAATGACTTGGCATGCCTCTGGACCCCCCCCCCCCCCCCATTTTCCTACATTCCTCACCTTCACAACTTTTAAAATATCACCTTTGTAACTCTGGTATTGGATTGGTTGAAGGAAATTGATATAATGTGCAAGACAAACAATAATTTCAATGGGATGTTTAAAAACTCATAACATTTTTGTTTCAGTATTATGTCCATCAATATTTTAGTTTTCATTGAAAAGAAAGGCCCTTTGAGATCTTTTGAAACTAAAAGTTTGTTTACTCAGAACAGCTGCAGGAATAACTTCCTTACAAAGTTACTACGAAGTAGTTGAATTAAAATGTAACGGTAACCCTGCGTTATTGGCTTTATTTATTGATTGGATCGAAAGTTACGCTGAGTGACCCTAGAATGCCGTTTGTCTCTAATTCTATTGTTAAAAGATTAGCTGAAAAGGGATTACGGACGAGCCCCTCTCCGTGCCCCCAATCATGGACCTACTCAGCACATGTTTGCTGAGCTAGCTTGATACTTCATGTAGTGTAGTTTAGAATCGCAGACCCCTGTTAGTCATTATGTGTAATACATGGTCTGATTTGTAAGATTCTAGACTGCTTGTCATGCTATGCAGTGTAATCTATCTTTCTATTATGTAATATTTGCCACAAATTTGCTCAATGCACTTTTTTTGTTTTTGTTTTGTTATTGTTTTTGTTGAAAGCTAAATCGGCGTCTGTATTTTTGAGACTACAACGGGGGCGTGTGCGCTCGCGCGATCGATCAGCTGTTTGTGTGCGCGTTCAACACTTTGTTTACAGCGCTAGCATACGAAGGTTTCTCTAAATACTGCATATTTACAACTTCGTAATTGAACCGAGAAATCCACTATTTTAACGATGTCGTCAGCACCAAAACATTCACAGAAGGACCATCTCCAACATTCCAGACATTATGGACCTGATATTTTACGGGATACAAAGCTGAATAAGGTAGATATTTGATGTTGAAATGATTTAATTTTTTTAAAACGTCCCTTGATTAGCACACGGGGTTTGCTACACGGACAACCCCAGAGTTCTGGCTGGGCCGTGCTGGGTGTGTGGCTTACGGCAGGATTACCACTTTGTCAGTTATAGACCTCAAAACGTTCTGCGCGACGGCCCACATCGTACGATCGCTCTGCCGATGGTGAGGCATGCATGCGGCAGCTGCCAATGGTCTGATTGATGTCCTGCTGTTTATAATTCCATTTGCTTGCGATATTTGGACTCTAGACTCATTCAACAATTAGTCTAACCTAGTCTAGATCTACATGTATATTAGCAAGAGTCCCCCTCAGTCGGTTGACTTACACATGTCTAAATACCCAGCCCAGATCAGCAGATGTTGCGTGTCCGGACAGTTGATTTATTTTAATAAACGGGAGAAAAATGCAATTTGAAGAAGTTTACAACTACAAGCAATATCTCATAAATATTCTATGGCTAAATCACTAAATATTACACAATATTATAAAGCAAAATATTTATGATGGTCAGTGTTTTTTTAATGCATACATTTTGTTAATACGAAGGCAAAGGAGAAGGCTTTATGTTTGTTAAGGTTCCGGACACCCACCCACCCCGCGGCCGCCCCATCATACACATTTAAAATTTAGTTTTTAACATGAACGATGATAACCAACTGATCTACATTGTAACTGTTAATTTGACATTGGAATAGGCCTATGTTAAAGAAACAGTCTAAAAGGAGAGAGGATCAAAAACAGAATTTGTTTCGGATATCATTTTGTTTTTACTTAATAGGTCAGACAAATGTGTACTGTGTGCTATTTCTTGTAAATATTTGGGCCAGGATATGTCAAATTGACATTGCCTTTAAAAAAAAAAAGAAGAAGGCTTTATTTTATCGTAACTTCAATAAGTACTAAAAGCCCAGCTGTAATAGTAGATCTACATTTACTAATTAAACAAAGAAAAAGCTTATGACTCAGACTGGTCTATGCTATGTTGAAGGTAAGAGTATAAGTTTGACAACTCTCTGGATTAACCAAGCCAGTACAGCATATTTTTTTAAAGCCAGCATTCTTTCTCTTTTGGATCACAGATGAGTTAATCTCTGTGATGTTTCAATCATGTCAAGATGAAGTTTATCAAAAACAGTTTTGAAACTCTGAATATCAAAACACATTTCAAGTTTTCAACTACATTGTTTTTAATTTTGTATTGTTGTCTGTTATAAAATTTAAATTCATTAAACATAACAACTTACATGTAACAAGCAACTGCAAAATGATTTTGTAATTAATTACATAACATGTTATTAGTCAAAAATAGAAATGTACCTCCCCCCCCCCCCCTCTTTGGTCTTTCATGTAGAGGTATTGGCAGCTTAGAAAAGCGTGGCATAATTTTGTGATTTTTTTTTCTTCTTCTGTACTATAAATACCCATATGTTTCCCAGCAAAAAGGAACAAACCCATGAACAGACGATGTAGTTATTGCTTCTGGTGTCAGGAAGTAATTAAAGTATATGAGAAGGTAGTTATTGTGCTGGCACATTGGAGGCCTATAATACCAGTACCTGTACATATACTGTAAAGGAAAGGATTACTTCAGTTTATGGCGTTGTGAGAGATGTTTTTACGTAGAGCATTGCATGCACTTGGTATGGACGCATGATGGAAATATACCACTGTTTGTTGTGATACAATGATGGAAAAGATGGACTACAATTAACAAACTGTATAATTTTTGATATATTTTTTTCATTGATCCCGGAGTCTCATTGCCTTTTCTCTTTTGAAATATACTTAGTTTTTAAAGAATAATTCTTTTCTCACCCTAACTTTACCCAGATGTTGTGTGTCCGGACAGGTTGGATATCTGGACGGTTGATTTAAAAGCAGCAATTTGAAGAAGTTTACAAGCAATTTTCCATAAATCTTCTAAGATTTATGTTGGAAAATAATATGAAGGACAAATATTCCTGTCTGTTACTGCTATTTGATGAATATTTTTTTCAGTCAATGTGAAGGCAATCAATGGAGAAGGATTTATGTTTGTTATTAAGTGTCCAGACAACCCCCCCCCCCCCCCATCATTCATAAATGTATGTGTACATTTGTCTATTGTAGAACCGGGATGTGAATTGCAAATGTTTCATCCTGAATTCTTCATCTTAATGAAGTGGGTGTGATGTAAGCAAATATTGACAAGATAAAGATGAGAGAAAGAGAGGGAGGGAGAGAGAGAGAGAGAGAGAGAGCCAGGGCCAATGTGCATTAGGAGCTGACCCTGGTCATTCCAAATTCCATTCCAAGTTTACCTACCATCACAGAGTATTTTCTATTTATACAGAGAACAATGAATTGTAAACTAGGGAACGCATTACTATGCTCTTTTTGGATCGAGTCTAGATATGTATGAAAAGCAGATTTGCTTTTCTTTTTTTGCTGATATTGCGTTATTTAGATCACTGCGATTTTGGTTTGTATGCCCTGTACAATGTACATGTATACAAAAAAAAGGTCATTTGATTCTATGTATTGGAATTTATATACATGTAGGACTTACCGTACCAGGGCCCCCTTTTGTATAAAGGCTTAGCATTGGTGGTAAATTTGCCATCGGTGGTAACTTTGCCATTATAATGGTAACTTCCATAAAAACCTTGATTTCACTAGTTGTTGAGAGATGTTGCCATGGTAATGAATATTGAAGGCAAAGTTAACATCAGTGGTAAGTTTTATGCCACATGGCTCAGATGTTCTGTATCCTTGGGGCTTTTAAAGGTGTCCATAATGGTCAAGTTAACCAAGGTTCCATGCCCCCTGATTCCTGATATATCACATCATTAAAGTGCACATCATGACAATTTGTTCTTTGTTGCTATTTTTTTTTTGCTGTAGAAACACTTGTCAGGAATATTGGTGGCACTGTCTCTATGAAAATTTCTGCTACTATAAGAGAAAGATAAAAATATAGTGCATACATTCACAAATCATTATTTTATTTGCTGGCATTATGGCATAATACTTTACTTAAAAGTTTTTAGAGCCTAGAGCCTTATCATTATTGACATAAAATGTTAATCTGATTATGACCTGCAATAAAAGCGCCAAGTCATTGTGCTGCATTGTCATAAATTGGAGTATGTTGTTATTAATGATCAATAATGCCTTATAATGGCAACATTATCAGTTGATATCAGCCTCCCATTGTTATCCAGTAATCACATTCCAATAGTACTGCAGTAAAAATGACATTTTTGATCTCTATTGCAGGGATGAATGTACTGTATAGAGCTTCTATAGAATTGAAACCAAATAGCCTTCAAAATTCAAATTATAGAAAATCGCACCATTGGTCTGACGTCATTGCAATTCTGAGCAGATTTAGCTTTTTCTCCTCCAATGAAGCTTGAAATTAAGATTTTATTAATCATGTGACCATTGAAATGCTATTGCAAATTCCTTCGATATCTGATCATAGTCAGATCGTGTAGTGTGTGCACTGGGCTTCATATCAGAGTAAGCATTAAAGGAATATAAAAGAAAATCCTTGGCAATTTTTCAGATCCAAACTTATGTTCTACCTTTATCTTACTTTATTGAACAATACAGGGTACAGCATTCACCTTGAGGGACACCAGCCACTGGGTATACATGGCTTGCTTCCACTCGTTATAAGCTCTGTGGAGCTACAGTAAGGAAAGATCAAACGCAACCTCGAAGACCACAGTCCTTTACATGTTCAAGTCACTTGTTCAAACCTAAGCTTATGCATAAGTATCTTATATTTCATTGAATAATACAGGGTACAGCATTCACCTTGAGGGACACCAGCCACTGGGTATACATGGCTTGCTTCCACTCGTTATAAGCTCTGGGGAGCTACAGGAAGGAAGGATCAAACACAACCTCAAAGACCACAGTCCTTTACATGTTCAAGTCACTTGTTCAAACCTAAGCTTATGCATAAGTATCTTATTTCATTGAATAATACAGGGTACAGCATTCACCCTGAGGGAGCGCCAGGCACTGGGTATTCATGGCTTGCTTCCACCCGTCATCAGCTCCATGGAGCTACAGGAAGAAAGGATCTTACACAATCTCAAAGACCACAGTCCTCTAGATAAATATGTGCAGCTTATGGACCTACAGGTACGTTTATGGTGTTTCTGTTATCTGTTGTCATCAAATTGAAAGAATTATGTGCCCCATCTTTTACAAAATCCTGGATCATCATCACATAGAGTTCTATTTTAATACAGATTTACTGTACTTGTTTTTAAGTGGAGAAACTTGTAGGGATTCTTCTCATCTGGCCCATTAATCTTTGTTGTAAGGATTCACAAATAAGATGACTTTTTTTCTGTACTTCTTTTCAATGACTTTTCCTCTGTAGATGACTGTATTACATTGTTTTGCACAAAGCTAATCTGCCGCAATGACGCAGTGACTTAGCTTCATTGTACGACTTACATGTATGTGATATGTAACAAAGAATATTTATGAAATTAACCTTTTCTACACTTTGGTGTTTCTATGCATGTAGGACCGCAATGAGAAGCTTTTCTACAGGGTCATGTGTAACCACATCACCGACATGATGCCCATTGTGTACACGCCCACTGTCGGGTTGGCATGCCAACGGTATGGCTACATCTTCCGTCGCCCTAGGGGGCTCTTCATTACAAAGTACGATAAGGGACATGTTCGTGACATCATCGCTTCCTGGCCAGAGCAAAACGTCAAGGTACATGTAGAAATTATTCAATTGAGCGAAAATCTCTAAATTAATACATGGAAGCTCAAGAAAGGTACATTTACAGGCCTGATTATTTTTTGTTTTTTCCTCCTGATTTTACCCCTTTTTTTCCCTACTTTTTCCATTTTTTCCCCCAATTTCCCTACTCGATTTTTTTTTTTTTTTTTTTTTGTAATAATTTTTTATAGTGCTCACTTTCACCCCCTGATTTAATAATGAAAGAGAAAGTTATAAAAGTGAGCATGTATGGTAGTTGCAAAGTGGCTTGTTGTTAATATAGACATGGACTGCAAAATGGTTGATTATTAACGTTATGATTTGCCTAACAATAAAAGTATGCATTCAGCATTTTGATGCGATATGAAGTGGTAATTAACCAAGTTCAAAATGTCTACATGTACATTAATCAATGAAGTACAATAGGGTATTGACATTTGAGCAGTCAGCAAATAAGAAGGCTTTGGTAATCAACCAACTTAAGATAACAGAGCTATTGGTGATATTCATCAAGCAGCTACATGTATTTGCACCTTTAGAATCATACATAAGATTATACTTGCCTTGAGAGATAAAGGCTATTTTATTTGTATAAGATCTAAAGAAGGATAGTGTTATAATTCCTCCTGTCTGAATCTTTGTTGTCCAATGGTAGACAATTTTGTAATGTAATCAAATTTAATGCATAAATCTTTGTTAAAGAAATTATTTGATTTACCTGTTACAAATAATTGTAATTGAAAAATCTGAATGTACATGTAAATTGCTTACAGTAATTGTTGCAAGGTAAGGCAAACCTTATGGCTTGTCCTACCTAAGAACATGGAATGTATGCAATTCACATTCTGACTATTGATATCCAATTATTCCTAATATGTGAATGAAATATTTATAACGAGGCACTTATGCACAAAGATTTATGCATTAAATTTGATTACATTATGAAAATGGCCTATTAAGGGATGGACTTCAGAATGTGTTTGTTTGTACAGGAAGGCTTCTTGACAAGAATTTGTTAACCTTACGTCCAAGTCGAATGAAATATTGCATAGTTGCATCACACGGGGTGGTTCGACCAAGCAATGTTTGCTTATAACATTTATTTAACCTTGTCTCTATTTTTAGAGAGAAAAAATTGCCCTTTGAGAGAAATTGTCCTAATCCCAGCCCCCCCCCCCCCCTGAAATCTCCATGCTGAAGGGTGTAATGTATTGGTGAGAATCCTAGATAGTGACAGAGTACCGGTATTGTAAAGCTCAGTAATTAATATTAAAACGTACAAGTATTTGCATGACATACAAGGAAGTCATTCCTAAATGGCCCGACACTTGATATTTAGTTGTCCTTAAAGGGATCCGGTAACTTTGTCTCAGATTCTAAAACAAAATTCTGGATTTAGCTCATGTTGCACTGATAATTTAAACCTTTAGGTCAGTTAGAAACCCATCCTGCAGAAACCCCATGACTTTTACAAGCCGATCACCTGTCTGATTATCAGGATATTTATGATTGGAATTACAAATTTTGAAAACCGTTTGCCAAACTGTTTTCATAACACTACAGTCTATTGGGGAAAACGAGTACGGTAAAACCGCTCACTCAAATTTTTAAAACTTTTTTGAGGCAATTAAGGCATTTGGCAACAAATGTTATGTGAAAACAAGATTTAATTTTACAATTGAATTTTCTTATAAAGAAAAGATAGTAAAACCGTAATCCTGTGGTGATTTGCTAACTCATCCAGGTATGCGGGTGGTCATTGTCTTTCATTTCTCCTTCTATTATTTCCTAAAATTCCTGTCCAACAATCGCTTGTTTGACCTCATGCTTCCTCTTTCACCACCCACAGCAGGCAGTGCTTCCTTGAAAATGAGTGAATTAATACAAAATCAAGAGATAAAACAACGTGATATACATTAGGGCTGCGACGTGTAGTTGAATGCTTGAGTGCCCGCACGGTTGACAACTACTCGGGTACGATTTTTAGTACCCAAATATTCGGCCGCAAAAAAAAAATTAAAAAAAATGGATTATTCTGCCATCTTTGGTTTTTAAAACAGCATTGTTTACTGTTATTATTATTATTATTAAATCGGCGTCTTCAACTGCAACTCAAAGTAAAATTGCATGTGTATTCGGCGACGTGAGATACTGCCCCAGTGGTATGGTGGTGGCAAAAAAAAAAAATCAAGTCGAATGAAATATTGCATAGTTGCATCACACGGGGTGGTTCGACCAAGCAATGTTTGCTTATAACATTTATTTAACCTTGTCTCTATTTTTAGAGAGAAAAAATTGCCCTTTGAGAGAAATTGTCCTAATCCCAGCCCCCCCCCCCCCCTGAAATCTCCATGCTGAAGGGTGTAATGTATTGGTGAGAATCCTAGATAGTGACAGAGTACCGGTATTGTAAAGCTCAGTAATTAATATTAAAACGTACAAGTATTTGCATGACATACAAGGAAGTCATTCCTAAATGGCCCGACACTTGATATTTAGTTGTCCTTAAAGGGATCCGGTAACTTTGTCTCAGATTCTAAAACAAAATTCTGGATTTAGCTCATGTTGCACTGATAATTTAAACCTTTAGGTCAGTTAGAAACCCATCCTGCAGAAACCCCATGACTTTTACAAGCCGATCACCTGTCTGATTATCAGGATATTTATGATTGGAATTACAAATTTTGAAAACCGTTTGCCAAACTGTTTTCATAACACTACAGTCTATTGGGGAAAACGAGTACGGTAAAACCGCTCACTCAAATTTTTAAAACTTTTTTGAGGCAATTAAGGCATTTGGCAACAAATGTTATGTGAAAACAAGATTTAATTTTACAATTGAATTTTCTTATAAAGAAAAGATAGTAAAACCGTAATCCTGTGGTGATTTGCTAACTCATCCAGGTATGCGGGTGGTCATTGTCTTTCATTTCTCCTTCTATTATTTCCTAAAATTCCTGTCCAACAATCGCTTGTTTGACCTCATGCTTCCTCTTTCACCACCCACAGCAGGCAGTGCTTCCTTGAAAATGAGTGAATTAATACAAAATCAAGAGATAAAACAACGTGATATACATTAGGGCTGCGACGTGTAGTTGAATGCTTGAGTGCCCGCACGGTTGACAACTACTCGGGTACGATTTTTAGTACCCAAATATTCGGCCGCAAAAAAAAAATTAAAAAAATGGATTATTCTGCCATCTTTGGTTTTTAAAACAGCATTGTTTACTGTTATTATTATTATTATTAAATCGGCGTCTTCAACTGCAACTCAAAGTAAAATTGCATGTGTATTCGGCGACGTGAGATACTGCCCCAGTGGTATGGTGGTGGCAAAAAAAAAAAATCAAAATTTTTTTTTAAAAAAATTATAAAAAACATGGCGTCCGAATACTCGAGTATTCGCTTGTAAGCCTGGGAGTGTACTCAGGTACCTCATTACACTGTTGTGCACAGCCTTAATATACAGTCAAACCTGTCTATAGCAACTGTCAAAGGGAAACAATGGCAAACTTACAAACTCCTTTCTCTTTTGCACAGTGTTGCAACTAATATCAAATTGTGGTTGATTTGAATCAATTACATCTGTTTAGAAAACTGCAAAACGTAGCCTAGGTGCAACCAGTACGATGCATGTAATGTATCTAAATGGATGAACAGACTCAAATGGAACCATCAATACGATCTGTTTCTGAAATGTTAATGAGAGTCAATAATTTCCTGCAATGTTTGATTTTATACATTTCCCATGATAAATGTTTTAAAAAAAAAATATTTTACCAAATTTTGCTTTCCCTTCTTCTACTTCTATTCCAGGCTATCGTCGTAACTGATGGAGAGAGGATTCTAGGTCTGGGTGATCTCGGCTGTTATGGTATGGGCATTCCTGTGGGTAAGCTAGCCCTGTACACTGCCATTGCTGGAGTGCATCCATCCCAGTGTCTACCAGTCATGATCGATGTTGGAACGGACCGCCAGGTAAATTAACCCTCAAATGATTTTGCTCAAAATGATGATATTTAAAAAAATATACATCATTTTCCCCAAGGATCATCATCATCCAGTGCTGTCCCTTCGGAAGGGGTTGGGCGTTATGCACCTCCATCATTTCTGTCATGCACCCTTGTTCTAACTTCTTCGTAGTTAAAACCAGTCTATTTCTTGACATCATCAAACCAAGTGATCCGCTGTCTACCCTTTTTAGTTTACCCTCTCCAAGGATACAAAGTACTTATTAGTATTAGTATCCCAGCTTTAGCCTAGCTACCTTGATAAGCCGGTCAAGCATTCAAGGAATTTCTCTCTACTGGGTACCAATTAATTATTCCTGGGTTGAGGGTAGCAAATGTAGATTAATGTCTTTCCAAAGAACATTTGTGCCTTGGCAGGGACTTGAACCGCAAACCATGTGATCCACAGTCTCTGGACGTATCCACTGACCATGACACATATTGTAGGCTAATATACTTATTCATTTTCAAACTGATCTCCTAGACATTTAAAAAAAAAAGAAGCTATTCACCATTATGTCATAATTTTATATCAATGAAAGTATAAATGATAATTTTTCTGATGGTGGCAAAAGTCCAGTCATAATGATAAAGAGCTAAACTAGTCCATTTAGTTGCTTCTGTCAAGAATTTTCCAGTAGTTAACATGTCTTTCATACTATTTTCCCCCCTCTCAGTCGCTCCGTGATGACCCCCTCTACATTGGTTTGAAGGACAAGCGGGATCGATCTGAAAGCTACGACGAGCTAATCGATGAGTTCATGCAAGCAGTGGTAGAAAGGTAAGGGTTAGGGTCATACTTTACTAGATTCTACTTAAATTTGGAGATACTAGTACTTCTAGATACTTACGCCACTACTATATACTCCTTGGTGATTCCAAGCATATTGTTGTAGAGCCTGTAATGTTTGTGACCTGCAAGCAAAGCAGTTGTTACTGAATGCCTTTTTCACAGCAAAAAAACTGTCACAGACTGCAAGAATATGTTGTGATTGAATAAGTTTTGTGGCACAAAACTTTGGCACAGCTTTACAGCTTGCCAACTTTGTAAAAGTTTCATTTATTCAAAATTAGTAGTGTTACAATAGTTAAAAGTTAAAATAAATCATGCACCAATGAGCGCATGAACAGTTATAGAAGGGTGATAGGGTAGGATGAATAGAAGGTCAATTCTTTAGAAATAATTCTTGAAAAAAAAAAAAATCAAAGGTCCATTTTTATAGATTTGCCTACAGATTTTTGCATGCTCGTTCAAAGCAATATTTGAAGTATGTGACCCGGCTCATGCTTTCACTGTATGACTGTCTAAGAGAAAGAAATCATTCGTAGAATCAAAAACAGACCTGCCCTCTTTGATCCAAACTATGACTTCTTTGTATATCAAATCAATAACACAGGATATGGTTGTGTGTGCTTTGTTCTAGGTATGGACAGAATTGCCTGATCCAATTTGAAGACTTCGCCAACAGCAATGCCTTCAGACTGCTCGAGAAATACCGCAACAAATACACCGTCTTCAATGATGATATACAGGGTAAGGACAATGAAATCATTTCAGCTATCTTCATATCTGGATTTAGATGGTCACAAGCAATTATAGTTTTCACCCTTTCCCTCTATCTTTCTGTCTCATGTCTGTTTGTCTGTGTTGCTGTCTTTATGTATGTCTTGCCTCACCCTTTCTCCTGGACTGTTAATATTTGACATTATGCTTCATCAGTTATTGAATCGTTAAGGAGTTATGTAAATCTCATAAATAATAAGTGCTACATATCGTCCCTATTTTCACGAAGTGACGGTAGTGAATGAAAATCGCATACAATTTGCGTGCGGATTTTCCTCAATACCGTCACTTCGGGAAAACAGGAACGATATTTAGATCAGTTCTGGACACTTATGAGTGTCCAATTATTTCCTTAGAAAATGTGGATTGTTATATATTTATAGTGACTCAAGTGTTGTAAATGTACCTGAAAGAACATCATCATAGGTTTTCACCCTATCATATTTTTTGTTTAATTGGTTAATTCAATTTTCCAAATACACCTGGTAGACATTGTTCAGGTCTTCGACCAAATTAACTACACCAAATATCTTGTGTACTGAATGGAATTTTCCCCTTACATCACCACAGGTACAGCATCAGTAGCCGTAGCTGGATTCCTGGCCAGCTTGAGAATCACAAAGACAAAGCTGGGTGATAACAAGTTCCTCTTCCAGGGTGCTGGTGAGGTAAGATGATAATAAAGCAAGCAAGCATTGCTTTGTCTGGTTATGAACCAATATATCCTGGAGATAACATTTCCATTTCTTGGCAAGTCCAAGGTACTTGGTCATGTGGTGTCCCATACATTACAAAGGTTTGAAGATTATGAAATTTTCATCAGAATGAAGGTGTTGTTGTCTAGTGGATACGTCACCCAACCGCAGATGACAAGGTACAGGGTTCAAATCCCAGCACAACACTATATTAAACGTCCTTTGGCAAGACGTTAATCTACATTTGCCACTCTCTGCCCAGGTGTTAAATGGGTACTCATTAGGATGTGAAAGTTAATGTAGGTTGCTCAGCATTGTTAGGGTCTGTGAAATGACGCCTGGTTGGAATGCTCCCCATGGAGTGGAGAATGTGCATACATCGGATGATAATAATTTACAAAAGCAGATTATTATTGTTATTATTAGGATGGTTTTAGTGATGGTTTGAAAGTGCTTGTATCGCATCTAAAATAAGAGAAAAGGAATAAAGAATTGAAGAGGTCTGCATCATCAGTTGACATCAAACATGTATTTTCACTTTCACCTCAAGCTCTAGTAAGGCTAATTGCTTAGTACAGTCAAACCTGTCTACAGTGACCGCCCAAGAGAAACAAAAAATGTGCTTGTTGTAGACAGGTTCCTTTAGTACATGTTTAAATGAAAAACCATTTTCAAGGGAAACAAAAAATGTGCTTGTTGTAGACAGGTGGTCACTAAAGCCGGTTTGACTGTACAACCATCAGAAGTACTAACATCTACATGCAACTGGAAACATTCCCTTTTTCTCTCTCCTCACAGGCTTCATTAGGAATAGCCGATCTGATCGTGAACGCCATGCAGGAGGAAGGACTCAGCGTGGAGGAGGCCAGGAAAAGAATCTGGCTCGTTGACTCCAGAGGGCTCATTGTTCAGGTAGCCATGCTTTAAAATAAAATTTTAAAAGCCCCCCTCTCTTAAAAAAAAAAAAATGATAATAATTATACAGATAAAGGAAGACAACTAGAAGAAAAGCAGCCTAGATGCTCGCCCAGTTCATCCACACAAAAATATATATAAAAGATGACAGTTCAGTATGATATTCAGCTCACTTTATCAATGTAATGCAGTATGCAGTTGATTTCACAGGAAAAAAAACAGCAAGGAAAGTGATAGATCATTTAGATTATTTTAACCTCTCATTTTCTTTTCATTTCATGTAAATCCATTTACGCAGAAAATGTGTCTTGGTTTATAGTGTAGTGGTCAATTTAAAATTGGAATAGCTGTTTCTTACAACCTTATATCTGCTTTTACTGAGTCTGAAAGAAAATCCAACACAATTATCACCAAATGTTTATATATAATTATATATTATTATCCTAATTCTGAAAGGAATGCTTTTATTGCCAAGTAGAAATCAAACTTGACAAGGTATTCCATAAAAATGCCTCGACTATGTCCAGGCCGCGTCCTTTTTTTTCCTATGAACTTTTATACTTGACGCATGCAAAGTGGTCACAAACAATTGGACTTTGATTATTTATTGCTTTGCCTCACTATTTATAAAGGCAAAAAACTAAATAAAGTGAGATTTGAACCCTCACGTCAACTCCAACGTTCTATTAGTATCACGATGTCTTTACCGATTGAGCTAACGATGAGTTGACAAAAGAACGATTTGTATAATTACTATCACCCTATTTGTCGCCCTACCGGATTCCACGTGCGCATGCGCTGATTTCCTTCGCGAGTGCTCATGCGCAGGTTCCCCTCGCGAGCTCAAAGTTCGTAGGAAAAAAAAAAAATCGCGTCCAGGCCATGTACATGCAGCATTATCCAATGTTTATATATCGTTTTTGGCGATTAACAGGGTACATGTATGTGGTTTTTCTGAGAAAAAAAAATCTCCATTTTATTAACATTTGGCTGGCCAAAAGATTTATAAACTCCAAATGGTTTTTGAAATACTTTTGCCCTGGATTTGAAGCTTCACTGTGAGTACTCTATATGCTTTGAATAACCATTAAATGTACTTTGGACAATGTGACTATTACCTTGCATTGATGATTGTTTACAGGGTAGACCATCTGGTGGAATCACAGAGCACAAAGGTCGCTACGCCCACGAACACAAAGACCTGACAGATCTAACTGAAATAGTCAAGGCAGTCAAACCAACCGTACTTATAGGTAAGTGAAACGAAGGAGAAAACAAACAAAAAATTAAAAAGCGCAGGGACTCATCTTGGTATGCATTGTGATAAAACATATGAACCATAGACAAACCTGCATATAAAAAGCTGTTGAAGGTTTTGGGAGCTAGAAAATATATAAGCTATGGAACACATACCCTCACTCCTACTGTGGGCTTACTATGATAGTATAATAACCTTTTGAATAATTATAGGCCTGACAAAAAAAAAACTTCAGAAAGATGGGACTCCTCTCATTCGGATTTTGTTTCTTTTTATGTGTATTTTTCTATTGAATATGATTAGCAGACTTTGCTCATACAGTGTAGGTTAATTATTACATATTTTGGGGGGTTATGGTGAAGAAATCACTGCTTCTCTAGTCAAAGAATAAATTTTTGAACAAGATTACCCCAGGTAACCTTGTAGAGGTATGAGGGATAGGCCGAATTAAATTGTCTTGCTGCTTAAATTGATCTGCCTTAAAGGGCAATCCAACCTTTGTAATAATTTCATTTGAATGAAAGCAGGAAAATAAGAGAAACAGAATGGCCGATGTTTGAAATAACTCTGACCAATAACAAGAAAGTTGTGAGTGTTTTAAATTTGAGATCATCAAATTGGCAATCTGGGTACTGTTTGTCGTGTATAAAAATATAAAAAATTTCTGTTTTTCTCCCAAGCGTCTTCTCCCTTGTCCAATTCTGATCCAGCTTTCACCATTTTGATTCACTGATTTATGTGGTTTCTTTTAGAGTATTTTGCTTTTGGGTTGCATTTCCATTTATAGCTTTGCCCTCCATTTCATATCAGGTGCCGCTGCCATCAGTGGCGTCTTCACCCCTGAGATCCTCAAGGCCATGGCCTCCTTCAACAAGCGCCCCGTCATCTTCGCCCTAAGCAACCCAACAAGCAAGGCCGAGTGCACCGCCGAGCAGGCCTACACGCACACCAATGTAAGTAAAGGCAAACCTGTCTAATAGTGGCCACCTCTATATAGAGGTCACCTGTGTATTCGTGATCACCTGTGTATTAGTGGTCACCTCTATATAAAGTCCACCTGTGTATTAGTGGCCACCGTCATCTGTTTATTAGTGGCCACCTCTATATAAAGTCCACCTGTGTATTAGTGGCCACCATCATCTGTTTATTAGTGGCCACCTCTATATAAAGTCCACCTGTGTATTAGTGGCCACCATCATCTGTTTATTAGTGGCCACCTCTATATAAAGTCCACCTGTGTATTAGTGGCCACCTCTATATAAAGTCCACCTGTGTATTAGTGGCCACCTCTATATAAAGGCCACCTGTGTATTAGTGGCCACCTTTATATAAAGGCCACCTGTGTATTAGTGGCCACTCTATATAAAGTCCACCTGTGTATTAGTGGCCACCTCTATATAAAGTCCACCTGTGTATTAGTGGCCACCTCTATATAAAGTCCACCTGTGTATTAGTGGCCACCTCTATATAAAGTCCACCTGTGTATTAGTGGCCACCTTTATATAAAGGCCACCTGTGTATTAGTGGCCACCTCTATATAAAGGCCACCTGTGTATTAGTGGCCACCTTTATATAAAGGCCACCTGTGTATTAGTGGCCACTCTATATAAAGTCCACCTGTGTATTAGTGGCCACCTCTATATAAAGTCCACCTGTGTATTAGTGGCCACCTCTATATAAAGGCCACCTGTGTATTAGTGGCCACCTTTATATAAAGGCCACCTGTGTATTAGTGGCCACTCTATATAGAGGCCACCTGTGTATTAGTGGCCACCTCTATATAAAGGCCACCTGTGTATTAGTGGCCACCTTTATATAAAGGCCACCTGTGTATTCGTGGTCACCTGTATTGCCTCCCTCTAGGAGGATACATGTTTTGAAGAACCTGTCCGTGAAGGCCACCTGTATACAGTGGCCAGTTTTTCAGTTCATCAGATAGAGAATCAATACATTCAACTGTCGGTGGATCATACGATCTTAATTCTACTCTTTTTTGCAACTGTTCCCGTTGTTTTATCATAATATTACATCTTAAAGCCCCACTGCACTACTTATAGCTACTTGCGCCCTCTATATAGCAAACAATGCCTAAGTGGTGACCGTTGGTCCCCCACGGTCCCTTTTTTTGTTAATTGAGAGCTTATTTGATGAGATAATCACCTATCCGTGACCATGCAGGGAGGTCTAAACCCTCCTGGCCAAACTAGTGCAGTGGGGCTTTAAATGGACCCCATTAACAGGGGTTTGGTCCATAACTTATTTACTCTGATTGTTCATCCCACATGTTTTATGAGTATTGGGCTAACATCGCATGAACATTCATCGGCTCTTATCTCGGTTGATCAAACACACATCATGATCTTTTACGACATCAACCAATATAAACACACCTCTTCACATTCAGTAGTAGCCCCCAGATATCAAATGCTCTGTAGCCACAAACCAACAAGAAGAACAATGAATAGCATACTACTTTTCATAGCAAAATAACTCTGAACATTCTGTATGTCAAGCCTATTAACAACCAAACATCCAATGCTCTGTAGCCACGCACCTACAAGAATAATTAATGAAGCATACTACTCTACATAGGAAAATACATGCAACTCTCTACAATGTTATTGTTTCACTGTACATGTAGCCACACTCACAGGGCTAAAAAATCAAATGAATACCGCTTTTCATGTTTCAGACAGATAAAAACAACTGCAGTTTACCAGTTTCCAATACACAATCAAACCGGGGGAATCCCATAAATAACACACTCGGGATATTGTCATGCAAGAACCAAGATTATTGCTTCTACAGCATGTCAAAGTGTATGGGCAGAAACCACTGCACATGACATGTATTGCCACACAAGACCCACTTCCTTTATCTGCTACACTGTCTCAAACAAAAATTAAAGTTATCAAGACCTCTTAAGGTTATCCTGAAATACACAACAATATCACAATTTTTTTATGATACGCAGAGAGTAGTAACAAGCAACAACTATAGGTTACATACTGCATCTTTGATTTGAATATACTATATTCAAAGACCTCAAATGCCGTTAGTGTTATACTCATGCCACCGTGGCCAGCTGGCATGGGTCAAGTGGCCTTGAGCTTAGCCATTTCGACAGTGGCAATGCAGCCTGAGATTTGGGCTTCATCACAAAAGGTGGAGTGGCGTCTTGGCTATATCAAGGCCTTTAATTCACGATAAAAGGACTAAGAGTATGGTCACATGGTGTTGCCATTTGTCAGAGAGAGGGTGAAACATCAAAATGAGCAGTTTTACCATAACCATGCAAAATGTTCACCATTCAATTTGAAAATATGCATGTGATTTTGAAACAACTGCATGCAGATTTATCAGCAAACCTCCCCTGGGAAAATGACCGCAGTCCTTGAGCAAGGCATTTCTTCCACATTGCTTCTCTCCACCCAGGTGTAGAGTGGATACCTTGTAGGATTGTACTCTATGTCATTGTCTTGGATGAGAATTTGGGAACCTATAAATTGGTGCCTGGCTGGAATGCTCTACATGGAGTCTAAAGTGTGCTATTAAAGTGGGAAATACCACAGAGCTCAGTTAATACAGTCAAACCTGCTTTAGTGACCACCTGTCTACAAAGACTACCTGCCTACAAAGAACACATTTTTTGTTTCCCTTGAAAATGGTTTCTCATTGAAACATGTACTATAGGCACCTATAGATAAAGACCACCTGCCTATAACAACCACTCTTTTGTATCTCTAGGGTGGTCTTTATAGAGAGGTTTCACTGTATGTGCAAGTCCGTGCCATATCTGAACAAGCCTTCAGTGTTCAGTATGCCTTCTTCCATTTTCCTTGTGGAGGATAAATCATTGAGAAGCACCATCTCCTCTCCATCAGATAGGACATAAAGAATGGAGTTGATGGGTGTGGCAGAGCCCTAACTCATACACCTTGAAACCACATTTTTTTGAAAGAAGAGTGGTCCTAACACGGTACCCTGGGGAACACCGGAGTCTACAGTCACGTCAGATGATCTCTCGCCATTAACAAACAACAACATCCTGGTTACGTTTTGTAAGCCAGTTCTGGATCCAGTTGTGGGTTGATCCCTGAGTGCCGTAATGATCTAATTTGTACAGTAGTCAACACAAAAACCTTGTAACTTGCGCCACACCTACACGAGCTTGACACTGTTTGTTGTCAGCTTATAAGCTTCTATTCATGGACTACATGTATGTCAGAGTAGTCTCTTGCAAATAGTTCAGGCACCAAAAGCACTGTGCTAGATACAATTATGAGAGATCAACAGTTTTGTCGTTTCCTGGGCGGCCAGTCCCTCACCTTTGTCTTGTGTCATTTTCTTTGCACAGGGTCATTGTGTCTTTGCCAGTGAAAGTCCCTGTAATCCATTCACATATTGCTCCAGTCAGTCCATCACCATCGTTTTATGTCTGTCATTTTCCTTAAAAGGTCAGTGTGTCCATGCCGTTGAAAGTTCTTTTGATCCTGTCACATATTGCTCCAAATTGGTCCATCACCTTCAGTTTTATGTCATTTTCCTTAAAAGGTCAGTGTGTCCATGCCATTGAAAGTTCTTTTGATCCTGTCACATATTGCTCCAAATTGGTCCATCACCTTCAGTTTTATGTCATTTTCCTTAAAAGGTCAGTGTGTCCATGCCGTTGAAAGTTCTTTTGATCCTGTCACATATTGCTCCAAATTGGTCCATCACCTTCAGTTTTACGTCATTTTCCTTACAGGGTCAGTGTGTCTTTGCCAGTGGAACTCCTTTTGATCCGTTCACATAAGCTCTAATCACTCCAATACCTTCAACTGTCTTTTCTTTGCTTATGCAGGGTCAGTGCGTCTTTGCTAGTGGAAGTCCTTTTCACATAAGCTTTAATCAATCCAATACCTTCAACTGTTGTCTCTTTGCGTACATAGTGGAAGTCCCTTTGATCTGTTCCCATATTAAAGCTCCAATCACTCCAACGACTTCAACTTTCTGCTTACGTAGGGTCAGTGTGTCTTTGCCAGTGGAAGTCCTTTCAATCCTTTTACATAAGCTTAATATGTTGTGGTGGTGGTGGTGGTTATTTTACCTGACAGCTAATTAAGCAATAAATGCTTGTTAGTAAGCAACCAGAAGACCGACAGCTTTAGGTCCTCTCTGAGGGACCTGGCAATGAGGATTAATGCCTTTCCAGAGGGCACTAGCGCATTGCCTTGGTTTCAAACCCGGGTTAACCGGATTACGAGACCACTGCTCTACCAACTGAGCTATCGCCCCTCCTCTAGTCACTCCAACCCCTTCATCTTTTGTCTTTTTGCTTACACAGGGTCAGTGTGTCTTCGCCAGTGGAAGCCCCTTTGATCCGTTCACATTACCCAACGGAAAGACCCTGATACCAGGACAAGGTAACAATGCTTACGTCTTCCCTGGCGTGGCTCTGGGTATCATCGCCTTTGGGATCAAGCACGTCAGTGATTCCATCTTCCTCGAGGCAGCAAAGGTAAGATAGGTCACTGTAATTTATATTCTCACTTGATCTCTCTCTTTTCCCCTCTTTTTCTCTCCGTCTCTCCCTTTCTCTTCCTTTCTCTTTCTCTCCCTCTTTCTTTCCCCATCTTTCTCTTTCTCTCTCCCATTCTCTTTCTCTCATTATCTTTCCCTCTCTCTCCCGTTCTCTTCATCTTTCTTTTCTCACTCGATCTCTCTCTTTCTTTTTACCTCTTCCCCTCTCTCTCTTTCTCTCTCTCTCTCTCGCATTCTCTTTCCCTGTCTTTCTCTCATACTTTCCCTTTCTCCGTTCTCTTCATCTTTCTTTTCTCACTTGATCTCTCTCTCTCTCTCTCTCTCTCTCTATCCCTCCCTCCCTCTCTCTTTCCCTTTCCCTCTCTTTCCCTCTTTATCTTTCCTTTTCTCTTCCACTTTCTTTTCTCTCTTCCACTTCCTTTTCTCACTCTCTCTCTCTCTTTCTTTTTCCATCTCTCTCTCTCTTTCTCTCTCTCACTCCCCTTTCTTTTTCGCTCTCTTTCCCTCATTATCTTTCCCTTTCTCTTCCATTCTCTTCATATTTCTTTTCTCACCCCATCTCTTTCTTTTTACCTCTTTTTCTCTCTCTCTCTCCCTTTCTCTTTTTTTTCTCCCATTCTCTTTCCCCTCTTTTTCTCTCTCTCTCTCTATGGCCATGTTGCTTTACTTTTACTTTTTCCTTCTGTTTCTAAGGGTTGAAAGTAATCAGATGTTAACCATGTTTAAGTCAACCCCCACTCATGTCCATATTCTACATACTTGTATTTAATGTGCATTGTCAACTATTTCCATTCATTTAATTATTTTTATCAATACTTTTTACCAATTATGATATGTATCTGTGTTCTATTTTATGTTTTTTTTTTTTAGTGGAAATAAACTTTGAATTTAATTTAATTTAATTTGTCCTATCGTAACAAGATTATCTAATTGCAGTATGGTAGGTGATTCAGTGAATATGTGAACCTTCTCAATTTCTCCTTAATCTTATCAAACTGGCATCATCTTTGTTCACCATTTCATTCTTTTTTCAAGAATGTTATTTAAAATTTTAAAAAAATTGTTTATTTGTTTGTTTATTCATAGCAACCAAAGGGTTGGATTGATATGTGTGGTGTTATAGCTGAAACATAATGATTAAATACTTCCTAATGCAGTAATGAAGTTGTCAATTTATGACAGAGGATTAGTTTGCTTTGACTAGGTGCTGCCAATTTGGGGAGCAAAGGTCTAATTTAAAAAGAATTGAAAACAATCTATTCATCAAATGGAACCTTGTTCCTAACTACAACAGGAATCAAATTTATTGTTCAGTAGAATTTAAAATGAAAGTGATAAAAAAGAGAAAAAAGAAGAAAGGAGTTTTGTGATCAACTAATCAATTTTTTAAAATCAAAATCCTTAACCCAATCCAGTGCATTGCCAAATTGGTAACCCAAGCCCACCTGGACGAAGGACGAGTCTACCCCCCTCTTGAGGACGTGAGGGAGGTTTCTGTCAAGATCGCTGTACGCGTCGGCGAGTACGCTTACGACACCGGGATGGCATCCAAGTATCCCCGGCCAGAGGATATGGAGGCGTACGTACGAAAGTGCGTCTACGACTACGAATATGAGTCTTTCACACCGGACTACTATGACTGGCCGACTACAGAGTCAAAATACTAGATGCTATGCCGTTAACTTAGTGAAATTAACTAGAAAGAAATATACTAGTAGTGGAAATAATTTAATGATCCCTTCCAAGAGATATATATCTATAGAAGAAAAAAATTATATGCCATAGATGAGTCTATTTTGCAATGTGATATTTGGGTGGTTATAGTATTTATAGGAAAAGAGTATGCAAATTTATCCCACCTCTTAAGGTTGGCTAATTATCCATTGTTTGAAATGAATTATGTAAAGCGCTGTTTATGTGTGGTGTATATGTATGATGATGTTGATGAAATGAATTTGGGACTCAGTATTTTATTTGAATAGTCGTTATATATATATATATATATATATATATAACTGTTTTATGTTTTTATCCGTGTGAAAAAAAGATGCACAAAAGTAAAGAAGGAGAAATGGTATTGAATGAGTACCATTGGGGAAGTTTTCATGTGAAAACAATTGTATGTTGTGGGCGTGTGCACTTGTGTACTTGACAGCTCCTTAACTCTTATCCTGCTATAAGGAATACAGCCCAGTGCTAGGGCTAATCCCCATTATGCCAAGCCACAAATTCCCCCAGTGCCAAGTTTGTGTTGAGATAATCTGATGGTGTAATCAATAGCGCGTGCAAGGCACTCAGCACAGTACAGACCCTGCACAATAACTGCTATTACGAATGCGAGCATGCATGCATAAAGCAGCTAAGCTGTGGCTCACTTGCATGAATTAAGCAGCCAATCGATAGCGGGCTCGCGTGTACAAAGCACTTTAATGATAGCGTGCATGCAGCCTTATGGCAGGATATGAGTTAATATATATTTTTAGTAGAGACTGTGGTGGAGTAAGAAATCATTTTTTTTCTTTTTAAGAAACATGTAATACATATAATATGAGAAATAAATTTCATGAGGAGAGACACAATCAGTATCAGGTATGTATAAGTAAAGCACAGAGAAAACATACGCTGTGGTGACTGAATTACGATAATCGTTACCTCACCTGGTATTTCGTTATGGAAATTCCACATACTGGACTATCGGAGGTAATAACACTTCAGGGTATGTCTATTTATTCCTGACACCAAGCAAACTCTATATAATAGCAAAGTTCTCCTCAGAAAAGTAGGAAATTCTCTCCATCATTAGTCGGTTTCACACAGAAAAATCCCTTAAAAAATCCTCTCAAGGGAGAATTTTCTTGCTTCGTTAGAGGATATTTAATGGGATAATTGATGACAGACAGCAATTAAGAGGATAACTAAAATCTGGATAACTGAAATCCAGATCTTGGGCCTCTGTGTGACACCGCCTAATGATCCAGAAAACATTCATGCAGGTTAAATACGAGCGTTATGAACATTTCTGCAGAACAACAAAAATAAATGCAACATAGTTGCTCCTTTCATTTACGTTCTATTCTGAGGTACACATGTTAGTAGAGAAGAGAGACGGTACCAGTAGAGTACTGATGAATGAATTACATATAGATAATGCAACATATATATGAAACAAGTACTGCCAGCTGTCTTGCTTACCGGTACATGGAAGTTATTGAAAATAGAATGCAAAATACCAAACACTGTGTGTTATTGGTGATATCTTCCATGGAAAACATTTTAATTTGTTTGAATGCACATGTAATCATAAAGCCAAAGTAATGGATAGATTAGATTATCTGTTTGGAGCCAGAAGGGTGTTAACTTGTATACATTTAACGACCTTGTGGTTGTGAGCCGACAGCATAATTCGTCCTTGTTTTCACGAAGTGACGGTAGTGAGGAAAATCGTAACGCAAAGTGAATGCAATTTTTTTTCACTACCGTCACTTCGTGAAAACAGCGACGAATTGTGTCCTTATGCATTATTGTAATACCTCAGTGGAAAGTATGTCAATGCAAAGAAATGCAAGTGATTTTTTATCTATCTGTGTATGTGTGAATTTATTTGCATGCTAGTGGAGAAACAGATATGCAAATTGCAGCTGCAACCATTGCCCATACATTTCTTGAAGCACAGTCTAAAAAAATATATTAAAGAAATATTTATGTTTGACATTGCCAAATATTGGTCATAGAGGTGTTCTTGTGAAATTGTAAAAAATATTGTGGTACTCTGTATATCATTACCTCTGTTGTATTAAGCTACCATTTACATGTTATAGCCAGTATTTTATTATTCCTGTTTAATAGTATTCAAATCCTAGTGGTATTAATATTATTAAGTTGTAGAATGTGATTATGCACCAAACCAAATAACATTAATCGTCTTTCTGAAAGAGGCACTAATCAAAAAGAGCTGTTCTATTGTTCTATCGTTGATTATGCAAAGAAAACGATATTATATAGGAATTAAAACAAAGTAAATGAGCTATTCGTAAGTTTAATAAACACAGCAAAACTTGCCAGTGATATTTGGAAGGTATTACCATCTTTCAGAAGTTGCTTTTTAGATCTTTTATTTGTGGAAGCAATCATTCACTTCAGCGGTGGTAAATCTTGAAATTGTACATTTTTAAAAGAGGCATCTGTGATGTCGCAAATTTTATTCATTGACCTAATGACCTTTGTTCTTGTCAAGCACTTGTATTTCACTATTTATCTACTGGTCAAACATGTTACAATGCTGTAGAGTGCTGAGAAACGATACGTATGTATTTGTTGTTTGAAAGCTATATCGGACGAGCTTTAAAAAACAAAGGAAAGTCATTGTGCTTCCTCCGTGGGCTTTTTGTCATATGATGCTACCCCTCTGCGATTTGAGAGTTGTGTGGTTGTGCAAAAATGTGAGGTAGAATGAATTAATAAAGATTATCAACCAAAACCAGAAGACATCAAAGAGTTAATGGCTTGTTTTCTTGAAAGGCATTGTTTAACAATACAAATCTGAAATGCATGGCCCTATGTGTAACAATGAGTGATTTCAAGTTGGGTGTTAGTGTTAGTGTTAGTGTTAAGAGCAGTCAAGAGCTCTTAAATCGAGCGAAAAATTTGCTGATGAAATTAAGAGCCCGATACCGATATCAAAATCGATAGCTTAACACCAGCTGTGACGTCACCACATACTTGATTTCACGACGATGATTTAAAAATAGTACATAAAAACTAAAGATATCATGAAAAGTACAGAATAAATATAGACCTATTTCTCTGGTCTTATAAAATAACTCATTTTACACAAAAGAATACATGAATTACCTGTTTCACATATTTTTATTTGATCATCAGACAATAAATTGGCGTCGTTCGTGCGATGACTGTTGTGCGGTACAACACTAACACCGAACTGGAAATCAACATTGCTTAATCCCCAGGGGCTAGTGTTAGTGAATAGGACATTTGTACGTAAAATATTAACACCAGCCACAAAGGTTGGTTCAGCAGACGACAATTTTGCAAAATCGATAACACTAGCTACCGGAAGTTGACGATATTCAGAGGTCAAAGCCTTAACACCAGCTGATTTCCATTTCGGTGTTTAGGCTGGTGTTAGTGTTTATTAAACACTAACACCAGCCTTAAACACCCAACTTGAAATCACTCAATGTGTCTGAGATGTGTCTGCATTATGGTGTAGTATTGAAGGCTTTTGAAGCCCTAAAAAAAAAATCACGCTTCAAAATGGTCATGAAGTGCTTCAAAAAAGTAAAAATCTTTGAGTGACCGGTTTTACCATACCGGTACTCATTTTCTCCAAAAGACTAGTGTTATAAAAACATTTTTTGAAATTTCGAATTCCAATCAATAATATCTTGATTATCAGACAGGCGATCGGCTTGTAAAAGTTACAGGATTCCTGACTGACCTATAATTTAATTTTGATTGCAGCATGAGCAAAATCCAGGATTTTGTTTAGAATCTGAGACAAAGATACCCAATCCCTTGATTTGTCAGTATATATAAATATCACTTGATTTTCTTTCAATACATGATATACATGTAGTCCAAAACCTGACTTAAATAGTTCTTTAACAGGTTTATATGTATATCACACGAATCATTGCATTACCTTTTTCAGCCTTCCTCTCTGTATTCTATCCCCCTCTTTTCTTCTCTTTCCGTCTCTTTCTTTATCTTCTCATATATCGTTCTACCGGTAGTACCCCCTCTCTCATTCTTTTTCTTTCTTTCTCCCACCTTTTGGCATCTACAGAGGATTTATTTCATTTTGTCACATCTCTACAAATAATACACACAAATCATGTCTGTAAAACATGGCATACATTCATTTATTGGAATTGATATTTGGTGCAACCTCGGTCAGACTTCTCTTCAAGTTGAGATGGATTCTTACGACATATGCTCCAGCGACAATTGGGCCCCGTCTTACAAAGAGTTACGATTGATCCAAAGCAATCGCAAGTCCAATCAATCGCAAGTTTGCAGTCTGCTATCTCTTATGTACATTTGCGATTGATATCAACTCTTTGTAAGACGGGGCCCTGGCCTATTTCACCACGCTAACCCTATTCCTAATTTAACCCTGGACCAAACCATATACCTTCACGTTGCCCTAATATAAAGAACCCAACTATAACCCTACATGTACGTCTTTGACAAAATACTGTACGAGCCAATATTTTCGAGGATCAAGGGTTCAAGGACTAATTCGCGTAAAGCCACAACCACTACCAATTACCGTTAAACAACTGAATTATGCATACCCCTTTTATATTTCATGTTTTTTTTGTGTTTTCTTAAATTAAGAATGAAAGGTGGACTGGTTTAATCAGGGCCTTTGTTGAATACTGTTAATATGTCACATTCTCAAGAAAAGTCGATCAGGACTAAAAAAAAAATTAAAAAAATTATAATCTTTGTAAGGGTACGAATAATTCAGTTGTTACCGATACATACTTCCATTAACATTGTATTTTGGTGGATCATGAACTTGTTATGGAGTATCGAAATAACCATCATCCTATGAGAATTCTTTTTAGAGAGAAGTAAATGAAAATAGTCCATTGGAGTGCCAAATTACGGCCACTGTCCCAAACTCTGCCGCACGACCCGGTGACTACTTCAATTGATTCGGGATAAAACACTCTTTCATAAGATGTATAATAATTTACTGTTCATAGATGATTTTTAGAATAATTAGCAATATTCTAGGTGTAAACTTTTTTTTTGACTCGCATGGTAGTGTACAGTCACCATGCGCAAAATGTACGTTGTTAAATTCACGATCAACGCGAAGTTCCCGTAAATAAAACCCATGAAAATAACAGCTTATACAGTACGGTAAGTAGAGCCTGGAGCAAATGTCGTCAAAGCAAATGTTGAAACATCGAGAGCAATTAGGGGTGAAAAGAAAACCTAAGTAGAACAAAGAAGTGAGAAATACATGTATGAGTAAATATAAGCTCTCTCCTCTTTTCTAATAAACATCTTGGTATATATAAAGAGGAAATAACATTACATTTAACTTGCTGAGCTGTTTTGAAAGTGAATAATAATAATATTAATATTCCGCTTTTATATACCACCCAATACATCAATCAATGATGTGTCTTAGCGCTTTACAGACATATTATTACCCCGGTCATCGGATTCAGGCTCACCCGCACACAATGTATGCACATTCTCCACTCCCTGGGGAGTATTCCGGCCAGTCGGGTTTAAAAGATTTATCCGTTTAACTGCTGAAATAAATTGAACCTGCCTTGTATGAATTTCACATTTTTGTCATACATATCCATATTTCATTAGATAAATAAATATTTTCTTAACATGACAAGGCTTGCAAATAATATCCTGTACTACACTGTATGTCATTTATATTAAGTACATAACTAATTGAGAATTGATCAAATTATGTTGGGTAATGTGTGGGACAAAATAGAAAAGTGGTATTTTATCATAATACTGAATTTGTTAATCCAGGGAGGCCTCATGAGCATCAATGCTGTTTTCCCCCGAGGGCCCGGCAATTATAATGACCCCAGCAATTGCAAGGTATCCATTTACACCTGGGTGGAGAGTGGCAAATGCGGATTAATAATGTCTGGATAGAAGATGTTAGTACCAGGCTGGGGTTTGAACCCTCAACCCTTTGATTGAGAGTCAAGTGAACGAACCACAGAACCACAGAACCACAGTACCACAGCACCTCCAATGACAAATCAAATAACCTGTATTATATTACTTGAATCCCCAAATTAAATATTCAACAACACTTTTGACAGAATAAAAGATCATGAACAGTATGTGGGTGTATTCATCTACCGTTGTCTGCATAACAAATTTGACACAATACAGTATGGCCCGTGTATTGAAAAATGTTGGTGGGTCGATGCCATTTTTAACAAAGTGAGAACTTAGACCAAAGCTTGAATTTTAGCTGGAGCTTAAATATGACGTAGGGTTTACATTTGAGTAGAATACAAGCCTGTGTGTCCAACAGCTGAGTAAAAAGCATGGGAAGAGAAAAAATATAGATCACTACAATTATATGTAGTCCCATATGTCCACATCTGTGCGAGCGAGTGTTTTTGTGAATTTATTATTTTGTTTAAATATTGCTGGTCCAAATTCCCAAACATACTACATAATGAACCATATTTTACAACTCACTCCTAGATTCTAATCGAATGATTGGTCGATCAGGATCTTGTTGCATTCATTTACCTAGACTATTCCATGTCTTTTCATGAAAAAGCGTGCAATAGTTTCCTGGACTATTCAACCATTAACATTTTCTGGCAATCATCGTTGGCACTCAGAGCATTTCAAGAAATTAATCTTAGCAGGTACCCGTTGACTGCACCTGGGTTGAGAGTAGCAAACATAGATTAATGTCTTTCCAGGTTTACCTTTAGGGTATGTACATGTATCCAAATTTGCATAAATCTATGGCAAGTCTCAATCGGAATGATCCCACGGCCCGTTGCATAAAATGTATCATTGATGTTAACTTTGCCATTAATGGTAACTTCCATGGAATCTTTGATTTGATTGGCTGTTTGAGTGATGTTGCCATGGTAGTTAATACCGATGGCAAAGTTACCATCAATGATTAAATGTTTATGCAACAGGACCCAATAACGAGAAGTAGGGAATGGATGAGCATGTTAAATACATTTACGGTATAGTATGAAAGATACATGTTTTTCAATGCAAGATATATTAAAGAGCAATGAATTCAATATATTTAGGCAGTCCACATATTCTGGCATCCTTTTCTTCGAGTTTGGAACTGATAAATTATTTGATTGGAATTATACTGTTAAATATTCAGAGGAAGAAAGCATTCTGATCTCCAAATTGGCCGCAAAGTGATAGCAAAACATGATTTTGTCCACCAATTTTCAATGATTTTACTGCAATTTATAATATCTCTTATAATATATCTTTTACGTTTTATTGGAAGAATATAGTGTACCGAAGCTGTGACGTCATAAAAATCTATTTTTAGAATTTCTCAATTTTTTCTTCATTTTCCGAAAGAGCATCAAAAATAATGTCCAAATGTCAAAAAACCAATTGAAAATATTAAGCATTAATTGAGATATGATCATCTGAATGAATATATTTCCGATAGGAACTCAGTGTTATATGCTCTGGCTCCTTATGGTTATTCAATTTGTTTTCGACATGTGGACATTATTTTTTATATTCTTTCAGAAAATGAAGAAAAAAATTGAGAAATTCTAAAAATAGATTTTTGATGACGTCACACTTCACCACTCTATAGCACAAAGAACTAAGGAAATACTAGCGTTGCCAATGTGAAGAGAGGATGTTTTATTCAGCATTTGATGACGTCACTGTGAAGAAGTAAAGAAATTGATTTGGAACATATATATCTCATATGTCATTAAAAGATACTTTAAGACAAATTCACATTCTTTATAATTGTTCAAAATATAAACACAATAATCTCTCTCATAAATTCATTCATAAAAATCTAGGAATATTAAAAAGAAAAAAAAGAAGAGTGGAAAGCTACTCGAATTACTCCGAATGCAGAGCTACGCTACGATTTGGCATAGAGTCCTTTCTGGTAGTAAACTCATTAAAAAGTCTTCTCTTCTTTTGTTGAGCGCTCCTAGAAACTTGGCTATCCTTGACTCGCGATCGTTCCTGTACTTTGAGAGTCTTTTATGGAAGGCATCGTCATTGCTTGGCATTGCTATGTGATCCGAGAGTGACGTTTCTTTGCGATCCGAGAGTGTCGTTTCTTTGCTGGTGTTTGATTGAGCTAGAACGCATCTGTGATCCGATTCCAGGACGGCTCTCCGCCTGTTGTCCAGCATGGCTTCCTTTGCTCTCTGTAAAGAAATAAAATAGTCCTGCGGTAAAAAGATGGTATGTCCCATTTGCAGACCTAAAAAGCTGAACTTCCATGAATCCAATTGTATCTTTTATTATGAACCTCCTCCCACCAAATGAAAAATTCTTAACTTGACTTTTAATGGGTTTTGATCACACAAGTTTTGTTTGTTTTCAATAGGCCAGTTTCGTAATGTATTCAGAGACCTTTAAATCGCATTACGTAATCGGAGGGTCGGACAAGCAAAGAACTCGCGGTGCGTAGCAGACTACACTTTGCGTGCATACCATACATGACTGTGTTCGCTAGGTGTGATTGTATCGTTTGTTTTCGCTATTTTGAGAGAGAGAGAGAGAGAAGAAAAAGGAGGCAGTTTCAAACTTGAATAATAAATATCTTTGAGATGTGATTTTGTTCTTCATACATTTGATCTTTAAAATCGCTGAGTCTTAGGCAAGAATAATAGAAAAGCATTGCTGGTACAGAACTAGCGATTCACATCTTGCAGCTAAACCTGTTCGGCCAAGTCCCCGGTACAGGCAGCGCACGATACCCCCTCAAAAAGAAGAAAAACGAGTGGCCAGTGATGAAATAGAAAGCGAAGCACCAAAATATAAGTTAGCTAGCCGATATCGGTAATTTCCATTTAATTTTGCATTTACCTTAGCTTGAATCTGAGGACAAATTAGGACGTAGAAATGAAAGAAGTGATGAACTATTTTCCACTTGTTCGCACACACAGCCACCTCTGCTTGCAGAAGCGTGCGCGCGTACCACGTGTTCGTGTTCGTGTAGGCGCGATTCACATTTTCAAAATGAAAACAATTTTACGGATTAAAAAATGTTTGTGAAACGCCTCGATACGGACTATTTCAAGGCGGACGAGAAACGGCTAACGAGAAGCAAGCACTGACCGCAGAATCAATATTATTAACAAAGGCAACGAGAAATAATGACAATTAAGGTAATAATATAATATATAAGGTCTTTGTTAATAAAATAATATTTATAAAATAATATCGTCCGATGACAAAGAGCTAGAATAAGAATGATGAACAATGATAAACAAATAATTTTGAACGGAAAAAATGAAGAAAAACAATGAACAAGGAAAAAGAATGATAGAGCAATGGAAAAAGGGAATAATAAAAGTAATAAAAAAAAACCTTCTGATGGCAAGGAAGAAGAATCAGGATGATGAATAATTTTATTGTTTAGAATAAGATTAGGAATTACGTTTGATTTTCATAAAATAAAAGTTAATAGTCTAGTATTAGACTACAATTATGCCGGACCTTCGTTATTCAACTTCAAGAAGCAATTATTATTATTTAAAAAAAACATTTAAAAATAAAACTGTTATTACATTTTCTATTAGATCTGTAGACTTCTACTTTTTATTTGTTTATTATTTATATATTTTTTCTTTTTGTTCAAGTTGGGATGTTCTGTCTTTTTGCGTCGGTTTGACCTGTATAATCTAGTCACAAGTCGCTATCATAAGCTGCCGAGAGCTAACTAGAGGGAGGATTGTACTCGAGCTTCTCCAGGCCACATAATCTATGGCCATCGGGAAATATCAGTCGAAAGTCTTCAAAACTCTTAAAAGCCTTCAGTTTTCGACGATCATAAATGCATGTTCCGCCATATTCTCTACTAGATAATTGAATACGTCATAGGTCCCAAAGTCAGGAATATCGTCAAACTTAAGGGAGGTATGTAACTAGTTCACTCAACGAAAATCCTGCCCGTTGTAATTTCCCCATACAGTCACGTCTACCGAGTGACACGGACCCCGTAGGTCAGGGGCTACGGGCAGGCTAGTCCGCTACTGCGGACGCTAATTTAACGAGTCTTTTCTCGGGTGTATACCGTAGCCGAAACTCCTCTTTTTCTTAGAAAATATTGCAGCTGCCTGAAACTCAGCTTGATGAATGGCAAGTTGGAAGACATTTCCGGCCAAAACAGAAATTCATATGTATACACGCAGTTTTGATAGAAAGATATGAATGCAATTTAACGGCAAGAACTGACAGTCTAATACACAATGCACAGATTCAAAATGGCGATTTGACAAAGCTTGTCGGGCTTGGTTACAGTAACCGCGCATTACGTAACCGCCGAAACTGGCCTATTAAAACTACAATGTAATACATTGTGATAGTAAAGAGAGGTGGCGCTATAGAAATGCCTATAATTATTATTAGTGATACATAGGCTCTATTTCAATTTTTTCAATAGGAAATATCATGGAGAAGATAAAAGATGTACCATTTTCAATTTCTACAGATTGGAGTAGTGATCGCTGTGCAGAAGAATAGCTTTACCCAGTAATTGTGCGCTATTTCGACAGTGAAGGATCGCGAGTTGTGAGTGTCCTTCTGGAAATAGCAACCACGACAGAAAGATCTAGAGGGCAAACCATCTTTCTTCTGTTGGAAAATGCTCTGAAAGAGAATGGAATTTCCGGAAACAATGTTCCATGTTTCTATGGTGAAAGCGCGGCCGTTATGATGTGTGTAAGGAATGGCACTGCTGCCTTCATCAAGAAAGAAATTCCCCACGTATTCATCTTGGGATGCCTGTGTCACAGGCTTCACTTAGAGGCTGACAAGGGGGCAAAATAGCTTTTGGTTTCCCCTGATGACATGTTGGTTTCAATCTCCTACTACCTAGAAAAATCAAGTAAACATCGAAAAGACTACAAACAAATCCAAGCAGCATGTGGTGTTGAGAATCATACCATACTTAAACACTTCTGAACCAGGTGGTTGTTGTTAGAAAGGGCCCTTGACCGATTGCTAGAACAGTGGGTACCACTACAACTCGACTACCAGACAGAATCTGAATCTGGTAAGAGGAAATGTAAGGATTCTTCTGCTCAAACTTCATCCAAGAAACAGAAAGTATCTCCTGATGGTAAGTGCAACACCATCTGACTATAGACAGTGTTGTCTATAGCTCATCGAAGAAGTCTTCATCGGCAGTAAGCAGTGCCAGAACAAGTTCGGCCAAGGAATCTACAACCAGTAGTGGTATCCTGACCTCAACCATGAAATCTTTTCCCCCAAGTGATCATAGCGCTAAGAGTGCAACTACATCCTCTACTGTGGGTGCGTCAAAATTGTATGCAGGTACAAAATCATGTTACAGTAAAGAGAGAGAGACACTAGTCTAAATGCAAAGAGCAAACTATCTCATAAAGACAGCAGCAAAGATGTGACACCTGGGACCCATTTCACTAAGCCTTTTTTCGATGACAAAATGACAAAAATCAGTGACAAATCTGTTGATAACCAATCAGAAGCAAGGATTTCAGAAGCTTAAAACAAAAACTGTCATTTGTAACTGATGACATGTTTTGTGAAACGCCCCCAGTGCAAAGTAGAAACAAGGCTTGTGAGATCTCAGCAAAATTGAGGAAAAAAACCCCCAGAATGTACTGCATCTTTCTCCAAAACACTATCCCAATTTTCAATCAACTAAAATTGGGGCTTCAAGCAGAGGCACCTAAAATACATCTTGTGCATAAAAAACTGCATAAATTTCTTGGTGATATCTTGGTTAAGCCTAGTAAGCCTACTGTTATATAAAATGTAATTTTCATAATAATATCTATGTTCTCTCGGTATCTGTGTTAACTTATTATGGGCGTTCCCAACTCAAGCTATGCTTAACGGCTTTTCGCCTCCTTCCGTATCTGAATTATTTACTGTATACTCTATGTTGAAATAATTGTTACATATATCATTTATATATATACGGTACATTGTGTTTCATATTGTACTGTTGAGAAGGAAATAAATGTTAATAAAAAAATTTAAAAATGGCTAATGGCAGCTTATTAGACCAGTGTGAGTACAAACAACCATGTATTAAACCACAAAACAAATGAAGATCTCATTCTTGGACATGCAGTGAAGGATGTTCTTTCATCAGAACAGCTGTCCTCATAGGAGAAAGAGGACTTCTACAATGCAGTGAAGAAGTACTACACTGCAGTTTGTAACTATGTGATTGACACATTTCCTTCCACTGAATGATGAACTTCTTCTCCATGCTCGTGTTGCAAACAGTCGAATAAGAGATTAGAGACAACGTTTGCATCAGTAGAATACTTTGTGAAGAGTTACTACATGCAAGACAAGTTGGATGAGCTAGAAGTACAGTTTAGACACTGCAGTTTGTAACCATGTGATTGACACATTTCCTTCCACTGAATGATGAACTTCTTCTCCACGCTCATGTTGCAAACAGTCGAATAAGAGATTAGAGACAAAGTTTGCATCAGTAGAATACTTTGTGAAGAGATTTCACAACGTGCAAGACAAGTCGGATGAGCTAGAAGTAATGATATTTTGGTACACAATCTATTACCCTTGTTGATGCCCTTTTCAGTACCCCCCCCCCCCCTCCTGAAATCCCACCAAGGGTGTTGCACAACGGCAAGAACCCGCTGTCTGTCCATAATACTTACTTGTACTGCGTTGTATTTGGTCTGGTAGTGAAGAACAGCGGCAAATAGGTGCCATATAGAAAACTCAGGCCATAGAACCTCTACGAAAGACAGTACTGAATAGCCACTCTGTGGCAAAAAATGAGAAATAAGACATGGTTAACGTACTATAAAACGATATGATGGACACAATTTTGAGTTGTGGTAACGATCAAACGTCAATTATAGCAGAATTAAACACAATTACCACCAGATGTTTATCTGAAGAAGTAGAATGTGCTAGCCACAGGATTCTGAAAACAATTAGAAATATCGCTATCTGTATTGCTGCGCAATGCGAATGTATCCCCCGGCAGTGGCAGCAATTTTGTGTCAACCTTATGTTCAAAGGAGAGACAAAAATCCCCTCTCCCCTCCCTGAAACAAAAGGATGACGTAGAGGGTCGGACTATTGTCAAGACTATATTTTCAAATAATTTGATATGTCCCTAAATTACAGTGATAACATCATTATATCATAGTTATATTGTTGTTCATTAATTATCTAATTAGATTTTATTTTAATTTAGTGACAGATTAAATTATTCAAAAATATATTCATATGGACACTTGGCATTCGATACTTAGTCATGGATTAAAGTTAAACCATGGACTAAAGTTAAACCATGGACTAAAGTTAAACCATGGACTAAAGTTAATCCGCTTTCGAGAATACCACCCTTAGACATTAGTGCATGATGTCCTACCTGCCACAGTAAGAAGTCACTTAACCGGACTTCCCCTGATGTTCTGACGAGTAGCTCTGGATCTTTACATCTATGAGTGTACAAACATTCCTCAAGTAACTCCTCCGATACATCGCTGCAAAATAGAAAATGAGTGAGGTACATGAATCTCACGTAGAATACACCAACAAAAAGAATATTTTGAAAAGCACCAACAAAGTCTAGAATCTACAAACAATGTCAAGAAGACGATTTTCTCTTAATCTTTACCACGATAAGTGTACAGACATTCCTCAAGTAACTCCTCCGATACATGACTGCAAAAATAGAAAATTAGATTTGATGATTGTATACAGGAATTTGAAGTTGAATACACTATTAAACAAGAATGTTTTGAAAAGCACGAACTGTGGAAATCTAGAAGCTATAGAACACTGTCGTTTAGACAATGTTCTATTTTAATCTTTACATTTATGGTGATACAAATTGGTGTATGAAATTTCAGTCGTTGTTCTGTTACCTGTCAAGTGTTGATGATCAACGTATCTCCCGTGATCTGTAATTGTATATAGATATTCATCTGCTTTGTAATTGTCTTTTGAAGAAGGAATTGTGAAATAACTAAACAAGGAACTATTAATGTCTTTCGAAAAGAGCAATGCATCAACTTGGCTTTGAACCCAGGACTTGGGACTACAAGACTGCTTCTCTATACCACTGAGCCATCATATACTTTACATGGAATAGATGTTGGTTACCTTGGTTCGAGGATGCCTTCTTCTACTCCTAGCGCCACCTCCTTGACTGCGTTGGCCATCTCCTGCCTGGAGGTGTAGGCTAGACATACATTGAGAGTTGCTCTGTGAGGACACGGGGGAAAACAAACAATGAAGAAGATAATAATAACAATAATAATAATAATAATAATAGTTTGTTCTTTTATAGCACATTTCAGGACTGCAGGCCCCCTCAAAAGCGCTTTACAGATATATTATTTCCCCAGTCATCGGATTCATGCTTACCCGCACACAATGTATGCACATTCTCCACTCCCTGGGGAGCATTCCAGGCGTCATTTTTACAAGCACACACTTGCTCATCTAATACAAGTTCAAATTTGCAGACAACACATTGAAATGTGTGTTTTGAAATTAACATGTGTTTCAACTTTTAATGGGATGTCAGAGAACTTGTACTTAGGATGGTTAAGTATTTATATCCTGCAACAACAATTTATTGGTTATTGATTTGTTGAGAGCTCTTTATGTGACCAGAAATATTTCAACCATATTGCTTTTTTGTTAGGTAATTTTTTTTAGATTCTAAAATTGTATTAAAATTCTAAAATGTTTGAAATTTAAAATTGTAATGATTTTTGTATTTGTTGTGTATTTTTGATGCAGGATTGAGGTACTGGTTAAGATGTCCCTCCAATAGAACCATTTTCTTCGGGGCTGCGCCCCTCAGCAAATAGTACAATTAGAGTCACCTCTTGCCCATAGTTTCAACCAGAACCTCTCAAGACGGTGTATATTTGTATACGATGCCCAGGACATTGGTTCACAAAACCATCCTAAGTACAAATTCACTGACATCTCGTTGACCTACATGTTAAGCTTAATACATGAATTCCAATGGGTTGTCGGTGAACTTATACTAATGATGGTTTTCTGAATTCTGAAACACTGCCCAGACCAACAAGAGGCCAGACAAAAATATTGTATCACCCAAATAGTAAAGATTTGGTCAATCTTAAGTTGGTTTGGCAGCGTAACTGGGGTATTAACGATGTATATTTTGTGCACCGGTACATACGTTTAGAAGAAAAAAATCATGGCTTATTGACTTTGTAACCAATACAATGAAATAACAATTCTAGAACTTCCCTTGTTGGCCCCATATTATCTCTAAAAAGTTGATAAAACATCCAATCTTAGGTTACGTTTTTCTTCTTCTCCATTAAAAAAACAAACATAAGTAACAGCTTGTGTGTATGTATGTACACAGGGATAGCATAGACTTTGACATAGTAAAAGAAACTCCTAGAAATGTCATATAATCCTTACTACTCTAATTACACATGACCCACACAATTGTCCTTCAGGGTATATCCCTGTATTTGCCTAGAATGACAGGCATGAGGGGTACAAAGGTCACTAGCTTCATAACCATTGTTTTGATCACTTCACAACTTGCCCAAGATCAGATTTCAGAGTCAGAATGACACCTTCAGAAACAGACAAGATTGGCTGATGAAATACTGAAGTGGAAATTCTTTTCTAAAGTATAGTTTTAATAGGGTTTTAGCTATTAAAAGCATAATATCCTTGGTGCTATACTAATGACAGAGGACCACCACCATCAACATTACCACCTGCACCACCACCATCATCAACATTACCACAACCACAAACAACAACACCTGCAACATCAACAACAACAATATCAACAAACACACAAGAGTTTTTTTCCCTAATAAAGCCTTGTTCAGATATACAATGTACATAATGTATGCTGCGTCAAACCGAGGCAGTTTTTTCAAAATTATCAGTTTCCGGTCTTGATTAGCTCCATGACAACCCCTTTAAACATTGGTATAGATTAATCTTGCACTGGGAGCAGCTGAATAGTCTTGAAGCCTTTGGTTTATATCCATCCCATGATATATACAATGTGGCACAGGGAGATTATTTGTGTGGCATATAGTTTAGGGTACTGGCATTGGCAACTGGGTAGTATATATCAATCAATGCACACTTCCAGCAATCATGCATGGAAAATTGCTCTGACTCTATCCAACCATCCCATGTGATGCAAAAAGATCATTATTTCACTCCATTTGGACCAAGGGTATACAAAGGCTTGCCAGGAAGCCTGGCTGTAAAGTTATATTCATAATTAGTTGATCAGTGAAAATAATGAGGCATGTGTGTGGCATGCAAATCAGTTGAGTGAGTTGGAGTGAGAACAGGAAGGAAGTATGCTGTTCACACTAAATTGTAAGAGTGTTGTAGTGAGAGCATTGTTGTAACAACCTTGATCCAAGGTGTGAACATGCCTATGTGACCTTACGGACAGGCTGATGCAAACTCATTCGTAAAGATTCTAAAGGAATTTTTAGGTAATGCACCATTCAAGAAAAATGGTAGGCCTACAAGCTGACATATCCAGGTTTCTAGAAAGGAGGTTTTTTAAACAAGTGAAAAAATATGGCTTTGCAGCATTGAGAAGCAAAACTATATTTTGCAGGTTGAAAATATGCATTGGCATGGATTGCCCCTGACACAAACCTTATCAGGAAGAATTATATCTCAAAAAAAATGAAATGGAAGTTCTTATTACCAATCGTGTGAAAGAAAATGTTTTGACTAATATGTGATGATACAAATTTTGCCGGGAAACCGCCTACTAATTGATATATTTGGTAAATTATAATTTCTATCCGGACTGGTTAGATATAGCGTAGTCTCATATACATCTTTCTGTCTACAGTGGTTGTAACTTTACCAAGACAAGCCAAATTTCTTATCATTTTGATGATTCCAGAACCTTGCAGTCACACCAATACTTACGCTAGATGATCAACCCTTTCTGAACGATTCCACAATGTTTCTTTCACAATGCAATCACATGACCACAACTGGTGTTTACCTTCAAAAGAGTGACTTTAATTAATGTAATTTTGTTCTCACCTTGTGTTATTGCGTGATATAAACATGGCTTCTGCTACGACTTCTTGAACATCCCTGGGGAGGAGGTTGAGGTCTCCTATCACTTGCACACATACACCATGCTTCATGATCTGATCTCTATCATAAAGAATGAAGACAAAATGGCAAAATTGGCAACATGGAATAATTGTCATCAGAATATTAACATACATTGAAGCTTTTGCTACATGTACGATTCTTGAACAACTCTGGGCATTGGACCTGGATCCCCCATACCACTCGCACACTCACAATGTTTCACAATCTGATCTCTAGTACGGAAGAATTGAAAAAGGGGGTGAAAACAAAAATTATCATCAAAATCAAAATATAAAGATGGCTTCAGCTAACATTCTTGAACATTCTTGAACATTCCTGGGGAGTAGATTGAGACACATATCACTCTGACACATATACTGTAAAGTGTACATTATGCTCTATAATCTGATTTCTAATATATAAGGAAGAATTGACAAATGAGGAATCTCTAATTGGCAATTGGGGAAAATTGACAAAATAGAACAATTATCGTCAAAATCAAAGTATGATTACCGGTATACATATAACCTATGGTATGCTGGTGGAAACTAAATTTCCACATTCAATGGAAGACGAATAAAATCATCTATTGACACTGGTAATCCCATTTTCTTGGACATTGCTGGAAAGGAGGTTGAGCAGTGATTTTTATTATTTTTTAAATATTTTTTTGTCAATTGTTAACTTACTTTGTTATTTATTATGTTATTTATATATATCAAAATTGTCATGATTGTAAAGCGCATAGAGAAATGTTCAATTTATTATGCGCTTAATAAATATTCTCTATTATTAATATTATCATATTGATAATAAATTAGCACATGAAGGACTCTATTAAAAACCAATCATTACATATAGTAATATGCTACATTGTGTAAACTTCAAGTGTTGGTTTACAAGTACATCGTTATCTCAACATCCAATCAACTTCTGTCCACATGACCAGAATAGGGGCATTCACACTACAAGCAAAAACCATCGGGTTTAATCAAAATCCTGAGTTTTGTCATAAGTTGCTAGGCTGTTACATGTACCCATTTAAACGCAACAAAAAACCTGATGATGAAACCCCCACGTCTTAAATATTTGTAAGTGTGTTTTAATAAAAAGATTTGCCAAAACTCCACCAATATTTGCAGTGTACATGCAATTGCTCGTTCTCAAAGCACCAGTGAATCATTCGTTTTAGGTCATGTGACTCTTCTTGCGCCAGTGTGACAAGTGGCGCATGCGCACATCACCCCCCCCCCCCCCAAAAAAAAAAACAACAAAAAAACATGGCCCTGTTTCATAAAGCTTGTTATCAATAACAAGTTAAAAGAACTGTTATAAGCTACTGAAATAGTGGCATTCGATTGGCTGAGAGCAAATTTGTCATAGACATTTAGCATTTGTTATTGATAACAAGTTTTATGAAACAGGACCCAGAATTATCACCACCGACCTTTTTTTCTTCCATGAGTGTGAATGGTACTTTAAAAGTTTTTCAAATTGGTTTTTCTACAATGTAAACGGGCCTAAAGATAACACTATCTAAGGATTGAATCTGGATAGAAGGGGTAAAGATCATCTGTTCAAAATGATAATAATGTCAGTATTTCTCTTCATGGTCAATATAATGATAGGACAATCTTAATACTAACATGTAGTAGCACTTCTAACCAACCAACAATATTTAGAAGAAAATCAGATGAAATTCAGAAAAAAGTGGTATGACAATCGAATATCCAATAGGATTGCTCATGTGACCAGAAACATGCTTTAAAAAGAGCTATTGTATTTCAGTGATAACAGTTTGTTGACCTTTGATCTAAAGTGTGCCACTGTTCTTTCTCTCTCTCTCTCTCTCTCTCTCTGTCTCATTCTCTGTATCTTAACTGTGTATGTGTACATACATGTACGTCTCTTTCTGTTTCACAAAATATGCCATCACTTCAAACTTTAAGAAGGAATCACTGCATACATGTACAAAATAAGAAATAGTATCTAGAGACTGCAATTGGACATGTATCTTTAAAATTGGCACAATTTCAGATAACAATAAAATGTAAACAGGATGCAGTTTCAAATACATATTCGTGTCGGGTTTTGTAATTTACATTGTTAACCAGTATTTCAGTTCCAAAATGTTCTAGCTGTGCAATAACTAATGTTTGATTTCTATTTTGAGCAGGAAAATGGCTCCCTCTTGATGATATTCTCATTATATCAATCAATCAATCAGGCCAGAAATCTAATTCAAGTTCAAGTAATAATAATATTCTGTTCTTGTACAACACAATATGATACAATCTCCAAAGAGCTTTGGAGATTATTACTTTAATCAATTAATTGAAGCTTTAGCTCTGGCATCCCCTAGCTCCGGCAGCGCACAGTGCATTTCAAGGAATTATCCTACCAGGTACTCATTTACATGTACCTCACTTGGGTGGAGTGTGGCAAATGTAGTGTAATGTCTTGCCAAAAGACGCTAGTGTTGTGGCAGGGATTCAAACCCTGTACCTAGTGGTTCACAGTCTGGACACTTATCCACTGGACCACAACACCTCTATATACTGTAGGTGTATAAGCTATCACAATTAATGTTCAAATTTAACTTGAAACTCACTTTTCTTCTAATAATCTGAGGAATTTCTTTCTTGCTAGTTCCATAAGCCCATCCACTTCCTGCCGCGATCTCTTAAAGTTCTCTATACTGAATGCATAGACGGTGACTTCTGTTATACCTAGATCTAAACACCATTGCAGAGTCTGTAAAAATAAAATGAAGATAAGTAAATTGAAGAAAACTGGTAATAACCTACAATACAATAAAACAAGAACAACAATAATAGTGATGACGATGATGATAATGATAATAGTAACAACAACAACAATAATAATAATGATAATGATGACAATTATAACAACAACAATAGCAATAACAATAAGCAATTGGTCCTCTGGTTGCTTACTAACAAGCATATATGCTTTCTCAGTAGTCGGGTAAAAAAAAAAAAAAATTACCACCATATATAACAATACAAATATTCTTTAGCAGATGTGCATACATTATATAGTAATCAAAGCATTCACATAGAAACTCCCCTAAACACAAATGTGCTTTCCCTATTAGTCATTCAGGAAGCTCAGTAGTAGCACATGCACTTTTAAAGGGACCTGGCAGATACATATCCAAAAAAGAAAAAATCCACATTCACTGAAAGTTTTTCATTATTTCAACTTAATATGGTTTGTTGACCATAGACTCTTTAGTCTGTAGTACTCTGTACTCTGTGCATTATGGCCCATATGTGTAGAATATTTTGTGGAGGTGCTGGCATAGAACTGTCTATATTCTCGGTATTTTCGCAAATAAATGAAATAAAATGAATGAACGAAATTAAAGATAGTCATGTTACAAACATTTAATGTTTCTACATGTCCAGTGTAGATTATAATAAAAACATCTAATGGGTAAGCTTCTCTGTTAACTACAATGCATTCAAACGAATCAATATGCAAGATATTGACTGAAAAAAGTAACAGTGTACCAATGTCAATTACCCGTACAGTAAGAAGTAGCATAAATGTAATGGTGATTCAAATCCAATAAGAGAGTTTTCTCCAAATGACACTTTCTGTAATATACAGATAATATACTGTATGTGATTTAGCAAGCATTCGGTATTAAAAGACTGGGCTAGCAAATCTGATATGGGTTTGCAAACTCCCCCGGTCCCTACCTTTGTTTGATGCACCTGTTTCAAGTATTAATAACATTGTGGTTTGAATTGGTATTTTTTACTATTACAAACCCATTTTCACTGAGGCTCATATATTTGGAGTTGTTTCAACCATGCCTTGCCAAATTTTCTGCACTTAAAGATAAAAGTTGAGTTCTGGTCATGCGATTGCACTGTGAAAGAAAAGGTGTGGAATGGATCAGAAAAAGTTGATCAGGTAGCATGTAAGTATTGGCAGGCGCGGATCCATGTGGGGGACCCGACGGGCCCGACGCCCCCCCCCCCCCCCCCCTCTCCACTAAGTGAAAAACGGTCTGCGCAATTTTCGAATTCCCGGGAGCAAAAATGAAAAGAAAAAATAATGCTCACTAGCCCCCCCCCCCCCCCCCCCCCCCCCCCCCCCCCCCTGCCTATTAAGCGACCAGCTGAGTCGTTGCGAAATTTTCTCTCAAAAACTGGACCAAAAAAAAAAAAAAAAAAAAAAAAAAAAAAAAAAAATGTGTGTTCTTACCTCCCCCCTTTCTTATTCAGCCACCGGTCAAAAGCTTGACCCCCCCCCCCAAAAAAAATGTGCTCTTACCACCTTTTTTTTACCAGAACACTTTGGGATAGAATTTTCAAGCCCAATGCCAATGGGTTAGAGTCAGACTCAGAATTTTGAGTCAGATTTTCTCTCACCTCAGCTAATTTCTCGAATCCAAGCGAATGGCCCTCTAGGGTCTGGACCGACTTTTTCTTGGCGAAACGGCGATTGCCGTCCATGATGAAGGCCACATGCTGCGGCACAGGACCGCACTTTAGGACCCGAAGACAGAAGGACTGGAGCCAGGTCTTTTGGGCCTGGTACTGCTTCTCCGGGAACCATTCCGATGTTGCTGCCGAAGCCTCAATCCTGCATCACAGTGCAAAATTAATATATCGTTTAAAATACCCAGGTTTAGTGTGACTTTTGACATTTTCTATCCAGTTAACTATCAAGCTAAACAGTGTAAGCTTTATTATCAGAACAAGTCATGGCAACACAGTGCACTTTCGCAACAGGCGCCTAAAATGTGATTCCATTGAATAAAATACAAAGGAAAGACCTACAACAAGTATCGATTTAAATACGACTCTGATACCCCTGATACATACTTTCTCCAAAATCTTGAATAATAATAGGGTCTTTCCTTATATATTTTGTAGGCACCAGGTGCAAAAGTGCACTACCGCCTATCATATTAGCCTGGCCCTGGGCAAATCTCTCAACTTTCAGAAACATCTGTGATTGTGTAAAGGAGGGTCCATAAAGGCACTTGGTTCAACCCATTTGAAAAGCCATCTAAAAGTTTATGTCAAATTGTCAATTGCAGAGATGCCAAGTTCTAACTTCAGCTTAGCGTGACATTTTCATGACTAGAGGGGAGGGTATATTCGAAATCGTGCACGCATGTCGTGCGTGAGAGCATTTTCAGACCCTTGAAATGTGTGACATCACACATAATGCGTGACACTGGTAGCTCTGCAATGTCTGTGGGTACAGTCAGCTTTCTGTCTTCGCCTGCAAACTGACTCAGCTCATCTCAGTGGATCCCGGTTTGAGACGGAGTCACGTCTTTCGGATGGCGACATTAAAGTTCGGTCCCAAGCGTAATCATATTCGATTGATTCATGTACACGTTTGTAACTTTGTAAGGACCAAAATTCCACATATTACACACAGTGCCCAAGCCCAGTGTGCCTTGGGCGCTTGGGCTATTTTATAGCAATAATCTTTCTGCAGTAATAATTTGCAATTTCACTCATTTGTTTTGGAAAATCACCAGAGTTCATTACAAAAACAGGGTTAGATCTACAGTTAACTTATAGGTCTATAGACCCTAGTTATAAATAGATTTACTATCATGACTATAGACTGACTAAATTTACAATTTATGAACACCCTGTAGATCTTAAGTGTAAAGGCTCATGGAAATTATGTGTGGGCCCAGTGTGTTGATCATGATCAGGATGATCATTTTTGTTCTTCCTCTGCTTTGGCTTGCAACTTGTTACATTTTCTAACGAATGGTAGGCCGGGGTCTAGAAATTGCCAAACGGCAATGAAAAAATATATCGATGCTTACCAATGTTCGTTAGATTTGCTCAAGTCTGGATCCATATTAGTTTATTAATTTCCAGATCTAACATTACAATTCTGAGTCAATATGCGGCAGGTAAACGGGACCCCGCCAGGACAGTCAACACACCCGAGACCTTCGGCTGGCAGGTACGTCGGAGAGAGGGTCGGGACTCGGAAACATACAGTCGAAGGGGAGATCTGATGCAATTCGTTGGATAGTGCCACGCAAGCCGCAGTGTAGTGCAGAGAGCTAGGGCGGTGGGCTCGGCGAGTTCGCGGTGAATGCAATGTGAAACGAACGGGTTTATCGCTCTAGCAATTCTCCGGCGCGGCACAAGTGTGTATATGATTGCTGCATTTACAATACACATGATGGAGCATACACCGGTTGGGCTTACAAGATGCACACGTTGCATACGAACAGCATACACATCGCATTCAGCTACCGCATAGCATTGCATTATGCATGCATATGAGAAAATACAATGAAGTCAAAGGTCACGGCTAGCGGAGGAATCATAAACCACAAATCCCTGTATTTTTCCCTTACTTCCAAACAGTTTTGATGATCAAGAACTAATTCATCAAATTATAAAACAAATAAACAAACTATATTCAGGTTTTTTTTAATTCGAAACTGGGACAAGCTGCTATAAATGCGAGATTTGTGACAAACTATATTAGCTCGCGCACTGATACCAAACTGAGGATCGATGGTGCAAAACAGGAACAAGGCCGTAAATTTTTGCGGGTGTTTATTGCGGCGATGTGAAAACACATGTCTCTGTTCTGACGAAATTTACTATATATCTCCTGGTTTTCCCTCTGTTTCCTTCTGTGACAGACCATGTTTAAATATGGCTGAAAAGGATACAGGAAGGATAAATGACAGTACTACTGAATCAGGTGATATTTTGTTGTCTTTTTCTCGCGGCTCTCGGCAGTGTATCCGCGCCTTCGCAGCGAAGTGTAACGACAACAAATCTAACCACCCAATATCTCTCGTTTTCTCCACAGAATTGTACTACTTAATCGCCAAATTTCTCGAAAGTGGGCCCTGCAAAGAGTCAGCTAATGTGAGTATTACACCTTATATATCATCTCGATTACATTTCTTGTGACTTTTCATCAGTTAACGCCGAGTATTTTCTCTTGTCTTTCGCAGGTTCTCCGACGGCAGATAGAGCAAAATGGGGTGAGTGCAATTTACACGTTTGTGACAGTCTCTCGTTTTTGAAAGTAAATTTCGACCGAAATTTCACGATTTCTTCGGATTTTGACTCACACATTAATTTTTGAATAGGCAGATTGCTAGAATGATAGTTGTTTTAATTGTTTCAGCTAAAACCAAATATTTAAAATGTTTTATCTTCATTTTCTCAGTTATTTTCTGCCAGATTTGATTGGAAAGGCAACAAACATCAACAGAGCCTCAAAAACTTGGTAAGTGATGTGAAAAAACTTTTCTATTGGATTTAATTTTTGAATTTCCCTCTAAAATTGCAAAATATGCCAAATGTGAAAATATGTTGATAGTTGGATGTCAAATGGGTGTAGCAATCATTTGACACCAATTACAAGACTCACTTTTCCATTTTCCCCGAAAAAATCAGAAAAATACATCTCAAAACAGCTTCTTTTTCATCCCCATGAAACCTAGGCATAGGCAAGTGATTTGCATAATGGATCAGCAACATGACCCCCCCTTGCAATGATGTCATCGCACATGTGACCGCATTAGCCAATCGCAGATCATATAAGAGTGATGAGGTGGCTGCATGGTAGTGTTTGCAAAGCGGAGTCTGATTGGATAACCCAGATGCATATTCATGAGACTGATAAATATTTATGTTTGTGCACACTGCACGTAGCACTTCAGAGCATTTGGACAGTAGACTGAAAGTGAAATGTGTTTGGAATAATGTTTGAAATGATGAGTTATCATGATTATTGAAGCTTGTGAGAGCTTATGTGGAATTGTTTGTTTTTTCTTCTTCATACTTCAAAGATTAGATATAATAAAAATGAAAATGAGTGAATTTATGGACAATAGTACTTAGATCTTAGTTTGAGGTAAAAATATTAATAGTAGATCTAATACTAATTCTACTACTAGTCTACTACAACAATAACAACTACTGATAATACTACTACATGTACTACTACTCATAATGATAATAGTAAAAAGTAATATAATTATGTTAATGGTAGTAATATAGCATTAATGTAATTATACGGCTTTCTTCCAGAAGCTTTGGTATTCAAGGTATTCAAGGTATTATTAATATAATAAAAATAGTTATAATAAGTTTACATGGTTTATATTGCACAGCATTGAGCAATGTATTACATTTTAACATCCCTATGTGCTAATGATGATTTGATTGTTATTTATTGTTATTGTTTTTATTATTATTATTATTATTATGACTTTGATTGTTGTTGTTATTGCCGTTGTTGTGGTGGTTATAAACCTAATTTGAGTAGATCTGCATAGTTTTTGTTTTCTATTTTCTATTGAAAAAAATGAGCAGGTAGTAGAAGAACAGTGATAACTGATTTCTAACCAAATTTATTTTTTAATCAGAACTAATAATTTCCTTGCAAAAGTATTTAATTATTAAAATGCACAGATTTTAATTTCTGTTTGCCATTTGCTTCAGAAATAAATGATAATTGGTCGTTCCATGGATGATTAATTTTGAAAGCTGTTAGTTTTTTATGTGTTACGTCAAAACAACTTGCACTAGAAGATAAAGAACTCGGTAGTTGCATGAACTTTGAAGTTCTTTCTTTTCTTTTTATTGTTAGAATAATTGCCACTACCTTTTTTCCCCTTGAGAAAAAGCTGTAATAATTTAATTAAAAATTTATACTGTCCACTTGATGCAATTGGTAAAGTGAGATCTTTTAATATTTTGATTTTAGTTTGATTTGAATTACCATCAGCAATTCATGTCATTCAATGTGTTAACATGTTTATACAAAAAGAGAAACTTTTGATTGGTTAAAGGGGCCAGTTAATAACACTGCTAGTAGAGCCTTACCTAATGAATTTACTACTAACATCGATAAATTGTTAAAAAACAAGAATACTTAAAAAAAGAAGGACTTTTCATTCAAGAAATGAACAACCAGTTTAAGTATCAACAATTTTTTTTTTGCCATCCATCTTTTACAGGATAACTGCAATGGTCACATAAAAAATGACCATCTGTTAAAAATTGTTGGTCGCATCGGCCATCTACTGGACAAAGACACAAGGCCACGAGTGCCTGGTGTTAAGTCGCTGCTAGGGGGCGCCAGACAATCCCTTCTTCGCACAGTAGCTGGTAAGCAGTTGGTGTATATAGCTTGTTTCAAAAGAAGAAAATAAAAGTATAGATCTACAGTGTGGGTGTTTAACTTATCATTTTATAAAATACTCCAATATGTTTTAAAAATTTCATATTTTCAAATATTTTAAGCAATATATGGATTTCTAAATGCATTTACCAGTCATATTCAAATAGCTTTCATTGTTTAGCTTGCACAGACTAAGCCTGAGTTATACTTATAAACTTAATTGAGACTCAATGCAAACAAAAAGTGCTTTGTGTGTGTAAGTGTGTTCCACAGAAATTATTTGTAATTGCAAAAGGGTATAAAACACAGAATGAAAATGACTGTTATTGGGGAGTAAATAGCTTTCTTACTGCTTAAAACACTATTTGTATATGTTAATAATAAATTCCCTTTTTTTCAATGTTAGATGCTTAATTTTTACTGCTGTTTATAAAATTGCACTATGAAAGCACTAAATACAAGTTTCAATATTCAGCTTTCATTTCCAGAGTGTTTTTTGTTTATTTGAAAACCTAGATGTCAAGCCCCCTCTGTGGTCTCCGTCTGTACATGCTGCGCTCTACCATCACCGACCCATAGCACCACCAAATAAACTTTCTCAGGTGCCAAATGTCTGTAAGTAACAACGTTTCCATGTAAATGAAGAGTTCTCTTTTAAAGTTCTTAAATTATTTCATATTTGAATGATACATGTTCAATGTCTCTAGTAAATCTAATAATTTTGATTATTTAAAAGATGAAAAAGTTTCTAAAACTTCACAGATAAAGCTCTATTGATTAATTGTGAAATATCAGAAAGTTTGCTTATTGCTTGCAAATAGAATAAAAAATGATAATCACGTTGGTCTACTTTTTAAACCAACTACCGGTAGTTGCATGGAAAATTAACATCTTCATCAAATCCACAAACTCTGATAATGGTGTACATTACATTCAATTCTAGTGACAATCAATTTTGTGTGGTTCGAAGTTGAAACAATGAGATCTTATCTAGAGAGTGTTTCACAAAGACTAAGATTGAATATTAGTTAGACTTAACTATGGCAGGCCATTCATGCCATAATTCATTTATGACTTTCTATCTTACAGACAATGTCATACGAGGGAGACAGTTGGCGGGCGTGGCTCGCCTTGATCACATTATCCCTGGGGAGCGGTATAGCCGGATGAACCTTCACCTTCGATCCTTAAGTCATCTGTCTTCAGCCTACTGTGTTCTTTTCGATCAGACTGGTCGCAGGATATTTACAGTAAGGAGCATTACAAATTGAGCACCTATATTATCTTGAAGAAAAACATTTCTGTAAAATTTATGCTGTAGCAATGCAACATCAGAAAAGTTGAATCTTGAACTAATTTCTTGCATCGTGGTTTTAGATCAATAGTTGGTACAATGGTTTTCATGCTTCTTATGCTTTGAAATTGAATCAATGAGATATTGAATTAAAGCTTGACAATTATTGAAACTCTGCGCTTTTTTTTTATTCCTCGTTTGGATGATTTTATTTATTGAATTAAGATTTGAAGAGCATTTGTAAAGTCTTCTGTAGCTTCCCTGTATCTAGTTATGGGCATTTACAAATATAGACCTTGTGTAGCGTCTTTTTCACTCAAAATCTGCCATTTTATGTTGTCTTTCAGGGCATGGACGACCACCTACATTTCTTTTTCACACAAAATCTGCCGTTTCTTTTGTCTTTCAGGGAGCGGACGACCACCTCGTCAAGATATGGAGCGTGGACGACGGCCGCCTGCTGGCGACCCTGAGGGGTCACGCTGCCGAGATCGTGGACATGAACGTCAACTACGAGAACACGCTGCTTGCCGCGGCGAGCAATGACAAGGTCATCAGAGTCTGGAACCTCCAGTCGCTGACCCCTGTGGCCGTTCTCATGGGTCACACGGCCATGATTACATCATTGGAGGTAAGTTTCTGTTTTACTGTATAATGTAAAAGGTAAATATGTTAGAGGTGAAAATATCAGTGGTAAAAATATAACAGTAAAAAATGTCAGAGGTAAAATTGGTCATAGGTAAATATGTCAGAGGTAAAATTGTCAGGGGTAAAGTATCAGAGGTAAAAACGTCAGAGATAAAAAATGTCAGAGGTAAAAATTTCAGAGGTAAAAATGTCAGAAGTAAATATGTCAGAGGTAAAAATGTAAGAGGTTAAAATATCAGAGGTAATAATGTCAAGAGGTAAAAATGTCAGAAGTAAATATGTCAGAGGTTAAATTGTCAGAGGTAAAAACGTCAGAGGTAAAAATATCAGAGCTAAAGGAGGGGGAGGATTTAGGTAAACTTATGGATGTAGCATGTTTTTTAAACAAGCTCTTGAAATTAATCAATGCCTTACCTCAGGCATTTTTTTTCCTCTGACATTTTTACACCAAACTAATGTGAAACCATAATTTCACTTCCAAGGTTACATAATTTAAATTGCGATTCACATGTTTTTTGTTTACTGTATTGTGTGAAGTAGATGAGTCACTCAACTGTAGACTGTAGATCCACATTATTTTTATGAAGTCCTTATTATATAGCTTCGTTAACTTTCAGATCATGAAGAGCTCTATCCATTATATGGCTTCTACTGAAGCTAATGAAGAACTTTTAAGTATTTACATTTAATTACTCTTAGGGGCTGCAGTTAGATCTAAGTCCAGGGCCCAACTCATAAAACGTTAGAAGGCTAATTGTCACCCAATTACATCTCTTTAATTAGGTGACAACTAGGCCATAAGTACATCATTAGTTGACTAGGCTAAATTAGCAAGGTTTTATGAATAAAAGCCAAAGTTATGCAATTGTGTGGCAAAAGAAACTGTCTGAAAGGAATTTGTTTTTGTTCTTTTTTGTTGAAAGGTTGATTATGTACATGTGTGTAGTGCATTTGAATCGGTGTATGCTGGGAGGCTTTGGAATCATCAAAATAAACAAAAATTGCTCTATTCTTGTTAAGATCACTTCCGCACTGCCCACGTAAATATGTATATATGGGACTACACCCACACTTTTGAGCCAACCTTTTTTCATTGCTTTAGTCTTATTTCAACAATGAAGGTATTTAAAGAGTAAACAGTGAAACCTGTATGCAAAGACCACTCAAGGGAGAAAAGGAGAAGAGGTCTTTATAGACAGGTTCCTCAAGTACATGTTTCAATGAGAAACTATTCATGGACATAAAGAAAATGTGGTCTTTCTATACAGATGATTGCTGAAGCAGGTTTGACTGTACTTCTTCCAAACTGACATACATATAATGAAAAGGCTCACAAATTATTTTTCAACGTTACCAGGCCCAATCCTCTCCTTTAAAGGCCCACTGTACTACTTGTACATGTAGCTACTTGCTCCCTCTATATAGAAAACAATGCCTAATGGGTGACCATTGGTCCCCCATGATCCTCTTTTTCTTTTGTTAATTGAGAGTTGAGTTGATGAGATAGCCACCTGTCAGTGACCTTTCTGGAAGGTCTAATCCTGGTCTAATCCCTCCCAGGCCTTAAATTTCGTCATTTTTAGGGCAAGGCCAGTTTGGCCTCGAGTACCTCATATTTTTAAGGGCACCAAGGCCAAAATATTTTTACAAAAAGGGCATCGAGGCCAAAATATTTTACAAAAAGGGCATCGAGTATGAGGCCAAAAAAATTGATTCTATTTTTGTTAGATGTCATGTGTATTTTATGAAACTTGTGCAGGATCAATTTCCCATGACTTTTAGCACCAGCTTCTTCACAGAATGTATAGAGGTCTACGGTACATACAAACAAGCAGGCGCGTAGCCACGGGGGGCACATGCCCCCCCCCTAAAATTTCCAGGATCGGTTGAAATTTTGTAGACCCTTTTTTTGACCTCGATTGATTACATGTATGTGCCCCCCCCCCCCCCCCCCCCCCCAAACACCAAACTCTGGCTACGCGCCTGCAAACAAGGCGGCGGCCCGCAAGCCTTAGATTTAGCAGCCAGGAGCAAGGGGCAATTTTTTTTTTAAGTTGCCCTTTGCCACGGGAATTTACCAGAGCAAGGGGCAATTTTCCAAAAACAGATAGGCCGCTTATCTAATCATAAGTTCAAAGAGAGTCTACAAATGTTAATTTCATAATGTGAATAGATCGAACGATCAATTTAATAACTTTTTAATCTTAACAATATGAACAGGAAAGATTGATTAAGAACATCAAACTTGCACATTAAACAGTATTTTAAAGTAACTAAAAATATTGATGAGCAAATGAATAAATAAATTGTCAATTTCACAAACATCGAAAGTCAGAAGGACTTAATTGGCAAGTTTACCGGGCCGGGTATTCCAAATCAAAATCGCACCTCACACATAAACCTTTCGCCACTCTCTCGGTAGTAGGAGCAAATTTGAAGAAATTATCTTTTTAACTGTTGTATAGAAAGGTCTACATAGGCCTAACTTATGAAATAAGATGTAAAAATGTCCTTATAGACATTCGACAGCTGAAAGTGACACGCTCAGCTCAGTTGCGTAACGTGCATTCACGAAACCAAAATCGTTCCTCGCACACACACTCTCGCCACTTTTGGTGGGAAGCTGTCGGGCTGGAAGTTTGCCAGCGAAACCGATGCACCCTCGGAATTTTACCGGGACTCGAAACGTTCGTCTTGGGAAGCTGGCGGGGTAGCTTTTCGAAGCGAGGTCGGCTGGTGGCAAAATGAGAGTAACTACGATCGAGAACATCGTAGGTGTTCTTAACTTATTAATAAGATAATTCTAAATTCTATTTGAGATAAAATAATAAACTAGGCCTACAAACAAACCTCGACAGATCTCTAATGACTATTTGAATGCTTGTTTATTTCTCCATTTGACGATTTGTTTTCTTGATCCTGGCCTTCGATTTGTACGTACGTGCGTGCGTCAACAGCATGCACCATATGCATATCATGCGATCGCATAATATGAACGTACGTACGTACGTGCGCTAGCGCATTGCCTATATAATAACAAAGGGCGCATTTTCACGGCACTTGCGCCTTATTAAAGCACTAAATACGAAGCTAGAAGAGAGCTCGTGGGCGGCAAACTGTTCGTGATTCGTGTATTTTTACTGTTCACGGAAAACACTTGCGCCTTGCCGTCTAGTTTTAGATGATTATGGGCGCAATTGGTGGTTTTATGTGCGCAAATTTAAAATAAAAAGGGCACGTCCAGTTGGAAAAAAAGGCACGTCGGCCAGTTTGAAAAAAAGGGCACGGCCTTTTTGGCCGTGAATATATCTTTTTTTGGGAGGGCACCGCGGCCAGTCATAGGGGCATCGACGGCCTGGCCGTCGATGGCCGTCGATTAATTTAAGGCCTGCCCTCCTAGCCAAACTAGTACAGACAGCCTTTAATGAATGTCTCCTTCTTATTTTTGCTCCCTCTAGTTCTCGCCGTATGTTAGAGGATCAGCTCGCTACATGGCTTCGACGGGTGCTGATGGATGTGTGTGTATCTGGGTGTGGGAAAAAGAGACACTCAAGTTCAAGTAAGTTCTTTCTTTTTTTTCATTTCCAAATTTGTTTCTCCTTTGCAGGGAAAAAAATTAATGAAAGAATTTGGGGGGCTACTTTTAAAGCTTGCTCGCATGAAAATAACACTCTGATTTTTTTGCATTTAACTCTAGGCAAATTGTGGGGGCTCTTTTTTACTTTTGGGGGCTCTTTTGGGCATTTCAGGGGCTAATTTGCCCCGAGCCCCTATGTATTTTTTTCCCTGCTCCTTTGTTTATACCCCCCAAAAAAAGAATTGTAATAATATCATTAATATATGCCAAATATAATGCTTTAGAAATACACAATGATATTTATTAGAATGCATAAGCAAGGAAAGAAGTTGCAATTTGAAGAGAATTCTGTTGAAATAACCTGTGTATAGGATGCGAAAGCTAATGTGCTACTGCTTAGATTAGCAAGTGTGCGCTTGTTAAAATGAAGCCTGGCTGGAATGCTCCCCAGGGAGTGGAGAATGCATACATTGTGTGCGGGTAAGCCTGAATCAGATGACCAGGGTTATAAAAAAATATATATATATATATCTGTAAAGTGCTTTGAGAGGGCCTTCAGTCCTGAACAGAGCTATATAAGAACTAGCTATTATTATTATTTCTATAAACTTAATTTATTTAAATTGTCTTTATTTGTTAATGCTTTCGCATTGTATATAAAAACAAAAAAAGCGATTTCTTGTATCGGGATATCATATTACATTACTAGTATCTAATTTCTAGAGCATTTTTTTTCTCTTTTATATAGCAACAAGCCAATCAAATTCCAAGAGAGAAACAGACCTGGTTCGCAGATGCTTTGTCTGTCTTTTAGTCCAGGTAAGTCTTAACTCTAAAAGGGCCGGGGAGGGGGGGGGGGGGGGGGTAGGTAGGTCAGAATCTCCTTTGAGGCACCATGATAAGTTTGAGGATAATTTTTATACTCTTTGTACAGGCCTGATAAAAACCCGATTTAAATCGGTATCCCAATTTTTTTTTCTTCTTCCCTCTTTTATCCTGATTTTACCGAATTCCCCGTTATTTTCTCTAATCCTCCCTATTTTGCCCTATTTTTTTCCCAATGTTTTTACTCGAAAGGGGGGAATGTTAGACGGGGCCCAGATGTGTGATAGATTTTTACGATAGCTTTTACCATCACCATCATCGTTTTCCTTCCGATTGATCTATTGTAGGTGGTACATTCCTAGTTGCTGGTGGTACGGATACAGCCATCAGAGTCTACAACTTCAACACAATTCCTCCAGAGAAAGTGACAGAGCTCGAGGCACACACAGTAAGCAAAACTTCCTTTCAAAATCAGCTTAATGAATTCAATTCCAGGGCTTAAATTAATCCAAGGCCATGGCTGTGGATGCCCCTTTGATTGGCCTCAATGCCCCTCTCATTGGCCTTGGAGATTTTTTGTGCCCTTTCCAATTCTTCCCATTTGTGCTGTAATATAGGAATGTGTCCTACCGAAAAGTGGCCTTGCCCTAAAAATATTAAAATTTAAGGCCTGCAATTCAATCTGATATATTTCTGTATGGTGTAGGTGAATCCTGATGATTCTTTAAAAAGAAAAAGTCTTTTTGTAATTTTTTTATAGAAGTTATGAAAAAATAACAGGAATACTTTCAGGTAATTCCCAATTAACATTTTAGCAGGTTGCTTTGCTTGCAAACATGAAGGACAAATGATGACTCGGGTGGCTACTAAATGCATTATTTTTAGATAAATGAAATTGTCAGCAGAGTATAAAATTCTGTGATCGCTGTAAGTGTCTCTATTTCTGAAGCAATTAATAGAAACTTGCAGGAAGATTCCTTTTATCAATATAATGTTAGTCGTACACATTTTATACATTTTAAATTCTTCAGTTTTGTAGCTTGCATAGAGTCAGATGCGATTATCCTGATACTTGCATGATTTTTGCTTCTTTTTTTAGGATCGAGTGGATAGCATCGGTTTCTGCCACACCGGATCTCGCTTCATCAGCGGTAGTAAAGACGGTACGGCCAGGGTATGGCGATATGAGAGGCAAGGCTGGAAGAACATCCTTCTCAACATGAACTCAAGATTACCTGGGTAAGTTTTTGTTGTAAAACTTGTAGATATCATTACAACAGGGGAATATTGAGAATGTGACATATTAAAACTTACCTCAAAAAGTACTTGACAAAGGCCCTCATTCAACCGGTCCACCTTTCATTCGTGAGTTACGAAGAACACAAAAAACATCAGATTTACAGGGATGCCAGTTTTCAGGCAATATCCTGAATTCAGGCCCTGGCGAGATATTTTCAGACCATAGTTTAGGCTTTTTTGTGTACAAAATAGCTCATTCTAGGGGATTTTCAGGCCCTCTGATCAATTCTAACTGGCATCCCTACATTTACAAGGGGTATGAATAATTTAGTCCTTAACTGTATATCATAATCTTTTCTCAGCTCCAAAGCGCCCAAACTGGACGAAGGTAACAAGATCGTGAAGCATCGAGTGACTATGGTTGGGTGGAACAAGAACGATTACTACGTGGTCACCGCGGTCAACGATCATTCCTTACGGGTCTGGAACTCGTACAATGGCAAACTGGTCTATGAGCTATACGTGAGTCAAACAGAATACATTTATAGTTTACGTTTTAGAGTGGAAACATGTTTGTGATGTGTGCAGCAAAAGTTTATCCATCCTCTTGTATGTACTGCACAGGTGATTGCGCCTGTCATTAAAGGGATAGTTGAGTTCTTGTTTAAGACTGCAATGTCTTCAAAGTGCATGTTTATTGCTCTTATTCTTATTTAGGACATTTCTAGTGCCCTTTTAGAACCCAAATTTGCTTTGAAGGTAATTTTAGATTTAGATTGAATACGATCATACCGATTCAGCTCCACTTTTAAAAAAATATAGTGGCCGCTAATCAATCAATTAATTAATAGTAACAATACACGGGCCGGCTGGTTGTGCGTATCATAACCAACACGAAAAGACCAACAAACAGCCAACAAAAAAACGATATTGGCATTGGCTGGAAAAAATGTCCAAGGCTTTTTCCCCTTTTGCTACGTCTGGTTCAAAATTACCTAATATTTATAAATGAATGGATATTTCAGCTGATTTTGATCAAACAAAGATGATTTTGTAATTTAAATTGTATGTTTTTTCAAATTTGACACTCAGATTTTCATTATCTCACCAAAAACTATTTTGAGTAGCGCCTCTGAAAAAAAAATCAACTTTAATTGTTTGGAACAGATTGCAAATTGATTGTATCCTTTTGACATTTTCAACTACATTATGCAGCACAAGTGTGCAATGATGTTTGTCTTGCAAGTAGAGCATTACATTTAGATTTGCTTTCCTTAAATTGATTATCATAAAAAATGAGAAATTAATATCTGTATTACTCCCATCCTACTCGAAACCATTTTTCTTTTTCTTTATACTGCTGTATACAATGCACGTTGCCCGAATTGTTTATTATTTCTGTTTGACAATAATAACTAGAAATTAAAAGACTGAAAATTCTGAACCAAAATTGTCATTTCACTATTTTTTTGTGTTATGATATATCCTTGAAACAATGTGTTAACTTTGAAACTTTATCAGTGTTGTGAAGATGGGTGACCAACTCCCCATCTCTTCCTGTAGCCCAATAAATCAATTATTTCTGTTGGACAATAATAATTTTAAAAGACTGAAAATTCTTAACCAAAATTTGCTACTTCACTGCTCCTTTGTGTTATCCTTAAAACAAAGTGTAAAAATGTAGGAGTGTTATGAAAATGGATGACCAAACTCTCCATCTCTTCCTGTTGTCCAAATTGTAAAATCATTTCTGTTAGACAAAGACTATTACAAATATTAAGACTGATTATTCTTAACCACGAATTGCCACTTCCCTATTTGTGCTATCATTGAAACAAAGTGTTAGCTTTGAAACTGCAAGAGTGTTATGAAAGTGGATGACCAAATTCTCCATTTCATCTTTTTGTTTGTTTGTTTGTTTCCACCATAGGGTCACACAGATGAGGTGTACGTCCTAGAAGGTCATCCCAAGGATGTGAGGATATTCCTGAGCGGGGGTCACGACGGTCTAATCTTCCTCTGGGATCTGAGCACAGGACAACAGCTCTACAGGTTTCTCAACACAGTAAGTACAGTGCTAGGAGAACTTCAGCTCTTAAATGGTGTAATCGCCATAATTATTGTACCCTGTAATATCAATTTTTGGGGTTCCATACTTGTATACTGTTAAAGATATCAGCTTTAGATATAATCCGAAAGATTAGAATTCAAAACATGGCACTAATATACATTCGCCACTCTATACCATCAGAGAAATGGGGACCTGGTAGGATGACAAAAGTCTTTGTGTTAGTAAATTGTCATATGCTCTCATGGTGACCATATGGTAGGAATACTCCCCAGGGGGTGGAGAGAGTGCACTGGGCATGAATTAATCTGATGATCGGAGTAATGATATCTGTTAAGCGCTTAGAGACGGTATTTTTGTACTTATTTAATATTATTAAGTTGGAACATGTATGTGTATATTGCCTGTCATTTTATCTACAGATCGAAGGACAAGGCTTTGGGTCTATCTACGATTGCAAGTTCTCGCCCACCGGAGAGCAGTTTGTAGCCACCGATTCTCACGGCCATTTTAGTATCTTTGGGATGGGCTCCAGCAAGCCCTATGACAAGGTAAGTTCTTGCAATTGCTCAGTTAATACCGTAAAGCTTTCCTGGATTTTTGTCCGAGGTAAGGTTCCCACGGTCATGGAAAATCATGGAAAGAAAATAAATTCTTTTGGAAAGTCACAGAAAGAAATGATTTTTTTTTTAAATCTCCCAAAATCATGGAAATTCATGAATTGAAAGTGTGAGTGGAGGCACATTATATCTGGTCATGGACAAGTTAACTAGTACATTATATTTTACTATATATTATTTGCTATAAGATCATGTTATTATTATGTATGAGGATTGCTTTTATAAACACTTTAAAAAAAAATAGATGCAACAGATACACATGTAAAAATATAAGATATCCATATTTTGATTTAGTGAAGTATTATACAATTTGTACTCCAATATTGCTTGTCGACAAGTTAATTAGTACATTATATTTTACTATATATTATTCGTCTATAAGATCATGTTATTATTATAAACACTTTAACAAAAAATATATGTAGATGTAGCAGACACACATGTAAAATATATGATATTCATATTTTGATGTAGTGAAGTAATATAAAAATCACAATCTAATTTCTTTTCGCAGGTCCCAAAAGAGCAATTCTTCCACACCGACTACCGCCCCCTGGTGCGCGACGCCAACAACTACGTCCTGGACGAGCAGACCCAGCAGGCACCCCATCTCATGCCCCCTCCTTTCCTGGTAGATATCGACGGCAACCCCCACCCCCCTCGATACCAGAGGCTCGTCCCCGGGCGAGAGAACTGCAAGGACAATGCCCTCGTACCCCAGATAGGCGTGGCGGAAAATGGTAAGTTGAGATTACTAGTGGAAGAAGTATTTTGATATATAATCCTATGATATATCTATATATCAATCAGGCTATAGTTCATCCAGCTGTTGGACAAAGCCCTCCTCATAACATTTCCATTCTCTTCTGTCTCAGCTATCCTAGTCCAAACGGCCATTCCCATGTATGATGTTAGGTCATCTCTCCATCTTCTCTTATGCCTTCCTCTTCTTCTCTTTCCCATCCTTGGTTGCCATTCTGTTATAACGATTTGTCCATCTGTTGTCCTGAAGAAGTCTTGCTACATGCCCAACCCATCTCCACTTTGATTCTCTGACTTTCTCCATGATATCTTCATCCTTTGTTTTCTGGCGTATGCCTTTGTGATTGATTTTCTTCTAGCAGATATGATATGATATATACACTGTAGAAAAGAAAGTGTTACTCACTATTTCTGTATCGTTTGACGTTTTTCATCTGTTTTTACCTTATGTCATTATTGTGCAGTGATTTTTATGACTATTGTTATCATTCATGATGTATGTATGAATTACTTGATAAATAAAAGTTTTAAAAGAGAGAAGAAAATATAGTTGAGATTACTAGGCAAAGTGCAAAGTGTATTTTTGGCTACAATTTAATTGACATTACGGGAAATACAGTCACACTTTGGTAAAATGTCAGGAAAAACTTTGGGCATCCCATTTGGCTCCTCGTATTCAAATTATTTGTAAAGTCATTTGTAACTTTACGCACAGCTTCATGAAACAACCCCATTTGGCTCCTCGTATTCAAATTATTTGTAAAGTCATTTGTAACTTTACGCACAGCTTCATGAAACAACCCAGGTTTCACTGTACATTGTATTGAGTAGGTTGAACTCATGATCCCTGTATCTCTTTTTTATTGTTATTGTTATTGCTGCGGGCACGTCAAGCTACTTTGCTTATTTCTGTAGCCCTCCTGCATCTGATGTATGTTAATTATGCATTCAATATATTTGTTTAATTTCGTTTATTATCTGTATAAAATTATATACACTTAAAATATTGAATCAAACCATATTATGTTCATGAAAATGAATGATGAAAAAAAAGAAAAATGATGCAGAAACCAATAAATCAAATCAAATCAAATCAAATCTGCTCCTTCCTTCCAGGTAACAATGAGGTGATCGGAGACGGGGAGATGCCGGAGGAGGAGGAGGGGAGCCCCTGAACGAGGAGGAGAATGAAGCCAACCAAGCTGCTAGTCTCCTAGATGAACTCATTCTTCGGATGCAGCAGGACCAAGACGAGGAGAGGGGGGATGCCCCTCCTCATGAGGGCCCCCGTACCCCGGGAAGATCAGGTAAAATGAGAGACGAAATTGTTGGGAGTCATGATTGTAATGATAGGGGGATTTGTATGGAGCTGTGTAGCTAGTATTTTAGTTTTTAGTATGAGAAATTTAATTTAGAATTAATCATTTGTCCTCCTTTCATCCTCAGCAAATGGCCCATTGTCTCCTTCCATGTCCCCAAGAGGATTACGCCGAGCTGGAGAGATAGAGGGCGTGCGTCAGGCTACGGGGAACGTTCCCGTCAGCCAGCGTGCATCCCAGGCAGACATCTTGTCGTTCAAGACGAGGATGGTTGTGCCAGCGTTGTCCCGTGCGGTAGCAAGGTGAGACCTTGACAACTGTAATATCTTCTTTTATTAAAGGGATTGGGCAACTTTGTCTCAGATTCTGAAACAAAATTCTGGATTTAGCTCATGATGCAATGATAATTACAAACCTTTAGGTCAGTCAGGAACCCCATGACTTTTACAAGCCGATCGCCTGTCTGATTATCAAGATATTTATGATTGGAATTACAAATTTTGAAAACCGTTCGCCTGACGGTTTTCATAACACTACAGTCTGGGGAAAACGAGTATGGTAAAACGTGTCAATCAAAGATTTTTACTTTTTTGAGGCACTTCTTGATCATTTTGAAGCGCAATTTTTTTAGGGCTCCAATCACAGACACTGATAACACGTAGGGCCGTGCATCTCAGATTTAACATTTTTAAACGATCCCTTTAATAATAATAATATTAGATGCTGCTTGTATTTATTTAGCGCACATATCCACCATGCATGGTGCTCAAGGCGCTCCAACTATTACCCCGGCTTTGCTAGACAGCCGATTTTCGGCGCTCACAGCATTCAAGGAATTTCTTTCTACTGGTACCCATTTAAAGCTTATCTGCCGTAGTTTACAGGAGGGATTAGACTGCCCTGCGAGGTCACTGGACAGGTGGTTTATCTCGTCAACTCGGCTCTCAGTTAACATGAGAAAAAGAGGATCATGGGGGACCAATGGTCACCGATTAGGCATTGTTTGTTATATAGAGGGCGCAAGTAGCTACAAGTAGTGCAGTGGGCCTTTAACACGTCTTTGGATCACATAGTTTGCAAATTGAGTCCGAGTGCGAGCCATGGCTCTGATTTCCTTTGGCAAGACATTTATCTACATCTGCCACTCTCCACCCAGGTGTATGCAGTACATGGGAACCTAGAAGGAAGCTATTTGCTGAGTGTATTCAGTGCCTATGAGATTTGCAGGTGCCTTGAGCATATATATATATATATTAGATAGCTTAGACAGATACCGAGATGTGATTGGTCCAGAGCTCGTCACGTGATATCAATTGCGAGGATCCAAATTGTTATATTTTCCTGGCCGGTCACTTTTCAGTGTTATATTTTACCGGCTGGTGAAATGAATATATTTTTAATCAATGCATGTCGCCCTCTTGAGGACTGTATGTCACCAATTACATACATTACACCATTATCGAGGGCCATTTTATTTTTTCAATATTTTTTTTTCATGGAATTTTTTTTTTCCCTAGAAATTTTTTTTTTTTCACATTTTTTTTTTTCCCCAAAAAATGCTTTTTTGGGTAAATTTTTTTTTTTTAATAATTTTTTTTTGTTTCCCGAAAAATGCTTTTTTGGGTAAGAATTTTTTTTTTTTTTTTTTTTTCCCCAAAATTAAAAAAAAAAAATTTAAAGGGTAATCTCGACAAAGTATTTTTCCGTAATTTTGATTGTCCCCGAAATTTTTTTTTTAAATTTCGGGCTAAAAAAAATATGGACCCCCCCCCCACCCCCACACAAAAAAAAAAACCAAGGCTATCTAATATAACAGTTATTGACTGGCAGGGGGTATATAACATTCTTTGGACCTGAAGGGAGTTATATTTTCCCTCGTGACCATATTTTCCCTCAGCGCTGCGCGCTTCGGGAAAATATAACCACTTGGGAAATATAACTCCCTTCAGCGGTCCAAATAATGTTATATTACACCCCCTGCCAGTCAATAACTGTATAATATATATATATATATATATGATATGATCAATTGTGTAATCATGATTATCCATATTGTTCTTGTGATAGCTCGGTGGTTTAACCCTAAAAAATCCCTTGCAATCTCGGTTCATGGAATGACGAAAAATTCTGAAACTTGGCATACATATAAAGTATCTCTTAAAAAATAAACCCATGAAGTTTCATATCTACATGAATGTCTTCAATGGTATTTGAACTATCAGTCCTGATCTGTGTCTTGTTTTACAGTATATATTTTACCTCTATTCTCGACTTCTTTCATACCTATATTCATGTATACTTTGACAAAATTCATGTGACGTTGCTTCTGTAAAATGCAAAAGATATTTTGTCATCGTCACCCATAAAGAAGCTCAATTTTTTTCTGAAAACCAAACAAACATGAAAGCTGCTATGAAAACATGGAATTACAGATGCTTTCATAAAGTCTTGTTACCTTTGATATTACTTTAGGTTTCAGGAAGAATTCAGAAGAAAGTTAGATGAAGAGGCCTCAGGACGGTTCAAGGCAGAGAGGAAAAAGAAGGTGCTCCCCTCTCCAGTTGAAACGGTGAGTTACGATTGAACGCAGATGTGGAATTCCATGGAAAGATGCTAATCTCTTTGTCAAGTTTTGTATTTGTTCTGTTCAATTAAGGACCAAGATTTGATGCGAATGAGATCACCCCCCTCCCCCCCCCCCCCCCACCCTGCCCCTGAACCAAAGCCTTTAATTGGCATCCCTTTGCTTGTGGAAGAGCAATGTAAACAAACCCTCAAATGGGCTCTACATCACCCATTCGCACACATGCCCAACTGTGCGATCCGGCTTCAGAGTTTGCTATTAGTACCCTAACATTCCTACCCACCCCTAAGAATATCCACAATCAAACAATTAACTTCTGCATTTCGCTATGCACATGAAATATGGCCGTGCGATTTACATGATGAAAGCGTTGACCTCTAACCTGTTAGTGCAGGAACGTGCTGTCTGAGTTAGTAGTGCACATTGAGATGTGGTGATGTGGGAAGATAAATTGTTGAGCGCTAATATCAGGTCACTCAAACAGTGCAAATGTGTGAGCGTACGTGTATGACCGAGTTACAGGGGATATAAAAAATGTTCATAATTCCATCATATTTTCCCCTGCAGACCGATTCTACCGACTCGTACGAGAGGCTGAGGAGGAGGAAGAAGCCGAAGAAGACGGCAAACCACAACTACCGGACCAGAGCCAACCAAGATGGGACCCCTCTGGAACATGGGATCGGGATGGAGGAGGAGGAGGAGAGGAGGAGGCGACAGAGGGTGGGAGAAGAAGGGGAGGATACTCTCTCAGATATGGATGAGGTAAGACCTGAATGGGGTTGTGAGGAGGGGAGGATGGAAGGGAAGAGAGCAGAGCAGAGCAGAGCAGAGCAGATGAAAGGAGAGGAAAGGAGAGGAGAGGAGAGGAGAGGAGAGGAGAGGAGAGGAGAGGAGAGGGTAGGGTAGGGTAGGGTAAGGTAGGGTAGAAGAGGGTAGAAGAAGCGGAGAGAGGAGGAGAGGGTAGAAGAAGTGATGGAAGGAGAAGAAGGGGAGGATACACTCTCAGATGAAGATGAGGTAAGATCTTAATGGGGTTGTGATGAGTGGAGGATAGAAGGGAGGATGAGGAGAGAAGGAAGAAAAGGAGAGAAGGAAGAAAAAGAGAGGAGAAGGAGGAGGAAGTGGAGAGGAGGAAGAGGAGAAGACAGAGGGTGGGAGAAGAAGGGGAGGATACTATCTCTCAGATATGGATGAGTTAAGACCTGAATGGGGTTGTGAGGAGGGGAGGATGGAAGGGAAGAGAGGAGAGGAGAGGAGAGGAGAGGAGAGGGGAAGAGAAGAGGGTAGAAGAAGCGGAGAGAGAGAGAGGAGAGGGTAGAAGAAGTGGTGGAAGGAGAAGTAGGGGAGGATACGCTCTCAGACATGGATGAGGTAAGACCCGAATGGGGTATGAGGAGTGGCGGAGGGGATGATAGAAGTAGGAAGAGGAGAGGAGGAGGAGGAGGAGGAGGAAGAGGATAAGACAAGAGGATGGTAGAAGTGGTGGACGGAGAAGAAGGGGAGGCTGTGCTCTCAGATATGGATGAGGTAAGACCAAAATGGGGTTGTAAGGAGTAGAGGAGGATGAGAATGGAGAGGATATTGCAGAGTTTGTGGGAATGGAGGAGAGATGGAGGAGACAGAGGGTAGGAGAAGTGGTGGACGGAGAAGAAGGGGAGGATGTGCTCTCAGATATGGATGAGGTAAGACCCAAATGGGGTTGTAAGGAGTAGAGGAGGATGAGAATGGAGAGGATATTGATGAGTTTGAGGGAAGGAAGGAGGAGAGGAGATGGAGGAGAGGAGACCGAGGGTAGGAGAAGTGGTAGATGGAGAAGAAAAATAGATTCTTTACTGTGATATATCATATGCTTTGAAAATTGACTGAATATTTTCGTTTTTTCAATCATTTGTTTTCTTACCAGCCTGTGGATGAGGGAGCCATGACCGGAGCAGAGACATCCGAGGAAGAGGTCGAATGGCGCAGCACAAGCGAACACGAAAGGTGAGAAACGAGGCAATGTTATGTTAAAGGGGGAGTAGCATGGCGAGACTATGTGTCTTTCCCATGGCCCGATTCAGGGCCAATCAGATATACATGTAATATGACTTCGGACGACGGACCGCAGTATTCACGTGCGTGCAACATTTGTGAAACTGTAGCGTGAGGAGAACTCCGGTCTGTTTCGCGAGACCGTTAAATCAAGTCCATTCGTTAACATGCAGTTGACCAAAAGAAGTCGCAGATGGTGTTAACCAGTATTTGCCATGCAACACCCTTTAATATCTCATGCTCCACTGTTCGGTGGAATAAAATATATTTACAAGAACCAACAAATTCAGAATTCCTCAAGTCATTTTAGATTTGTATGTAGAGGTGTTGTGGTCCGTTGGATAAGCCTCCGGACTGTGAATCACAAGGTACAGGGTTCGAATCCCTGTCACAGCACTAATGTCCTTTGGCAAGACATTAATCTACATTTGCCACTCTCCACCCGGGTCAGGTTAATTGGTATACCCGGCAGGAATTAATGCCTTAAAATGCTCAAGTGTTCTAATAGCAGCCGTGCTGAAGCGGGGGTAATGATAATGGAAGCGCCACGAGTGGCAATGTGCCAGACATGAGTTCTGTACAAAATTCCTCTATTCTTATTCTTAGATTCCCTGGCAGCAGCAGGCAAAGATTGACATAAAATGGCACATGAAAAATGTCTGAATTTCACGAAAACATGAAGGCTGTCACATGCTTTACAGGGGAAATGATTAGTTCAGTTTCAAGTTCAGTTTATTTCACATCCAACAAAAAATTTAGAACAATATAACATTCAAATACAATAATATAAAATGCAATATATACTAAAAAAATGTAATGAGATAATAACAAATACAACAACAACAGTAACACTAAAAATAATTAATGGGTATAGTAGTGATGTGAGGGACCAAAAAAAGCCATTAACCACTCATTAGTCCAAATTTATTGAATAAATATTTAATTTTACAGTGAATCCAGCGAGTATTCAGATTGGACGGCTGATGCGGGCATGAACCTCCAACCGCCCAAGAAGAAGACGAGAAGAAAAACCTTGCCCTGGGAGTCGGGAGGGGAGTCCAGCGCCTCGCCTTCCAAGACCCCATCAGCGACCCCGGTCAAATCAACTAGAAAAAGAAGGGTAAGTTTGATGATGATTGATTTATCTGACTGCTATTGAAGAAAGTATGTATATGCTTGAAGGTAAACAACCAGGGGACCGACTGCTTTACGTCCTCTCCAAGGGACTTGGGTCATGAGGATTAATGCCTGACAAAGGGTATGAGCGTATTTAATTGGTTTTTAATCTGGGACCTCCCAGTTACGGTCACGTTCTTTATCTTTTGCCTGTAGCTCTGGTTACAGCTCTTTCTTACTAATTTGCACAAATTTTTTAAATTTTTTAAAAAAATAATTGTTTTAAACTCTTTAAGCACTTTGTATTTTTAAGTACTAGAAACAAATTACTCCAGGAAGCTTGTACTAGAAAAAAGCACTCCATAAATTCCCAGATTAGATGAAATTACTTTGTACCATTATGTAGAGGTGTCGTGTTCGAGTGGATACGTCGCTGGACTGTCGATCACAAGGTCTGCGGTTCGCGTCCCGCCGCGGCACTAATGTCCATTGGCAAGACATTGATCTACATTTGCCACACTCAACCCAGGTGATGTAAATGGGTACCTGGCAGGAATTAATTCCTTGGAATGCTGGAGCGCTGTAATGGCAGCTAGGCTACAGCTGGGGTAATAATAAATGCGCCTCGGAATAGAATTTCTAGATAGATGAAGCTATACAAATGCCTATTATTATTATTATTATTCATAACCTAATCCAGTGTTTTCTCCTACCCCAGCCTCCCAAGGCCCTCATCGATGACATGGAGATCGACAACGACAAGGAGTCGATGTCCGAACTCCCTGAAGAATTGAAGCCCCCTCTGTGGATCACCGACACCACCCCGAGGCGCTGCCCCTACGTGCCCCAGATGGGGGACGAGGTCATGTACTTTCGGCAAGGTCACGAAGCGTACATCGCTGCGGTCAAGAAGAGGAAGGTGTACCATATAGAACCCAAGAAGCAACATTGGACCAAGATTAATCTCAAGGTGAAACATTTACTTTGTTCTGTACAATTTGTTTTAAAAAAACACTAATAATAATAATAATAAAAAAAGTACTTTTAAAGCGCTAATCATGGAAGTCTTTAAGCGCTAATGATTTGAAATTTAATGAGGATAAAACTGAGATGCGCTAAGGTTGTTTGTCAGGAGCGATATGATATTCTGTCAAAAATAAGCAGTGCAGAAGATTAATAATGGTTAATGATGAAAACAATAGTAATTGTAATAATATGTCTTGTTTACTCTGAGTAGCCTCATCAGTAACAATACTGTTCTCCCTGAGGACACTGCAATCATAGTTTTAATTTTGCATTTGCTACAGAGGATTATGGTTAAGATTTAATAATTGTAGTGATACAATTTGTGTAATGTCAGTTTTATATGATCTAGGGATATTATTAATGGGGTTTCCTTGTCTTTTTTATGATTATCATAATTTCTAAAATATGATTCAAAGATAAAATACAACTTGATATAAATGGAAACCTGAATGAATGTAGAATAAAAATAAAGAGGAATAAAAAGTATCTACCCTTTCATTATTGCACAAAAGCAAATTAAAATTTCATTTTCCGCACCCCTCAAATTACTGGTCAAAAGGTGTCAAATTTGCCGAAGTTACATTGAGGACATAACATGTGGAACCCATCAGTTCGATGAGCCGTGCTTAATTAATGCAAAGTCATTGTGAATATGCGTACTCCACATAAGATGATGTCATCAAGTCAATAGCAAGTTTAGGTCGACACACTTCCAATTTTCGAAGCTTTAAAAATTTGGAGTGTTCAGAGAGGTGATACTCCTCTGACAGACACTAGAATGGAAAATAATTGATATTATTGTAAGCTATGGCTTATAAGCTTTCCGTTGATATATAATCCATCCATTTATGATTAATTTTTCAGTTCGGAAATGGTCTTTAATCATTATTTCTTGTTCTTTATTGTAGGACCATGAGTTGGTGCGTGTGATGGGTATCAAGTACCAGGTTGGTCCTCCTACACTGTGCGGTCTCAAGCTGGGCTTCATGGACCCAGAGACCAGGAAATCAACAGGTGGAAGCTTCTCTATGAAGTAAACAGACGCTTCTTAAATTTTTAGAACTAGACAAAATAAAAACATTTTTTGAAACTATATCATGAATAGATTTAAAGATAAAGTTGAGTTCTGGTCATGCGATTGCATTGTGAAAGAAACAGTGTGGAATCGATCAGAAAAGGTTAATCATGTAGCATGTAGTTATTGGTGTGTACTGCAAGGTTCTGGAATCATCAAAATGATAAGAAATTTGGGCTAGTCTTGGTAAAGTTACAAGCACTGTACACAGAAAGATGTATATGGGACTACACAAACATGTGGCGTAAAAATCTGTCTCAATTTTTATGCTGTTACATGCCATATTTAGAATATTAAGGCATTTGAAGAGCCATGCTTTTCGGGGAACATTTTTAGTCTGATCTTCTTTTACACTTGCATAATAACGATAAAATAATAATAATAATATGACAAATTTATATAGCGCTTGTGACAAAAGTTTCAAAGCGCTGTACATGTACACAAATGATAACAATGATAACGCTCACAGATTATTTGTTCACCTCTTCCCAGAAGTAAACCTTCTCCTTAAATGCATAGATGCCATGTCTGTTTTAATTGATTTGTTGGTATTGGCATTTCTCTGTTTTATAATGTGTGTTCTCTTTTTGTACAACAAAGAATGTTGATATTGTTCAAGAGCGATTTTTGTAGCAAGTGAAATGAAAGAAAGTGATTAAAATTCATATTCCTCCCTTATTTCTGTTTATAAGACTCTCTCTAAAAAAAATAGAGGGGGTAGTTTGTTTGACTTCTTATTAGTTATTAACTCAAATCAATTTTTGCCTTTAGCATACCTATTGAAAATGGAAGTGCCTGGAATATTTCTTGTTGCGTTTTAAAATTGTTGTTATCAACTGTATTTAGTATTGTTTTCTTTTTTTTGCCTTACAGATACCATGACATGCCAGACGTCATTGACTTCCTCGTTCTCCGTCAGCACTTTGACCAATCGGTGGCCATGAAGTGGAAGCTAGGAGATCGCTTCAGGGCGATGATTGACGACGCCTGGTGGCAAGGGACGATCGTCGCTCACAGCCCGCTAGATCCAGAACATCCTGATAGTCTGTTCCAGTGTTATCTAGTGGAGTAAGTATTTAACTTTTTGGTCTTCTGGTTTTGAGCTAGTGTCGACTGTGCAGTGTTTTGGTATTTGCCTGAACTGACTGTTTGCTTCTGGATAATGAGTTGCATGTTTGTACACTAGTATCGTTACACTGTATTACCTAAAAATAAAGAAGGAATACAGTTATTGGGGCATCCTTATTCATTTCACTGGTCATGGCATTGCAAATCAACACAAATTCAAGAGAAAGATTCAGATGTATAGTGAATGTATGAACTTAAACGCATCATGTACTTTGAAACGTAGGAGACAATCTGCGCTCAAAGTAGCTTAGTGTGGTTAAGCAGTGTTCTCGTAACCTGGAGGTCCCAAATTCGAAACCAATTTGATGCACCAGTGCTCTTTGATAAGGCATTAATCCTCATTACCAAGTCCCTCAGAGAGGACTTAAAGCCGTCGGTCCCTGGTTGTTTACAAACGAACACATGCATTCTTAGCAGTAACTAATAATAATAATATAATTATTTTTGTTTATTTTTAGCTGGGATAATGGAGAATGTGAGCGGATGAGTCCATGGGATCTGGAGCCGATCGATGAGAAGAGTGAGTACATTCCTTCATGAACTCTGACCTTGTATAGATGATCTTTTGAATGTTATATGTTTCCTTGATCCTTTATGTATAAAAATGTAAGAGTTGTCTATTACTGTTCTTGTATAATTGAAGTATATACTTCTGACATTTCCTGCCTTCAAGAAAACAACGGTTGACTTTATTCTTATTGTTATGTTTTCTGAACAAGAACTTATTACATTCTAAAGGTGACCTCCTGACCAGGTCCAGAGAAAGTAATGTAGTAAAGTAAGAAATACTTTTGCTTCTAGCTAGTAGTTGATAATGGGAATACGATGGATTCACAATCCACAGCGCCATTTAGCGACACAGGTGCCGAGTCAATTTAACGTGATGTATCATGGGAAAAAGTCAACATCGTATCAGCTATGGCTTCGTTATAATTATAATTTAAATTGTTGGTGGGGGAGGCTTGAATAGCTTGACCTACAAATTAAAAACTTTGCCTGTTTCGGGTTGCTGGTGGGTAGCTGTAAATTTTGAATCCACACTATTCCAAGGTATTGATAGACCTGAGAGTAAAGGAGAGATTATACCTTCCAACATATACTATCCATTGCATGATGTTCTTTAACTTTCAAACATATACCAGTCATTGCCTGATGAATCTTTCACTCTCCAACCTCTCTTAGATATGCCTGAGAGCAAAGGAGGGAGTATACCTGTCACAGACGACGAGCTTCTGGCCATGCTCTATGTCCCTGGCCCAGGGGAATGGGGAGAAACGGATAGGGACACCTGCTGTGATAGACTACTCAAATGCCTACAACAGGTTAGTATTAAAGGCATTGCTTAACAATGTTAAATCAGAGATACATGGCCCTACGTGTTATCAGTGTCTGTGATATGGTGTAATATTGAAGCCCTAAACAAATTGCGCTGTAAAATGATCATGATGTGCCTCGAAAAAGTAAAAATCTTTGAGTGACCGGATTTACCATTCACATTTTCCCCAAAAGACTGTAGTGTTATAAAAACTGTTAGGTAAATGCAAATATGATTTAGATTTCCAATCATAAATATCTTGATAATCAGATAGGAGATCGGCTTGTAAGAGTCATGGGATTCATGTATGACCTAAAGGTTTATAATTATGATTGCAGCATGAGCTAAATCCAGGATTTTGTTTCAGAATCTGAGACAATGTAACAGAGTCACTTTAAGGAGGCCTCAGTTATATAGGCCAATCTGCTTCAGGAGAAGAAAGGATGTGACATCTTCATGTACATGCAACATAATTTCTTACCATTCCTATTTTGGAGGAATGATACCTATTTTGCCCTTCAAGCTTTTATTGATTTGAATAAAGGACAACTTGAAATTAATCACAACTCCTATCTCGTAAGTACACAGTTGCAATTAATTTTAAGCTGCCATTGATTTGAATCAATCGCAACTCTTTATAATACATAGCCCTGGGGGTGTTTCATATGGTGGCCCTGAAGGGACATCGCGAATAGACTAAATCGTGAAAAATATGCGATAAAATTGACGATATCGTGAATTTTATCGCATATTTTTCACGAAGAAATTCACGAAATTGACGATATCGTGAACTTTATCGTGAACTTTTCACGATGAAATTGACGATATCGTGAATTTTATCGTGAAAAGTTCACGATATAAAGTTCACGATATCGTCAATTTTATCGTGTACTCTATCGTGTACTCTATCGTGTACTCTATCGTGTACTCTATCGTGTATTCTCCTGACGGGCGCTTCGTAAACAAAACCAGCCCTAGCTGGGGGAGACAGAGAGAAGGAAAAAAGGGAAAGGGAAAGAGAAGATAAAAGGAAAGAAAGAATAATAAGAAGAAAAGAGGGAAACGGGGGGGGGGGGGGGGGGGGGGGGGGGGGGGGGGGGGGGGCTCTTGCCTCCTCCTCACTCCCTCCTCCCCCCCCCCCCCCCCCCTCCCCGCCAAAAAATAAATCAGAGAGAGAGAGAAGGGAAAGGGAAAGGGAAAGAGAAGATAAAAGGAAAGAAAGAAGAGGAAGAAGAAGAAAAGAGGAAAACGGGGGAAGGGCAAAGGACTCTTGCCCCCCCTCCCCCCCCCCCCCCAAAAAATAAATCAGAGAGAGAGAGAGAAGGGAAGGGAAAGGGAAAGAGAAGATAAAAGGAAAGAAAGAAGAGGAAGAAGAAGAAAAGAGGGAAACGGGGGCAAAGGGCTTTTGCCTCGTCCCCCCGCCCCCGCCAAAAAATAGATAAGAGAGAGAGAGAGAAGGAAAGGGAAAGGTAAGAGCCTTTCGCCCTTCCCCCGTTTCCCTCTTTCCTTCTTCCTCTTCTTTCTTTCCTATTATATTTTCTTTCCCTTTCCCTTTCCCTTCTCTCTCTCCTTATTTATTTTTTGGCGGGGGGGGGGGGGGAGTGAGGAGGAGGCAAGAGCCCTTCGCCCCCCCCCCCCCCCCCCCCCGTTTCCCTCTTTTCTTCTTATTATTCTTTCTTTCCTTTTATCTTCTCTTTCCCTTTCCCTTTTTTCCTTCTCTCTGTCTCCCCCAGCTAGGGCTGGTTTTGTTTACGAAGCGCCCGTCAGGAGAGTACACGATAGAGTACACGATAGAGTACACGATAAAATTGACGATATCGTGAACTTTATATCGTGAACTTTTCACGATAAAATTCGTGAAAAATATGCGATAAAATTGACGATATCGTGAATTTTATCGCATATTTTTCACGATTTAGTCTATTCGCGATGTCCCTTCAGGGCCACCATAGTTTCATAAAGCTGTTCATAAAGTTATGCATGACTTTACGAACGACTTGTATATGAAGTGCCAGATAGGATGCCCAAAGTTTTTTCCGATATTTTCAATAACCTCAATTAAAATTATGGCAAAAAATATACTTTGCATTAAAAAAAAATGTTTGTTATCATAAGAATTTACATCTGCACAGTTCAACTTTAGTTGATGTAATCTATTTAATAATGATTGAGCATCCCATTTGGCTTTTCATATACAAATCGTTCGTAAAGTCATGCGCAACTTTACAGGCAGCTTTATGAAACACCCCCTGGTCTAACTTTTCTAAAGTGGCACCATTTCACCTGTTTCCCCTGAGATGGCCTTGATTCTGATTCAGAGGAGAGAACAGAAAGATTCTTTATTTCAAGATAATAGCGAGAGACGGAAATGTAAAATCTCAACAAGTTTCACCCTTTTTTTGTAGGTAATGGAGCTTCGTATTGCGGAGCAGTTTAACACCCCCGTGGACCTCAGTCGCTACCCGTCCTACGCCTACATGGTGCCGTACCCTACAGACCTCAGCACCATCATGCGCCGCCTCGAGCGCCGATTCTACCGCCGCATCACCGCGCTGCAGTGGGAGGTCAGGAAGTTGGAGCAGAATGCCCTCGAGTTTAACGAGAGGGACAGCATCATCGTCCAGTGGGCCGAGACCATGGTCAAGATTCTTATGGAGGTCACCAAGTAAGTATAGAAGACTTTCAGGGATGAGAAGGAGAATGGTGTTGATGATGATGGTAGAGGTGATGATGATGATGACAACGTTGATAGTGGTGTTGATGATGGTGACGATGATGATGGGGTTGATGAAAGTGCCATCAAGAGGGACAGCATCATCGTCCAGTGGGCCGAGACCCAGGTCAAGATTCTGATGGAGGTCACCAAGTAAGTATGGAAGACTTTCAAGGATGAGGAGGAGTATGATGTTGATGATGATGGTAACGATCGCATAGCTGCCAACTGCTATGAAAAAATTGTAATTGTTACGAATTTCCCACACTCGTTACGAAATTACGAATTCCCCTTCTGTTATTACGAATTTAAAAAAAAAAAAAAAAAAAAAAAAGTATCCTACAAGCATCTCACATCAGCAATTTGGGGGTGTTCATTGGTTCATCAAACACACCAGTCATGACGAATCATGCATATTCAAACAATGATCCATACAAAAATGTCTTCCTGTATGTAGGAACTGTAAGAGGCATTGCTCCGTTTTTTTTTTCTAAACAATTTTTGTCAGTAAAATACAACTTTGGGGATTGAAGAATACAGTTTTTGAACTCCAGAGGTTGGCAGGTCTGACATATGATATTCAGTTTTACTTAAATGTTACTAATTGAAATTCCAAATGTTGGCAGCTATGCGATGGTGGTAGTGATGGTAGTGGTGGTAGTGGTGATGACAATGATAATTGTAATGTTGATTCTGCTGATGCTGATGATGATTGTGATGGTGATGGTGATGTTCATGATTATGGTGACAACGTTGATAGTGGTGTTGATGATGGTGACGCTGATGATGGGGCTGATGATAGAGCCCTCGACTTCATCGAGAGGGGCTGCATCATCATGCAGTTGGCCGAGACTTTGGTAAAGATTCTCATGGTCATCAAGTAAGTTAAGAAGACTTCCAGGGATGATGATGATGAGGAATAGGAGGGTGCTGATGGTTATGATGATAATGATAATGATGAGATTATGAAGGTGATGATGATCAGAGGAGGAGGAGGAGGAGGAGGAGGAGGAGGAGGAGGAGGAGGATGTTGATGGTGGTGATAATGCAGATGATGGTTATGGTGATGATGCTGATCATGAAGATAATGACGGTGGTTATGATGATGATTATGACTGCGATGATGATGATAATAATACAGACATTAATAATACGAAACATATCTACCCAGAGGTGCTCAAGGCGCTAACAATAACCTACATATAAACTACCGTATACTTTGAAACAATTATGCTTACATTATTTTATACATGGTGAAAAAGAAGATCTTAGTTAAAGTAGGCCATTAGATAAGTTTTCAGACTGGCCTTAAAATGATCTACTGATTTACGGTCCTTTTGTGTCCCTATCATTTGTCCTATCACATTGCAATCTCACTTATCTCCTATCATCGACAGGGACGATCACTGCGACGATGCAATGGACATCTACAACCGTATCACGAAGGATAGCGATGTGGACGTCTGCGTGGACGACTCTCATTCAGGCAGCGAGGACAAACGAGGTTCATCAAGCAGGTCCAAAGGCAAGAAGGTAATAAGAGACCATCTTATATCCTTGTAACAATTTATGAAGGCATCCCAAAGTCTCTCCATCTCAAGATTTGTTGATGGTGTATCATATCTTGGGAGCTAGAAATTCATCAGTTTATGTTATTTTATGCAGAGTGAATGCCTCTCTGGTTTTCAGTTGGAAATTATTTTTTTATTTTTTTAAGATTTCACTTTTTCTCAGTAACTTTAATGTTAATCTCTCTTCTGTATTTTGACTCCTTTGGTCTGTAAGTTTCCAAGTTGCGTATAATTGTTTATATTATATTTCTGTTTGAACTGCATAAATTATACAATTCCTATTTGATTTTTAAGTTTTAAGTACAATTCTCTGGTCATTTTCCTTCTCAAATCGTTTCTTTATATCAAGTTAAAAACTAAATTATTCATACCCTTTGTAAATCTTAAGGGTTTTTGTAACTCAAGGTAAATCAAGACAAATCAATTTTTTCCACGTTCATAAAAAAAGTTATGAAAAAGTTGGTTGTTGACCGTATTCTCATTTTTTTTTAATACAGCTAGCTATATGACCTTTGTATGTATTAAGTCTTTGTACAAGGAAAGTTTTCCAATAGACTTAGAATGATTGAATGAATGATTGATGTTTATGATTTGCCTACCTTAGGGGTCGCCATCCAAGAAGCAGAAGCGTAAGAACAGAGCATGCTACAACTCCAAGGCTTGGATTGAGCAATGCAAGAAACTCCTCAAGGACATGTGGGATTGTCACGATTCCGAACCGTTCAGGACGCCGGTGGATGAAAGGGCCTATCCGGTGAGTAGTGTATAATGTGTAATAATAATAATTAAAAAAAAAAATATATTTTAATAATAATAGTCTAATAGTCCACTCCAAATTTTATTAAACCGAAACGGAAATTCTTTTTGCCCAATTGATCGTGAGCCCGGTAGCCACTGAGCAGCGCCAGATCGACGTTGCTCTATCCCTTATTGTTGAACGCCAAACAAGGTAGCAACAACTCCCATCTTTTAACGTCTTTTGGTATGACGCGGCCGGGATTCGAACCCATGACCTCCCGGTTGTGAGGCGGACGCTCTACTGACTGAGCCAACACTCCGGTACAAGGCTAGTGATGGTTATTTTACCTGACTGCTATATATCTGCTTGTGAGTAAGTAACCAGAGCACCGACGGCTTTCGGTCCTCTCCTGCACCTAACTGGCCCCTGTTTCATAAAACTTATTATCAAGAGCAAGTTACAATAACTGATACTGAGCTACTGAAATTGTGGCATTTGATTGACTGAGAACAAATTTGTCATAGAAATTTAGCATTTGTTATTGATAACAAGTTTTATGAAACGGGGCCCAGATAACTACCCCTGTATCAGAAAAATGTTTATCTTATCGGTGATGCATTTTGCTCAAAGCTTTTTCATCCTGTCTACTTCTAAAAGCTAATTTATTTATGCAACAATTCAACCATATTTTCTTTGTTTCTTTTTTAAATTACAGTCAAACCTGCTTTAGTGACCACCCGTCTACAAAGACCACGTTTTTTCATTGAAACATGCACTACAGGAACCTGTCTATAAAGACCACTTTTTGCATTTTCCTTGGGTGGTCGCTGTAGCAGACCTGCCAACCAGTACGATTTAGTCGTATTTAGTATGATTTTTAGAAGTAAATACGACAGTACGATTTTCTTCAATAAAATACGATTTTCAACAAAACAAAAAAAAACATTTTTTTTTTTTTTTTTTTTTTTTTTTTTTTTTTAAATAATTTTTTAAAATAATTTTGTTGTTGTTGGTGTTTGTTTGTGTGTGCCATTTTCAATGGCAAAATGCCCATTCTGTCGTATAAAGCATCTCACATCCGCAATTTGGGGTTGTTCATTGGTTCATCGAACACACCAATCGTGACGAAATCATGCATATTCAACCAATGATCCATACAAAAAATTCTTCCTGTATGTAGGAATTGTAAGAGGCATTGATCCGCGTAACAGTCCGTGTTTATTTTTAAGAATACAACTTTTGTCAGTGAAATACAACTTTGGGGATTAAAGTATACAATTTTTGAACTCCAGAGGTTGGCAGGTCTGCTGTAGACAGGTTGGACTGTGTTTAGATGATGAGATAATGGTCTAAACCGTATCACAATATTGACAGAATTTGACCCTTGTTTTGTTTCCTTATTCCTTCTCCTAATTTTGCAGGAGTATCGGGAAATCATCGATCATCCGATGGACTTGTCGACACTCAAACAGCAGTTTGCCCTCGGGAGTTACCGAGACCCCATGGACTTGGGCAAAGATGTCCGGTTGATGTTCACCAATGCCAAGAGTTTCACTCCAAACAAAAAGTCGAGGGTACGTGTATGTGTGTAGTTCATATATTTTTTATTATAATATATGAGATTTGTAAGGTGCTTAATTCACAGGAGATTAAATGCTCAAGGTGCTATGCAAAACTATGTGTACATGGATATGTTGTGATAGTGTTTAAATTGGATGAAAATGAGCAACAATTTTTTTGCTCTGTATATGCCACACAAATATTAATCTGCCTGTACCACATGGTGTCTTTGATACCATGTGTTACAGGGAGATTAATCTACCAAAGGATACATTTACCAAAGGCTTCAAGATTATTCCACAGTTTCCAGTGAAAGATTCATCTGTACCTGTGTTTAAAGCTTATCAGTACTAGTTTACAGGAGGGATTAGACCACCCATGGTGGTCACTGACAGGTAGCTATCTCATCAACTCAGCTCTCAATTGACATAAGAAAAAGAGGATCATGGGGGACCAATGGTCACCGATTAGGCATTGTTTTCTATAAAGAGGGAGCAAGTAGCTACAAGTAGTACAGTGGGGCTTTAATACATGCACATGAAAAGCACATTTGAGACAAATTACAATCCTAAGATATTTAACATCATATTAATAACATTTTTTTCTCTTTAGATTTACGGTATGACCCTGAGGCTGTCGGCGGTCTTTGAAGAACACTTCCTGAAGATCATCGGCAGCTATCGCTCGGCTCTCAAGTATGAGAAACAGGTCAAGACGGGCTTCAAAAAGTAGGTCAAACTATTTCACATCACGTTCATGTTTTGAAAATATGTGCCCTTCATTACGACCTGATGGGATCTGTGTTTGTGTATGTGTACCACCGTTAAAGATTCATAGACCAGGGGTATTTCACAAAGACTAAGATCGACTTTAAGTTGGACTTAACTATAGCAGGCCATTCATGCCACTGGTCGCCCTCACCATTGGTTTTTCAATCATGATTTTTAGATATTATTTTGTCCTTCAATAATGAATTATCGAAAAAATGAAAATTCTGTAGATTTGTGACCCTGATTTATACGTCCCTTGCGAAACCAATGCCAGGAATGATAAGGAACTAATGGCATGAACGGCCTGCTATAGTTAAGTCCGATTTAATGTTGATCTTAGTCTTTGTGAACCCCCTGGGCCCCGTCTTATAAACAGTTGTGATTAATTCCACCTTATTTGCTATTGATATCAATCACTACTATGTACATATGAGGCAGGGGACTGCAAACTTGATCAGAGGACTTGCGATTGATTCTAATCAACCGCAACTCTTTACGAGACCCTACCCTGACGGGAACTTACAGTAACTGTGAAAATGTTTTTATTATGGAGTAATTATAAATGATGGGTTATTTGGCGGTCAACTCTCTTATGTTAATGTCTGCATACACTGTATCTTTGTCATCCTAGGAGAAAGCAACTCATGTCTAGTCCTGAGGAGCGCCACAAGTCGCCACGGAGACACCATGTCAGGAGGTTGAATGTCAAGAGGTCACTGACGGCAGGTCACTCGATGGACGGCGACGACGACGCCAGCGACATCGACATCGACGCCCCTGGCCCCTCCTGCAACCTGAGACAGATGGCAAGGTCGACCAAGAAGAGGAGGAAAGAGGAGAGCGATGAGGAGGAGGAGAAGGAGGACGATGAGGAGGAGGAGGAGGAGGACGATAAAGATAAGCCAGGAACAAGTGGTTGCCGTGGTAACTCTTCCAGGGTATCCCACCCCAAGCAGCTGAATGGTTATGATAAAGACGAGGATGATTCCGATACCGACGTTGGTGAGTAGTTGATTAAAGCTTTAAATCTGAATGGCCCCATGAGGTACACTAACCCGTGATGTCATCAAAAAGAGTGCAGAGTTCCAGTAGAAGTTATAGTGAAGGAAAAAAATCCTTCAATTTAACTTTTGGGAGATGTAGTGATAATTCGAATAAAAGTTGTATCGATTGAATAATGATGTAAAACATCTGACCCAGTCGTACATAATCAAATCGCATTGATACTTCTATGTAAAAACCAACATCACGCAAGCACACTACTTTTATGAGCATTTTCATGAGAGAGGGAGAGAGAGAGAGAAATAAAGAGAGAAAGAGAAGCAAAGAGAGAAACAAAGATAGAAAGAAAGAGAAAGAAAAAGAAAGATAGAGTAAGAAAGAGAGAAAGAGAGAGAAAGAAAGAAAGAGAAAGTGAAAGAGAGAGGGAGAGGAAGAAAAAGGGAGAGGACAAGAGAGAGAAGAGGTATAAACAAATAGTTCTCTTCACACATAAGTTTCTTTAGAATTTAGTTTAAATATAACACTAACCCTTTCGATCAATGTTCCTTGCTCTTTTCAGAACCTCTAGCTAATGTGAAGTTAAAAGTTGACAACAACAATTCATCAAAGACCGAATCTAAGAGTGGCACCAAAGGAGGAAAGGCAAAGGCAAAGAGGTCTTCCGCGAAGCCAGTAGTGAAGGAAGAGGAGGAGGAGGAAAAGGAGAAGGAGAAGGAGGAGGATTCCGGGGAAGAAACTGAGATTGATTCTGGAGAAGAAACCGAGATCGATGAACAGCATGTAAAGAAGGAAAAAGAAGGAGATGGCAGTGGAGAGGAGGAGGAGGAGGAGGAGGAGGAAGAAAAGGAAGAAGAAGAAGAGGAGGCGGATGATTCAGAAGAAGATGACTCGGAGGAAGAAGAAGAGGAAGAAGAAGAGGAGGAGGAGCAAGAGGAAGAAGATGAAGAACCAGGCAGGAAGACAAGGTTAAGATGTAAGTTGAAATGTAGATTTAAAAACTTCTTTTACAAGGACAGGGGAGAAGAGGAAGAGAAGGAGGAGGAAAAGAAACTGAGACTGATTCCAGAGAAGAAGTCTGATAAACACCATGCCTACCAAATCATTCCTCAGAAACAATAGTCTACATAAAATAAAGATGGCACTTTTGAAGCACATACCTAAGTTCGGGCCAGTGAATTAAAAACATAACGTTCCCCATGTCTTTAGAGAGTACAAGTGTTTGGTCTAGAGGTGTAAGTTTAGCTCATAGCAAATCATCAACTTTTTGTCTCAGATTACTACTTTTGGATACTGAAACACAGCAGTTGATTGAAATAATCTATAGAAAAGAATTCCGCATCATAAAGCATTATTTGTATGTTTATTGTGTAGAGTACATTTACAGGAAAATGCATGCTTTTGATGTGCTTATGAAAGGAACTGGATATATCTTCTTTTTTTTCCTCTAAAAACAGCAAGGAGAAGTTTAACCAATGGCAACAATTCAAGACGAGGTGGGCGTCGGAAGGCAAGGCGAGATGAGGAAGACTCTGAAAGTGAAGAAGAGGAAAAGGAGGAGGAAGAGAAGGAGGAGGAGGAGGAGGAGGAGGAAGGAGGAGATGGTGGTGAGAGTGACCATAGCAACTACGAAGCAGGCACTGACATCAACTCTAACGAGGGATCTGAATCATCCTCCACCGAGGAAAGCGACAGCGACAGTTCCGACTCTGAGGTCGAAGGTCACTACAGAACCAGGAGAAGGACCACAAATAGAAGGACTCAAAAATCCTTGAAAAAGAGCAGAAGAGGGCAGGCCATCGGCAAGAAACGAAAAGCCAAATCAAAACATTCCCCAAGGTCATCGCCGAAGAAGCGCTCCAAGGTGGATTACAACGACGAAGACGACAACTACGTGCCGTCGCACAAGGTGTCGCGGCAGACGGAACGGCGGACGCGGAACCAAGGGCGACACATGCAGTATTACGGGGACTTTGACGAGAGCGATAACCAGAGTGGGGAAGAAGAAAATCTTCAGAGTGGGGAAGAGGATGATGGGAAAAGTGTTTCCAGCCGCGGCCGAGTGCGGAAGCTGACGGCGAGGGCACGTGCGAGACTGCTCAGCACGTGACACTAAAATGAGATGCTGCAGCAGCCTAGAATTGCAAATCAGGGATGTTTACAAGAAGTACTTTAACTCGCTCTGGGCACTATAGGCACAACATACGCAAGTATCGTCTGAAATTAGTGTAATGGGTGAACAGCACAAACTTCAGGGCTGTAATTTCTGTTTACCAATAAAAAAACCCACCTTATTCCAGTCTCTACTGGGTCATATGATTTTACCACAAACAATTCCTAATAGAAGAGTTTTCAGATAATACCTGGTTGATTCCAAATCGCTTGATAACAGAAAACTAAATTCATTACATACACATAGACATGTATTTCCTGCATTTGAAAAAAAGCTGTCAGATTTCTAAGGGGGACATTGTTCATTAACATCATGAAATAACAACACTGACAATTTAGAGAATATATTTTTTTCTTTGTAAGAACAAGAAAATAATCGGGGATCGAGGAAACACAAAATCTAAGAGCCCATTGCCTTTTAAACCTGGGGATAAACTTTGTGATAAGTGTGTGCAAATTTTTTATGCACCTGTCAAATGCTGCGATTTTAGATATATTTGAAACGGGAGTGGACAAAGCAAACGGAACAAGAAAATGTTTTATGACGTGTAGTGATGAGTGAGTGAACGAGAGAGTGAGTTTTAAAGGAAAGTGAAAGAAAGGAGAGAGGGAAAGAGAAAGAGCAAAGAATAGGACCATAGCATAAAATGAATTGATAGTCCTACATTCTTTTGACCCACAGCAGGTATTAGTATCACCTTGTAGTGACTGACGACGGACGTCTTAGTTTCATCTTTTTATTTTTATCTTTTGATCCAAAAAGCTCTGAATTACACATCGTAAATGAGCAAAAAGTGTTTAAAAAATCACTGGAAAATTTGAGTCCATGTCTGTTGCAGTACACTTGTGCCTTTCATAAATAAGAGTGATTTAATCGCAAATAATCATTGAAGTCTCTACATTGGCAACGCAAAGTGAAATTTATAATCACTTTTACTATCTTGTGCAAGTTGGAAATTGTCAAGTTTTGGGGGTACTTTTTACCTACACTGTCTCAGCTCATATTAATATACATTTTTTGATTTATTTTTGGGGGGATTTTTTTTTCTTTCTTTGAAACAGTAGAAATACAAATAATTGTTGCCAATTTGAAGGGAAAGAGCCGATTTATTTAGACCTTCAGAAAAATCTGAACTGCTGTGGGTTAGAGGAGCGAAGGAGATATCATTTTTTGAGAATAAGAAAGGGAGTAAGTTGTATACTTTTAGAAAGAGTTTAACGTCATTCTGGTTCTTAACAGATGAAAATGACATTGTGTAATTGAGACATTCTGGCAAGGTCATGATAGAATATTTTAGTCAGGGCAGAAGAAGGTTACATTTGTGAGTCTCCAAGGTTAGAAAATCAAGGGTAAGGAGAATGACGATAGAACAAGAGAGAAAGAAAAATGAAAGAGTAGATGGTAGAGAAAGGACTTTCGAGAGAGAGAGAAAGGTAAATTGTTAAGAAAGGCCTTTAGAGAAAGAAAGAGAGGGAGAGAGAGAGAGTGAAAGAAAGATTTAAGAGTAGATGGTTAAGAAAGGACTTTAGAGAAAGAAAGAGAGAAGAGTAGATTGTTAAGAAAGGACTTTAGAGAAAGAGAGAGAGAGAGAAAATGCGCGAGAAAGCAAGGATGGTGTGAGTTGTTGACTGCCCGCGAGAAGGCTCTGACTGCCATCATCCATAGTTGGCTTTTGTGGCCTTCTTGCAGGCAGTCGACAAAATATTGTACGGGAAGGAAGAAGAAATTCAAAACTTCTTTGTGAAAGATCGTCTTCCAATGACAGCTGACTGGGTACTTTGTTTACATTTCATTATAGAAATACGATTCTTTTCACTTTCGTACTTCATATATGTATATATTATCAATCATGATAGAGAGAGAGAGAGAAAGAGAGAGAGCTGTTGCTGTATGCCAACGTATGTACGTGGTATATCTTTGCTTTAAAACGCTAAAGGCAGATTGATCGAATGATCAAATTTGCCTCCTCTGATTTGTGCTTATTTCTCGTGAAATTTTATCTCAGGAAAACATGTTTAATGTTGAGGTACATGTGTTTTTTTTTTTTTTTGGTGTCCACCCCTCGGTTTGGAGTGTAGCCGAGAGAGAAGGATTGCTTTGTTTGATTTAGAGGCTGCTATTTTGAATTTATCAAGTACTTTTGCATGTTGGGCCGATCATTGAGTGAGACTTTGAGATGACCGATAAGATAAAATGACCGATAAGATTAAATGACCATTTTGAGACCGATGACAACTTCACCATGAATGATGCTTCTTTACCACAAAAAAATAAACATTCAAAAGCCCTATCCCCTGCCTTATTGAGGGGGTCAGCCTTTTTGGGCGATCTTCCATACACGACATTAATGTCTTTTGACAGAGTACATAATACACAAATCATTTATGGTGTGTCGAGTTCTAATTGTCCCTTGGCTTTGCGCAAGTGTGTGTACATTGATTGCACCAGAGATATGTCCTTATGCTTAGCCAGCATAGAGTTACTTAAAAGGTTGGGACATGTTTTTCTGTCGAGTGATAGGAGACTGTTACCCTTTAGTTTGCATAAAGTTAACACTTCCAGCTTTTAACAGAGGGTTTATTTCGTGATCCAAATCACTGATGGTGCTAATAAGAAAATAAAAAAGATCCTAAATATTATTTATCCTCTTTATAGCCACATGGTACATTTTTTTAGGTGGGCTGGGAGGTGGAAGGGCATTGATACACATGAATTTTGTTGTAAAGTTTTGTGTCAGTATTTGGGCAAACAAACTTCAGTAATGAACTACATATTTATAACCATAAATGAACTTGAGCCAAGTTGAAATCAGTTTTAGTGTTGGAGCAGTATCCAAGCAAAAGAGAGAAGCTGCAAGAATATTTTATTAGATTTACCTCTTTCATTTTGACGTCGAAAATATTCAATTGTACCTTGTAAGATTATTCGAGTTCAAGGGATTTGTACTGAATACCCTAGCATATTGGTGCATGCATGATGTACATGGATGCCCAATTGTTTCCGAGTCTTATTTAACTGTTTTTGCCCTCGATTTTGTTGGACACACTGCCCAAGCATTTAACTTCTTTGTTTTGTTTATTTATGACAGTTGCCCTATTATTGATCTTAGCCAATGGCTTATGAAATAAATATATTATTGCTTTTTCACAAATTGACTACTTTAAATGAATTATGTAAGGGCAATGTCGATAAAGTTGGTGCGACAAGGGGAAGTTTATGGCATTTATTATACTATAAAATATTTTTTTCTGGACTTGGTTCTGTATCATTGTCAAATATTGGTTATTTCCGAAGACACTTGTATTAAAGGTGAAGAGCATTTTTTTTTTGTAAACGTCGCTTTTTTTTTTCCTTCCTTTTTCTTCTCTGTTCCAGCATTGTTTAAGTGCAATATTTTATACGAAGAATGTGCGTCCCAGAAGCGTTGGCACATGTTCATAACATGGCTCATTCGCAAACCCTGGATGTGTTTTTTTCCAATAAATAAAGAGCGATTCCTCACGAAATACATTTGAAACTATCCGTTATCATTATTCTCCTGTAGTTACCTATGTTACCTGGGGGCTGTTTCACAAATATCCTAAGGTGAACTTGACCCTTAAGTTATACTTACCGGTAAACATTATGGAAAGTCATTTGTAGCCTTAGAATAAAATAATATTTAAAACATTTCATAAATTCCATATCAAGAACATAAAACCACCTGTATTATAGAAAATATGAATGATTTAAATCAACATTTTTATGCTTTTTAAAATAACTTTTACAAAATATTTAAATAGATGCTAACGGCTTCCCATAATTGTTAAGTCCAACTTAGGATCTTTGTGAAACACTCTCCTGATTTGTAATGCAGAAATAAATGTACATTAACAGGTAAGCAAGCCATTCATAGAAATCATCTCACTTTTATTCATGAAAACAAGAAGTCAAATTAAGTTACATTTTAATTGCACTGGAACATTCGATTCACATAAATGACATAAAAAACAGAAGAATTACATGTACAACAGGATTAGTGTCAAGTGTATAATGATGTGGTCCAAACACAGTTACAATTGTGCAAAGTTTCAAGGGTGAAACCCACAAATTTCAATAATTCCATCACAAATCCTTTACACTCTGTTAATTGTAGCACATTAGTGCCACACAGCAACTATACGTACACCATGTCAGTATTAGGGACTTTTAGATTTGCACAACGACAACATGGATTGCTACAATCGACGTCCTTTTAATGCACTGCCTTGAATGGACGTCGCACGTATCAGTCCACGCAAATCTAAAAGTCCCAATTATCTCAGTAAATATGACCAGTTAACTCGCTCAATTCAACACCCACCACACACATGCGTGAAAAAACTTTTGATGAGATGAAATAGCTACCGTATTTGTATGTATTGGCAATGGCAGTGACGGCCTTCTTGCAGAAAGCGAATATTATGTGAAGTAAATGTAAAAAGCTGAGCACTACAAAACAAAAAATAAAATATCAAAACATATTCTGGATATCGTGAAATTTTTAATTTTGCAAGTACAAGAGTGTAGTGTAATCCCAACATGAGGAAAATGGTAATAAATGGATTTTGTGATGTGATAATGACCATGAAGATCAATTTTATATTTGCCTTTCTTTAGAAATCTTTCTTTCTTAGAATAATTTTACACTTTTGAATGTTCATATCTTGCGATATTGCAATTCCTTCCAAACTGGATCAAACGGTGTGCAATGAGATTAATGTTTATTGGTAGTATCATTATACTTTACTTGTCTGCAATCAGATAACTAAACTGTCAATTTAAGAACTTCAACTGCACTGTGTAATAGTTTTTAATAGTTTTAAATATCATTTTTAATATGGACTCTGTACATAGTATAATTTCTTCACATTTTGTAAAAGTTATCATCTTAACGAAAGTGTGATTACTATACACTATCGACCCTTTCCGGATATATTAGTGGCAGGGTGCCTAGCGGGATTTCCGGTACATGTGACCTTTGACCTCAAATATTGCAACCTCTTCCATCAAACCTACTCTGTGATGAATGATTTGATTTTGCATCACACTATCACACTTGGTGGGATAGACAAACACTGGCATTCAAATGAAATATATTTTTCTCATTTATACATACAATTCAATATTACATATCCAATGAAAGACACAAATTTCATATTTTTATAATAATGCAGTCTTAAAGAGAAAGTGGAGTTCTGGGAACGGTGAAGAAAAAAATTGGTGACATTATTCATCAACTTTTTCATTCTTTCATGTAGGTGTGGAAGAGTATCGAAGAAAAAAAAAAGTCCCCCGAAAGGATGGCTCTTCAAATGCCCTCGCTTTTGAAATAGTGACAAGTGACAGCTATACAAGCTGTGGACCACACACTTTCATGTCACATGTTTGTGCAGTCCCACATACACATTTCCATGAACAGTAGATTTATTTAAACATATTTGTGGCTAGGCTATTTGTGGCTTACAGCCAGTAAATAAGATCGATTGATCGATCTGTATTGAAAAAAAAGTCAGACAAAATCTTAGAACCAGCGGGACTTGAACCTGCACATTTACTGCTTGCCGGGCAGCGACTCTACAACCAGGCCATCACTGGTCCATGGCACAGTCACGATGAACTAGAAACAAATACCCAAGTTCTCCTGATTCATTCTGACTTATTAATATTCATTAGTCCGCCATAGGACAATAACTTTATAAATGTAATGCTTCCTGGGAGAAATTTTGATTATTTTAACATATTTGTGGCTTACACCCAGTAAATAAGATCGACAGTAGATTTCTTATCATTTTGATAATTCCACAATAGTATACACCAATAATGATGTGCTAGGCCTTCATGATCAACGTTTCAAAAACGCTTTCACATCGTTTCTTTCCCAATCAAATCGCATGACCAGAACTCAACTTAAACTTTAAGATGACACATTTTGTTCGTTGTTAAAGCTTAAACAGGTCAGAGTACTTATTTAAAACATCCTCTTGCAGATTCATTCACAAGTGCTTCCTCAGAATATGAATAATTTACATTTGCGAAACAACACCATTCATTGCATTTTTTCGTTGTACACAGCTTACTTGTAATCATCATCCCCATTGCAACTTAATCGGAGATGAAATATTTTCAAGTTCGGGCCTTGAAACAAGATTACATTTTTTTCTTCCCATAGCAATACACAACCTGAGATATAAGTTAAATGCACATTCAAAATGTCACATATACATGCATATCAAGAAAATCAATACTTTCGCAAGTTACAAATGAGTATAACGTCCATCTAAGTACACATTCAACTTTATAAATAGCACAAATAAGCCTTTAAAGCAGAAACATTTTTTCATTTAATCCTGGTCAGTATTGTCATGACAATTAACGACACCAATATATTAAGTCAACATACATTTATCAGTATATAAAGTGATATAAGAAGTTATTTGATTGATTCAAACAATTGTGGCCTAAGTCCCTCGCTAATTTAATTTGTACATTCAGTATCCATCAATAGGTTCTCTTTTCATCGTGCAAGAAAATAAAGAGTTTTAATATAAAATTGTATAAAGCCTCAATATTAGAATATCAAGCCCTACACGTAATATGAAGTTCATTAAGGCATTAGTAACAAGATGATGGGGAAATATATATCTTGTGGAAAAAATAATCAAATACCTAACAAAAGATAGAGTATAAAACATAAAAATGGAACACTGATTGAAGCACATATGATATGAATGACTTAAATGTAATGTAAGGAGAATAAAGCATTCATGCAAGTTTGAATGTTTAATTAAACAATACTTGCAATTAAGACAAGGCAAGAAATATGCAAATAATCTTTGGAAGAAATTCAGTCTCCACATACAAATATATGACAATTCGGCCTGCAATATAACGTAAACGATTGATTCGTAGATAAGGGCGTGTATAAATGACCCCCATATATCCAAAGATCTTTTTTTAAACATGGGGGGCGTTTCACAGAACTTGTCATCAGTGACAAATGACAGTTGTTGTTATAAGCTACTGAAATCCTTGCTTCTGATTGGTTATGAGCAGATTTGTCAATGATTTTTGTCATTTGTCATTGAAAAAAAGTTTTGTGAAACGGGTCCCAGCTTTGTGCATTTTAGAATAACCGCTGGCAAAGTGGTAGAGGTGCGTCATGAACAAATTTTGTTTGCCATCTTGAAAAGAATACTTTCCCCTGTGTATACCCTCAGTGCATAGATTAATAATGATAACATACACATAACTTTCCTGAACAAGTATATTATGGTACTTAGTGATACCCTTTGATCTACATCTAATACCTGCTACAGACCTGATGATCCAGGCGTATACATAGGGGAGGATATACTACGGTACATAGCGGTACCCTTTGATCTACATCTGATACCTGTTACAGACCTGATGATCCAGTCTAATAGGGGAGGGTATATCACGGTACATAGTGGTACCCTTTGATCTACATCTGATGTCTGCTACAGACCCGATGATCCAGTCATATACTAGGGGAGGGTATATCATGGTACATAGCGGTACCCTTTGATCTATATCTGATATCTGCCACAGACCTGATGATCCAGTTGTCTACCAAGGGAGGGTATATCACGGTACATAGCGGTACCTTTTGATTTGGATCTAATACCTGCTACAGACCCGATGATCCAGTTGTATACTAGGGGAGGGTATATCACGATACAAAGTGATACCCTTTGATCTACATCTGATATCTGCCACAGACCTGATGATCCAGTTGTCTACCAAGGGAGGGTATATCACGGTACATAGCGGTACCCTTTGATTTGGATCTAATACCTGCTACAGACCCGATGATCCAGTTGTATACTAGGGGAGGGTATATCACGGTACATAGCGGTACCCTTTGATTTACATCTGATATCTGCTATAGACCCGGTGATCCAGTTGAATACTAGGGGAGGGTATATCACGGTACATGGCGGTACCCTTTGATCTACATCTGATATCTGCTACAGACCTGATGATCCGGTTGTACACTGTATACTAGGGGAGGGTATTTCATGACACATAGCAGTACCCTTTGATCTACATCTGATACCTGTTACAGACCCGGTGATCCAGGCGTATACTTGGGGAGGGTATATCAGCGTAGCCCTGTTGCCTCATGATCTCATCTAGTTGCTGTCGCTTGATAAGCTCCACCCAGTACTATTAAGTTTCAGGAAAAGAAAAGAAAAGAATGACGTTAGAGTTTGAAAATGGGTTACCAGCAGATTGAAGTGAACCCACAGGCCCTACCCCCAAACCCTGTATTAAAGGCATTGTTTAACAATGTTTCCAGTTTTACAAATCTGAGATGCATGGTCCTACGTGTTATCAGTGTCTGTGATATGATATAATATTGAAGCGCTAAAAAAATTGCACTTCAAAATGATCATGAAACCTCAAAAAAGTATAAATCTTTGAGTGACTGGTTTTACCAAACTCATTTTCACCAATAGACTGTTATAAAAACCTATGGAAGAAATTTTGAATTTCAATCATAGATATCTTGATAATCAGACAGGTGATCGGCTTGTAAAAGTCAAGGGATTCCTGATTGACCTAAAGGTTTTAGAATCTAAGGCAAAAATACCCAATCCCTTTAAACAATATATTTCTGACCTAGAGTGCACAAACCTCAACAATCTTGCAGTCCCCATCCACCAGGCCCAGCTTGGAGAGAAACGATGCAGAATTGACCCTCGCTGGGGAGCTGTTCATCAGACGTGATGTGCTGTCTGCACTTGAAGTACTGTTTATGTAAAATCAATATCATTATTAACAGATGTTTATTCACGAAGTGTATGCATCTGTACAAGAGTATTCATTAATTATCAATATCTTGCCAAAAATATTTTGAGTTCTTACAGCTTTAGGAAAAAAAAAATCTTTATAATCCATGTTGTAATAGAAAATTATATTTACTCAAACAAAATCTAAAAAATATTTTGTTGTTGTTGTAATTGCAGGGTGTTGGCAAGTTGCTGTTTAAATGCATACCTGTAAATCTGTATTGTAAAAGCATTCTATGATATTCTAAAAAGTGACTCATGTATTCATTCAACATTGCCATCACCATCGTCATTGTCATCGTTACCATCACTATTATGATTATGACTAGTACTACAGTCAAACCTGCTTTAGTGACCACCTGTCTATAAAGACCACAATTTTCATTTTTACTTGAACCTGGTTTCTTGTTGAAATCTACGCTAAAGGAACCTGTACATAAAGAACACCTGCCTATAAAGACCACTTTCTTGTTTCCCTTGAGTGGTCTTTATATACAGGTTTCACTGTATTGTTGTTATTATTATTACTTTCATCTTAAAATTGAACAGCAAATGTACAACTACACTAACCTGTTGATTAGACGTGAGTTTGGTGAATTCAGGCAGTAGGAATGATAGTAAAGGAATGCTTTTGAAGCTAGCTGTAGTAGAACGCTCTGTATATGTGCAAGGTAACACTGGTCAATCTGGAAGTGCTTGTTCCGATTTACGATGGAATCTAGAATGTTGCCCTGGAAAAAGTAAGAACATAACAAAATTTGACTAAAAATGGTTAGCATAGGAATTTTCGAAAAATTCCTTGTTCTGATGTACGTTGTAAATCTAGATGGATAACCTGGAAGCAGAGAAAAAGAGCGTTATTATTGCTTTTATGCAAGTGTGGAAGAACATCAGATTAAAAATGTTCCCTCAAAAGCATGGCTCTTCAAATGCCTTAATATTCTAAATATGGCATGTACCCAGTAACAGCATAAAAATCGTGACAGATTTTTATGCCACGTGTTTGTGTAGTCCCATGTACATGTACATGTACTTGTAACTTTACCAAGACTGGGCCAAATTTATTATCATTTTGATGATTCCAGAACCTTGAAGTGCACACCACTACTTATATGCTAGATGATCAACCTTTTCTAATCAATTCCACACTGTTTCTTTCACAATGCGATCGCATGACCAAAACTCAACTTTATCTTTAAAAACACCACACTGTCGTACCTTGTACGCTGGCGTCCACAGAGTTTGGTGGTCGTAGTCGAACAAGGTGACGTATCTGCGTACCGACGACGGCACCACTCTTCCTAGAGACTTTGGTTTGGAGAGGCCCACGAGTTTCATCCTGGCTAGATCCGTCATGCATAGAGGCTTTGTGTGCCAAGGTACGACAAGGTGGTAGCGACTGTCAAGGATAGAAAATAGAAAATTTAGAACATGCAGTGAATACCAAGTACATACATAAATATTGATATTTAAATAGTGCCTTTACATAAAGATACTCACAGCGCTTTACATTAGTAATAAAGCAGAAAAGCTGTTGTGTATTAAAGTTGTGTAAAGCTGTGTTAAGTCATTCAGAAAGCTGTGCACCACATGAACCAAGCTTGGCTCATACAGTACCAAACCTTGTCCACATCCCACATGACTCAAAACAACGCCTTGTTAAAAAAACAATCACACAGAAAACAAATAAGTCTTGAGATTTCTCTTGAATGATTTGATTGAGGGGCAGGAACGAATGTTTAATGGGAGACTATTCCAAATAGTGGGACCAGAAAAGGTTGTATTTTGTTGACCCTTCTTCGAATTGATGCGGGGGATTTGCAGAAGAAGAGAATGAGAATTCATTTGTTTTCTGAACTGGTTGTAGTATTCAAAGGAACAGAAAAAAAGAAAAACCCAGAAGAGCCTAGAGATAAATCTTTTACCTTGAATGTCCTGGGACAAACAGCCATAGAGTCCTGACCAAAGAGTTGACCTCTCTGTGTGGGGTGAAAGGTCATGACATTAGATGATTACAACTGGATGATAGCAATTTCCATGTACAAGAGCAATATGCACATGTTTGTACAAATTTATTTTTTTGCAACAGGCACCCCCCCCCCCCTATTCAGCCTTATTCACAAAGAAAAGATAGCCCCCTTTTAAAATTGAAGACCCTTAACGCACCTCAAAAATCTATTAACCCTCAGGTTTTTTTTACTTCTTCAGGCCCCAATTTCTCTCCAGGGTATCATATAGAGTGGCAAATGAAGATTAGTGCCTTGCCAAAGGACATTAGTGCCGTGTCGGGGATCACACCCTCGACATTTTCAAGTCAAGAGCTTAAACCACATGACTACGGCACTTCTACTATCTGTTCTCAGTGCACTAAGGTCTACAATTGCCACTCTCCCCTATTGGAGGTATCTTGTGGCGTAGCACAGGGTACTAAGTTAGGCCCGGTTTTGTTCCTGAGTCTTGTTAATGATGCTGTATGCTTTGAGGCGTACCACAGGGTACCAAGTTAGGACCAGTTTTGTTTCTGATTCTTGTTAATAATGCTGTATGCGTTGAGGCTTGTTCCCATCATCCTACGTTACTGATGTACGAGATGCCGTACCTTTCTTCTACTATCTGTTCTCAGTGCACTAAGGTCTACAATTGTCACTCTCCCCTATTGGAGGTATCTTGTGGCGTACCACAGGGTACTAAGTTAGGCCCGGTTTTGTTTCTGATTCTTGTTAATGATGCTGATGTACGAGATGCCGTACCTTTCTTTGGTCGGTGAGGCAGCGATGACAACGGTCCTCCCGGACAGGAGTGCATAGATGAGATGGATGGCAAAGACATAACGGCTGATGAATTCTTTGATCCCTGAGCCTAGGAACAAAACATACATGTACATAAAAAAGGAAGATGTGGCAACTGTTATCATATCCCAGAAAGGGATAACCAAAATGGAAAAGATTCCGTTATCCTTCACCCACAGATAAACTAGGGGAGTGTTTCACAAAGACTAAGATCGACTTTAAGTTGGACATGCCACTGTTTGCTCTCGCCATTATGATCTTTAGATGATGATTTTTTTCCTTAAATAATGAATTATGAAAAAATGTAAATTCTGTAGGTTTGTGACCATGATTTGTACGTCCTTTGAGAGACCAATGCCAGTAAATGGTGAGAGCAAACAGTGGCATGAATGGCCTGCTATAGTTAAGTCCAACTTAAAGTCGATCTTAAATTCGCTTTCAAATAGATCAAGCATTTGAGCCATCAAGTTTGCATGAAAAGCATGGGCCTGGATCTTTACCAACATAGATAAATTCAGTGAATTTCCAAATAGACAAATTATAGTGTTATTACATTTTAATACCTTTTTTTCCTGTAAATATAAATTTATCTTGTTTTACATTGTAAACTATGTTGAATGTAAAGTTATTGTGTATCTTACAAAAGATGGACTAACCTTTACTAGCAGTATGATAATCATATAGTTCCTATTTCCATTTACAGATTTGTTGTATATATGCGAAATGAATTTTGGTAATGAATGGTCGAGGCCGGTTGAATCAAGTCAAGTCTAGTAAAATCAAATCAAATCAAATCAAATCAAATGTTACCACAGCTTACCTGGTAGATCTGAGTTAGTGCTAGCTAGTCTAGATGCATAGCACCCAACTGGAATTTTAGTATTCCTACGTAGTACTGGTTCTTGCCCAGAAGGCACTGAGGCATACTTCTCTAGGCTCTCTATACTGCTTGCTGTGGAGAAAAAAATTGAAAAGAAAGAAAGAAAAGCTTCATTAGGACACGATTGCCAGAAGAAAAAAAATCCTGCTAAAAACCCTTAAAGGGGTTGGGTAACTTTGCCTTAGATTCTTATAAAAATCCTGGATTTATCTCATGCTGCAATCATAATT